ACTACGAGCTTCACTCTCTTGACTTCAGCACAGCGTTCCTGCAGGGCAGCCTGCACGAGGAGATCTGGTTGCGCCGCCCACCTGGCTTTACTGGGTCGTTTCCCCCTGGTACCCAGTGGAGTCTCCGCCGGCCAGTCTACGGTCTCCGCCAGGCGCCACGTGAGTGGCACGACACACTGAGGACTACTCTTGCGGCTCTTGGGTTCGCGCCGTCTACTGCTGACCCGTCGCTGTTTCTGCGCACAGACACGTCGCTGCCGCCGTTCTACATCCTCGTGTACGTCGACGACTTGGTCTTTGCTACTGCTGACACTGAGGCACTCGCTCGTGTGAAGTCGGAGCTGCAGAAGAGACACACCTGCACTGACCTGGGTGAACTGCGTAGCTACCTTGGCTTGCAGATCACCCGGGACAGAGCTCGCCGCACCATCACCCTGACTCAGTCACACATGGTGCAGCAGGTCCTTCAGCGCTTCGGCTTCCAGTTCTCCTCACCACAGGCCACACCTCTGGCTACCAGCCACTCGCTCTCAGCTCCACCTTCGGACGAGTCCGTAGAGCCGAGTGGCCCATACCCAGAGCTTGTAGGCTGCCTCATGTACCTGATGACTTGCACGCGACCTGACCTCGCGTACCCTCTTAGCATCCTTGCTCGTTACGTTGCGCCTGGGAGACACAGGCGAGAGCACTGGGAGGCTGCTAAGAGGGTGCTGCGTTACCTGTGCAGTACATCAGGCATGGGGCTGGTGCTTGGAGGACGCGACAGAGTTGTCCTCACTGGTCACTCGGACGCCTCTTGGGTGGACGACCTGGCTACGCAGCGGTCGTCACAGGGTTACACCTTCAGCCTTGGCTCAGGTTCTGTCTCGTGGCGGTCCACCCGCTCTTCCTCTGTTCTCGGCTCTAGTTGTGAGGCTGAGATCTACGCCACAGCCATGGCTGCACAGGAGTTACGCTGGCTCACCTACCTGCTGACTGACTTGGGAGAGCAGCCTAGTTCTCCTCCAGTTCTGTACGGTGACAACAAGGCGGCTCTTGCCTTGTGTCAGGAGCACAGACTGGAGCACAGGACGAAGCACATTGCTCTTCGCTACTTTCTTGCTCGAGAGCTTCAGCAGCGCGGTCAGCTTCGGCTTGTGTACGTGGACTCGAAGGCCAACACTGCTGATATCTTCACCAAGGCGCTCCCGCCTAGTGATCATCAGCGGCACTGTACTTCTTTAGGCCTTGTGTCCACGTTTCCTCACTTGCTCACTGCTTGACATTCTTTGTACTGTACTTTATATATATCTTGTTGCTTGCTTGCTAGGTTTTGATCACTGTGTTACTTGTCTTGTACTATATCTAGCACTGCATGTGAACTGGCCTTGTGGCCTTTACTTGTGCTCGGAGTGTGGTGACGTTGTGATCCACCCTGGGCTTTGCTTTGCTTTGCTGGACTGGTCTTGTGACCCTTTGTTCTCCCCCACTTTGCATTGTTAAACTGTATTATGCTTGTAGGCTGTAGTGGGGTAGCCAATATGGGGTACAACCCCAACTAGGGTTTCATATTTGTACCCAAACTTCTGCTAGTTCATCATTCTTGCCTAGTCATTCTGAGAGCTGCTGCTCGCTGCCTGTTTCCTTCTTCGAAGTCACGTGTGAGCGCATCCAACGGATTGCTCATCGCCTGACTGTTGCCCTCGCCTTCGTCCACAGGCGACTCCTGACGCGCTTCACCTCGCGTCTGGCGTAGCTCGGCGTTTTCCTCCCGCAATGTTGTCACTTCCGCCATTAATGACTTCATGCTCGCCTGCATTTCTGCCATTTGCGCCATCATCTGGTCAACAGTCCCCTGATCCATGTGTCTGGCACTTCGTCTGGTGGGCAGTCGGGTATCCGTGGCTTTCAGGCAAGTGAAAACACGAACTATCGGAGTCGGGCAGGACTGAATTAACAATCCCTGCAACCAACCGTCGTGTAGTCACTAAACCAGCCACACCCGTGCCACCAAACTACCCTCGGAAAGCGGGGTGAACTAGGAAAGTAGCTCTGATACCAGGTGTTATGAGTTGTAAAAGGAGTGCGCAGGTAAACGAATAACGAGGCTGTGATTCAACCAACTGAGAATACAATGAATGTGCAGACTAATGTAGGGCTAGCCTAGCGGGGGGAAAACTCGGACGAGCGCGGTTTGGAGCAGGTTTGGCGATGGGAAATGCCGAAGGCGACGCGAGGAGCCTCGGCAGCGTTGAAATCGGCCGAACGTGCAAAGTCCGAAAATCGGGTTGTACGCGAAGCAGTCAACCCCGATAAGGAATTCGGAAAAATTCCTTGCATAATGCACCCCTATTCTTGTAACGTTTCTGATGCCATGAAACTTGCTTGAAGTAATCCCAGCTGCATTCATGATCTTGCGATAGTCATTGGATACTGTATTGCAGGACACGACTGAGGAAATCACTTCTCCGTTGACAAAACAGTTCTGACCCTGCGGGACACAGCATGCAGTACTGTAGACCCTCGCACCCCCTCCTGTCATAAGTGTGAAACGTGGAGCGTGTGGTTTAGGTGAAAGGCTAGCGAAGATGCGATGTGGGCCTGAGGTGGGGGGGTGTGCCATTTGCTGCTTGCGCAGCCTTTTGCTGCGAATGGAGGAGCTTCCTACTGTACACCACGACAGCAAGCGTCCTCTCGGGTCGCAGAATCCGCAGCGAGATTCGCCACCGCCGCACTTGGCAGCAAACACAAGTTTGCTGTGCCGACCAGGGCTGTTGCTAGATTTTTGCCTGCTCGGACGGTTTGGGTCCCTTTAAACTTTACCCTGTAAAATCCGAGCCGGCGTCCAAATAGCCCTGAAGAGCCCGCGCTCAGGTCAGAAAAGGCCTGAGAGAGACAAGACTTGAGTACCAAAGAGCCAATTGAACTGCATCCAACTACGATCACGGTAATTGCCACACAGCTCAGCTTGTGTGTGGCGACGAAGGTAGAATACGTGTACGGGGGACAATGTAGTGAGGTCCTAAGGAACTAGTTTCTGTTGGAAAAAATCCTGTGCCCTCAAAATCTTCCCGGTCAGGTCCGAGAAGATACAGAAAACACCCTGTAAAGCTCAGGGCTGGTCCAAAATCATATTGTCATTTTCAGGGCTCTCTCCAGAAAACCTTGGATTTTTAGTTAAGACAGGGTAATTGCCCTGTTAACAGTCGGCCCTGGCGCCGACTGTTAACTCGTGACCCGCTAGACTAGAATATCGGCCGACCAGTGTGGCCAGCTACCACTTGTATGTCACGTGTTTACCCAGCCATTTTCTGTTCATCGACGGTAACTGTGGCACAGGCGTGTTCAAAAGCTGCTGTAATAAAAACCCCAATACCCCAAGTCGGTACGGTTGGACGGGTGTGAATCACGAATTGACAAACTCAACCACCGCATTTCCACTACACACATATAAAATTACTAGATACACACACAGATACATATCAACTTGAAACTCGATGTCTGAACGTCTCGATGTTGGAGGGCACAATGGTGTTTCGTCGTTTTGCAGCGACGGGCAAATGGGCAGCACCAATCACGAATCACCAACGGCAGTCGCCTTGACAGTTATGTTTTGCTAAACATGTCTCCCGATATTTCGTGAGTCTTTCACATGCAATGAATGAAACCCAAACACGAAAAATTTTCAGCCTAGCGTCCTGTACTACACCTGTTTGTGAAACTTTTGGTGAGGTTTCCTGGTACCGGCTGGTCACACAAATAGCGCCGACACGACCTTCCTTTTGAGGACTTGAGACAAGAACTGTCAACCTTGCCCTGGCCCATTTACGTCACTAGGAATGGGCCTTGGGAGTGAAAGAGTTGACACCAACAGAGAACGCGTCCTCGCACTCTCCGCCGCTCTTTAAATAATAGCGAAGTCAATTTTCCTTTTTCCTTAAACACAGCGCTTCCTTCACTGCACCATCCTGAAGTCAGCTGGTCACTTCCGAAAGATGAGGTATCGGGATCAAATTCCCCCCTGCGGCGTATTCAGCCAGTCCCCACTAAATGGGACTACACAGGTGCTCATCTGGGAGTGGATAACAAGTGGGTAGGCGGGTTACGACCGACAGCCGGGGTAATACCAAAGAGGGTTTCCCCTGAAACCTTACCTGAACCTTAACCTTGCCTCCTCCACTGCACCCAGCACAAGTACTGTAGATCACCGAGGTTTGAGCGGCTGACCCATTCAACGACAGAAAGGTGCGAGGTAAGGGAAGGGGAACCGAACTGATTGAACAAGGCCAACCGGGGGAGACGAAGGGCAGCATCAAGGGCGCCACAATGCTGATGTCACGCGGCCAGGAGGAATGGCGTGGCAGAGCTGCGGGTACAGCGCACACGCAGCGTGCCGCGGGTGGGATGGAAAGCCACTGTGGAACAGCACAAGGGGAGCGGGGGAGAAGCAGGTGTGCTTGGCGGGGTGGGGGGCTTCGGCAGCAGTGGGTGTGTACGAAAAGAACCACTGCTGCTGCATTGTGTTGATCCATTTTCAGCATGTGAGCAACACCGACGGCATTGCCAGCTCAAACGGACAACAAAATGCCAACCAACCCTCCACTTCCATGCCTTCCCTCTGGCCTCTGGCCACCGCTGCTTGCGTTGTCTTCCCCTAAGATTTGGCACCATCAACGCACCCACCTTTGGCCAGCTTCGTGGAGATGAAGTTGCAGCGACAGCAGCACGGTAGTGCACGGCGGATGTACACGAACGGCATCTTCGCTGGGAGAATCGGACGGACGCTAAGAACCCGAGGAATTACGACAAATGAGCCCATACTAGTTCACCGCAAATGCACGCATCGTTGTCCAGAAACCTTCCGCTCAACATTTTCATCGTGTCGGTCCACAAGAAATCCCCATCAGAGCAATCTATTGTCTTTGTATTTACGTCTTCAGTTCTTATTCCTGATAGATTAGTTCGAATACATACGGATGGCATACGTGGTAGAGGTTTCAGTGCATGATAGTCCATCCGCCATGGCGCTACCCACGTCAGAGCTCTTTGATCGGTACCATTTCAGCGACATCCTTGGAGAGGGCCAGTCTGGCCGCATTTGGCGCTGCCAGGATAGAATAACGGGGGAAACGCTTGCATGCAAGCAGGTCCGCAAACGCGGAATGTCACACGTGGAGCTCGCTGATTTGCGGAGAGAAGTCCAAGCGATGCTGATTCTCCGGGGGCACCCGAACGTACTGTGCTTACGTGGACTTTACGAAGACGACAAAGCGGTCTACATGATAACGGAGCTGTGCGCGGGCGGCGATCTCTTCGCGCTTATAGCGGAGCACGAGGGCCTAGAGGAGTCCGTCGCGGCGCGGCTGTTCGTGCAGTTAGCAAGGGCTGTGCGGTGGTGTCACATCAACCGCGTCGTGCATCGGGACATCAAGCCTGAAAACATTCTTATCGTTCCGCCGGCGGCGGCAGCCTCTCCGGCAAAGTGTGGTTCTAAGTCCCGCTTTTCCGACCCGTCGTCCCCCTCTTCCTCCCCCGCTTCTCCCTCCTCCTCGGACGGCGACGCGACGGAAAAAAACCAACGTTTGGAAGAGTTGCAACTGCGGCTCGCCGACTTCGGACTGGCGTTTCCGTTACAGCCAGGTTCGGCTATTATCGGGGCGGCGGGGAGTGCGCCGTACGAAGCGCCGGAGGTCCTCGCGCACGAGCCGTACAACTACTGCGCGGATATCTGGTCGCTCGGCGTGTTGCTCTACGCCATGCTCTCTGCGAACTGGCCGGCTTTTCCCGATGACAATCGCAAACTCCTGCCGTCAGATCTGCTACCGAAACCGTGGCCGTCGATTTCGTTCGAAGCTAAGGATTTAATCCGGCGGATGCTAACGGCAGATCCGATGGACAGGATTGATATTATCGGCGTCTTGGAGCATCCATGGCTTAAGAAGCAGCTCGCTCCCCCTCGGTTAGAGGCTCCGTCGCACGCTCCGTCGCATGCTCAGTCGAAAGCACAATCGCAGCGACCAAAAACGCGGCAGTTACGCCCGGCGACAGCCCAAAACGAAACGATGAAGCGCTGGGAGAATTCGACGAAAGCTGTCGCCATGCCTCGAGCACTGAGTGTCGTTGTCGCAACAGAAGCTGCGACAGAATCGCCGAAGAGCGAACCTGCTTCACCAACAACCAGCCCTGGCGAGCCCGCTCGTGACCGCCACAACAACGGCCAAACCCTAAAGTCGAACGCCCCTGAGGATCGTCCGCAATTAGTGGCTGCAAATCTGACAAAAATTCCGCGATCGCAGAGCAACCTGCTGCCCACGTCAGCACCGTGCGATGCGCAGGCGACTGTCTTGAGGACACCTGGACGATCCCGGCAAACCAGAAGATCCCGGCTACAGGGACATTCCCCGCTAGTCACGGGTTCCAGTTTTTTGTCAACAATCTGTGGTGACAATAGCAAAAATACGCACGCAAGGCCTGGTGATTGTGGTGTATCTATCTCCATACCAAATCACGCTAACAAGTCGTCAGTTATCGAGGATACAGCCGGTGACTCTGACTGTGACGGTGACGGGGTCTACAGAGATGACGGGGTGGATGAGGAAAGCAAAATCTCCAACGACCAGCCTGATAGTGAGGGTGATTTCCCCTCCCCATCTTCGCTGCCCTCTAAAACTTCTGATGAAGCCTCAAATTCAACAGAGTCGCCTTCATCTTCTGGAAGAGGGTGGTGTGAGGCCTTTGAGCATGGAGACAAGGAGAAGGATGGATTGTACTCCAGTATTCTTTCATGCCGTATCGTGCCTGGTCGGAGATCAAGGCTGAAGAGCCTCCAGGAGGACCCTTCCTTACCTGCTGCCCTCTCACTTTCCTCTTGCTCTTCTGTTTCATCTGGCACAGATATCTAAATGTTCATAGATACTATCTTACCGTAAGTAGGATTTAGCCTAGGAGTAATGTAAGTGTTCAATCGGCACGTACCGTACATCTGGGTCTCTGTCATGAATTCTTTGGCCACTATGATGCCCATCCAATAAAGATATTCTGGTTCAGCCGTATGGTGGTGTGTGTATTGCAGGGTTTATTTTCCCCTCAATATCATCAATCAAGCAGATTCGTGCATCTAATTTGAAATGGCCCCTTAGCACTGAGTTCACAGTTCACCTTTGTGCAAGTTTTTACTTATAGTATCCTTTGGGAGTACACTTCAAACATGTACCAGTATCCTGTTCGCCTATGCTATCTTCTACAAAGTCGCCTCGCCTCCTAACTAGCCCACCCCAAATCACCTTATCTCCCCCTTCATTTAGGCTTGCCACTCACGATTCTCGCCCCAGACCATATTCAGATCCTTCGCGCGAGCATCACTCCATGTAACAGCACACAACCTATCGTCGTTACCTATCAGCACGCAGCCCATAGTCGTTAGCGACCAGTTCCCAACCATTCTTTCAGCGGAAAGTTACGGAAAGTGAACTTGTTCTGACAACTTTATCATTTGAGTTGAGTTTAGCGTAGGTGGCAGTTTTAAGACGTACGACAGTTGGAGAGTTGGCCTATTCTATTAATTCATGTAGTGTGTGCGGTGAGAGCTAGTTACAAATGGATAATCGTACGGTTGAAGCCGGCCACGACGAGATCTGGCCACGTGTCATCTGCAAGACATGCAAGAAGCTTCGTCGAATCCCGCCGGAGGAATTCTTAAAATTCGCGGATTCGGGCAAATGTGTGGATTGGTTTTGCCACCAGGCAGAGCCCTATAGGCCAGGAGCCCGGTGCTTAGATCCGGAGGAGAAAAAAACCGAGGCGGAAAAGACAAAGCCGTTCGAGCCGGAAGGATTCTGGTGGATGTCGAAATTCCGAGGGGATATTTTCTACATAACCCCGGATAAAAAGAAATTGTATTCTCCTAGCCAGTTAACCACGTACCTGGAGAGCTACAATCGGAACCATCGAAATCCCCTCACTCCCGAGGATTTTTGTATCAGCAAGCCGAAGTGGAGAGAGGTGCATGGATGTGCGGCGGATCGCGGGGGAGCGAAGCGTCCCGGAGCTGCTGTGTCTACCAGACCTATGCTAGGTTCGGGAAAGGCGGCGTCTGCTGTCGCGTCGTCTTCTGCCACGGCTGCTGCTGCTGCTGCTGCTGGTGTTGCCGGTGGTTCCAGCGGTGGGGGTGGGTTCTCTGCGGTTGCTGCAAAAGCTGTTCCGTTGGGTCGGTCCGGCTCGTATAAGCTCATGGCGCTGGCGATAGGAACAGGAAGCAAGGGGGGAATGGGAGCGGGGGGGGGTGAGAGAGGCAAGGACGGCGGGGAGAGGGCGAGAGGAGAGGAGAGAGGGAAAGAAGGGGGGGCAGGAGCAGGGGAAGCAGCAAGAGCTGCAGGGGTCGCAGGCGCAGCAGGGGTAGGAGCGAGGAAAGAAGGGGGAGCGGAGGGCTCTGGCAAGGGGGGTGAGAGGAAGGGAGAGGAGGCGAGAAAAGGTACTGGAGGAGGAGGAAGTGGGGGAGGAGGTGAAGGGAGTGGAGGAGCGCGAGAGAGAGAGGGTGGGGAAAGGGAGGGCGAGGACAGAGAGGAGGGTGGCAGACGTAGTGTGCCAGGGTTCAAGAACCCTATTGCTCACCTAGACGACGACGATGAGGATGCAGCAGTGCGTGTTCCTGACGCTGTCACTGATTTCCGCCTAGAAACTGCCGCTGGAGAGCTTTATTCCTTTTATAGGCTGCCTCTTTATAAGAAATGGAGCTCTTCTTTGTTGAAGGAGTCAGTGTATCTGCGTGGGAAGGATGCGAATGGGGGAGCACCAGTTTTTGTTGATGTGGGGGCTTGGCGGGTAGTGGTGAAGGTAGATTCGGTGAAGGTTCAGGTGCAGGCTCGGCATGGGGAAAAGTGGGTTGAAGTTCGGAAGCCGAGCCTGGGTTACGCATCCGGGAGGCTGGGTTCGGAGATAGGGTGGGCGCAGTGCTGCGTGCGTTTCCATCCTGATTGGTCGGAAGGTGAGGTGAAGCAGTTTCTGCGGTCACACAACGTTGATTTGGAGCGGCTTGTAAAGTGGATGGATTTGCTGGGAGATTTTATTCAGGATGACGTGGCACTGAAAAATTCCAGTCTTTGGAAGTTTCTTGAGAAGGAGAGGTGGGGGAGTGGGAAAGAGCGAGGGGTGGGGAGTGAGAGGGAGAGAGACAAAGAAAGGGTTAAGGGGAGGGAGGTAGAGAAAGGATGGAAGGACAAGGAGAGGGACAAGGGGAAGGAGAAGGAGAAGGGGAAGGAGAAAGAGGAAGAGAGTGAGCGAGGTAGCGAAAGAGCTCGAGTGCGAGATAAGATCTTGGAAGACATAGGGTATCCAGTGAGCAGAGCAGGATTGGATAGAGCAGGGTCGTATAAGACAGGATTGGATAGAGGAGGATCGGGTAAGGCAGGATTGGACAGAGCAGGATCCGGTAAGGCAGGAGTGCTGAGAAAGAAGAGGCGCGTGGCGAGGTTCTTGGAGGAAGAAGAGGAGGATGAAGAGGAAAAGGATCGAAGGTTCATTGCTTCAGACGATGAGGACGAGGGTGAGATGGATGTGGGTGGGGGTGTGGGTGGGAGCAGAGGAGGAGGAAGGGGAGGAGACGCGCGGTACAGATCGTGGAAGGAAGGAGGAGCAGAGGAAGGTGTGGAGGAAGGTTCGGAGGAAGGTGCGGAGGAAGGTGCTGGGTTATACGGCGAAGAGGAAGAGGAGGAGGAGGATGAGCAGGTGGCAGGGTGGGACAGCGTGTGTTATATCTGTGATGATGGCGGTGACTTGGTGTGCTGTGATGGCCCGTGTATGCGCTCTTTCCATGTGGAGCCTGACGATGAGGAGGAGAAGCGGAGGGATAAGTTCCACTGCCCGACCATTGGGCTGACGGACAGTGAGGTGCATGAGAAGGAGACCTGGCTGTGCCCGAACTGCGAGGCGAAGCAGCACGTGTGCTTTATTTGCCACCAGCTCGGGCGATCGGAGCCGGTTTTGGGTGGGAGTTCGGGGGCGGATGATGGGGGGGAGGGCGCGGAGCAGGGGCAGCAGGGGCAGCAGCAGCAGGTGCTGCAGGAGCAGGAGGTTTTTATGTGTGACGTGGCGCTCTGTGGGCATTTCTACCACCCGACATGTGTCGCGTCGTGGTTGGCCGATTCGAAGAAGCTGCCCCAGGGCAGCGAGGAGCGAATCAAGGAGTTGGAAACAGTCGCTGGGAACATCCGGGCAGGGTCCGGAATGTTTTTCTGCCCGTTGCACACATGTGCCAAGTGCCAGTTGGGGGAGGGAGATTTAGATTCTTTCAAGCTTGTTCCGTGCCGCAGGTGCCCGAAGTCTTTCCATGTGAAATGCCTACCACCAGACCTGAAACTGGATAATAATGACCCTAGTAACCCGCAGAGGGTTTGGGGTGTTGGGGATGGGTTCGCCGAAAGCCTTATGTACTGTACCCGGCATTCATTGGATCCTTTTCTTGGTACTGCTGCCCGCGGGCACCATAAATTTCCAGACGTGAGGCGGACTAGGGGGCCTAGGAAGACCAGGTGGTTTGAGGATGTGGAGGAGGGGGAGGAAGAGGAGGGGAGGGTGTTGGGGGAAGAGGAGCGGAGAGCTGGTAGGAGAGTGAAGAGGAGGAGGATGATTGTGGATGATGAGGGGGAGGGGGAGGAGGAGGAGGGGGACGAGGAGGAGATGGAGATGGATAGGTTTGGGAATGAGAGCAGGGCTGGGATGAGTGAGCGGGCAGCTGCTGGTGACGCAGGTGCAGCAGTGTCGGCCAGAGCAGGTGCTAAAGGGGAAGATAGGGTGATGGGTTCTGTAGAGGAGGAAGGAGCAGGAGCGGCAGGGGAGAAGGGGAAGGGGAAGAAGCGGACGTGGATTGAGAGGGAGAGGGAGGAGAGGGAGGCGGCTCTGAGGGCGATGGAGAGCATAGGAGGCATTCAGAGTCGCAAGGGGGGGCTCACTCACAAGGAGATGGCGCAGAGCTGGAACAAAGGTGCGAATTGGACTAAAAGTTATCCCAACTTTGTTTTAGTTTTGTGCGATGTGCGATGGATGGAGAGCAGTGGATGAACTCAGAAACATGGCTATGTGCGATGGATGGAGAGCAGTGGATGAACTCAGAAACATACATTGGGCTTACTCACAAGGAGATGGCACAAACCTGGGCCCAAGGTATGTACACCCTCAGAATTGTTGAGTCGCCGGAGTAAATATCCCAGTCAGACGCGATCGTTTTTGTCTTGAACTCGACTCGACACATGCAGTCCTTTTCCTAGTAACCGCCTTGTGGATTTGCAATGCCAAACACTGTTTATCGGCACACCCCTGCGACCTGGATGCGTCCAGGGCTTACCTGAGCAAGATATGTGCTGCTACAGCCATTGCATCAGTTGATTCAAGAACCTACCTCTCCACCTTCCCTCCCTCCCATATCCTGCCATCACTGGCAAGGCCCCCCACGCCACATGTTGACTTCTGAGTCGACTCAAAAGTCACCTCACTGGCAAGGCCCCCCACGCCACATGTTGACTTCTGAGTCGACTCAAAAGTCACCTCACTGGCAAGGCCCCCCACGCCACATGTTGACTTCTGAGTCGACTCATAAGTCACCTCACTGGCAAGGCCCCCCACGCCACATGTTGACTTCTGAGTCGACTCATAAGTCACCTCACTGGCAAGGCCCCCCACGCCACATGTTGACTTCTGAGTCGACTCATAAGTCACCTCACTGGCAAGGCCCCCCACGCCACATGTTGACTTCTGAGTCGACTCATAAGTCACCTCACTGGCAAGGCCCCCCACGCCACATGTTGACTTCTGAGTCGACTCATAAGTCACCTCACTGGCAAGGCCCCCCACGCCACATGTTGACTTCTGAGTCGACTCATAAGTCACCTCACTGGCAAGGCCCCCCACGCCACATGTTGACTTCTGAGTCGACTCATAAGTCACCTCACTGGCAAGGCCCCCCACGCCACATGTTGACTTCTGAGTCGACTCATAAGTCACCTCACTGGCAAGGCCCCCCACGCCACATGTTGACTTCTGAGTCGACTCATAAGTCACCTCACTGGCAAGGCCCCCCACGCCACATGTTGACTTCTGAGTCGACTCATAAGTCACCTCACTGGCAAGGCCCCCCACGCCACATGTTGACTTCTGAGTCGACTCATAAGTCACCTCACTGGCAAGGCCCCCCACGCCACATGTTGACTTCTGAGTCGACTCATAAGTCACCTCACTGGCAAGGCCCCCCACGCCACATGTTGACTTCTGAGTCGACTCATAAGTCACCTCACTGGCAAGGCCCCCCACGCCACATGTTGACTTCTGAGTCGACTCATAAGTCACCTCACTGGCAAGGCCCCCCACGCCACATGTTCCAGTACCCCTGCGACCTGGACGGGTCCAGAGTTTGTTTCAGAACTGCACACTATCCACCCACCCACCGACCCATACCGCACTTCACCCCTCTCCCTCTCTCCCCGCCCCCTCCCCGTTCTGTCCTCGTCCCCATTCACAGGCAAGGCCCCGCGGCACATGTTCCAGTACCCGTGTGACCTGGACGCGTCCAGGGCTTGTTTCAAAACGGTGCCAAGAGCTCCCAGATCCTATCAGTGTCTCAAACACACTCTGCCTACCTTTACCCCTGCTTTCCCTACCAGGCAAGGCCCCGCGGCACATGTTCCAGTACCCCTGCGATTTGGACGCGTCCAGGGCCCGCCTGAGCAAGATATTCGAGGCCGCAGCGAAGCAGGTCACGGAACAGACGGCCAAGGCCGGCCTTGCCGTCCCGTGCATGTACCAGCACTGCCACAACAACGCGGGCTCCGGCTTGGGCGGCAACGCGGGCGGCAACAACAGCAACAACAATCAGGGCGGCAACCCTCGGAAGATATCGCTGAGCAAGCTCGAGTCGATCCTCCACGCAGGGGAGAAGGCTCGGAATTTTCTTGTCAAGGAGTTGGAGCAAGCAGGGTTCTTGTCAGCCCAAGCACTGCAGCAGGCAATGGGGCTGTGCCCGAAAATGCAGCTCCAGCAGCTGAATGTGATCGGGAGCACTCTCCGTGTGTACCTCTCCCCGTACGTGCACGGGCAGAGGTATACGTCTTTCGGGCGGCATTTTACGATGCCCGAGAAGCTTAACGAGGTAGTGGAGCGGCTGGTGCCTTATATGGAGGATGGGGATGTGCTGGTGGATTTCTGCTGCGGGGCGAACCACTTCTCGCTGATTGCACGGCATCGGTTGGAGGAGGCGGGGAAGCGGTGCGGGTTTGCGAATTTCGACATCATGCGTCCTCCTAACGAGTTCTGCTTCGTCAAAAGAGACTGGTTCTCTGTCAAGGTGGGTGCAAATGGGTGAAGCTGGGTGCTGCTGGGTGCTGGTGAACAAGCCTGCTTGCTGATTGCACAGCATCGCCTGGAAGAGGCGGGGAAGCGGTGTGGGTTTGCCAATTTTGACATCATGCGTCCTCCCAACGAGTTCTGCTTCGTCAAGAGAGACTGGTTTTCCGTCAAGGTGGGTGCTGATGGGTGCTGGTGGGTGGGTGCTGCTGGGTGCTGCTGGGTGCTGCCGGGTGCAAATGGTGAATGGATGATTGGGTTAGATAGACCAAGGTGGGTGGTGCTGGTGGGGATTGGGAGGTATGGTGTGGGGATGAGGCATGGTGTGGGGATGAGGCATGGTGTGGGGATGAGGCATGGCATGTGGGAGAAGGCATGGCGTGGTGGGAAGTCGTTAACACATGGCATACTTGTTTGTTTGGATGAATGGATTCACCGTGGAATCAATGGATGGATCGATTCGGCTCGATTCAATGCATGCATGTTATTGGTAGGTCCAAAAGGCGTTTGAACAGCAGTGGGGTAATTGACCATTGGTGGCACATGTCTCCAATGGTGGCACGTCTCCAATGGTGGCACATGTCTCCAATGGTGGCACATGTCTCCAATGGTGGCACATGTCTCCAATGGTGGCACATGTCTCCAATGGTGGCACATGTCTCCAATGGTGGCACATGTCTCCAATGGTGGCACATGTCTCCAATGGTGGCACATGTCTCCAATGGTGGCACATGTCTCCAATGGTGGCACATGTCTCCAATGGTGGCACATGTCTCCAATGGTGGCACATGTCTCCAATGGTGGCACATGTCTCCAATGGTGGCACATGTCTCCAATGGTGGCACATGTCTCCAATGGTGGCACATGTCTCCAATGGTGGCACATGTCTCCAATGGTGGCACATGTCTCCAATGGTGGCACATGTCTCCAATGGTGGCACATGTCTCCAATGGTGGCACATGTCTCCAATGGTGGCACATGTCTCCAATGGTGGCACATGTCTCCAATGGTGGCACATGTCTCCAATGGTGGCACATGTCTCCAATGGTGGCTGCTCCCTCCACCTGATAGCTTCTGTGCTGGTGGGGAATGTTCTTGTGAGGGATGTGCTGGTGGGGAATGTTCTTGTGAGGGATGTGCTGGTGGGAAATGTTCTTGTGAGGAATGTGCTGGTGGGGAATGTTCTTGTGAGGGATGCGTTCCAATAGGTTGTATGCTATGCTGTTGGGGTGCGTGCCAATAGGGTATGTGTGAGTGCTGGTGCGGAATGCCAAAGTAGTGCAGGGAAGTGGTGCAGGGAAGCTGCCCGTTGTTGAGGCGCCAAAAAAATCGCAGAGAAGCTGCTTTTTGCCACGAGGTGACTTTTGAGTCGACTCAAAAGTTACACAGAAGTGGTGCAGGGAAGCTGCCCTTTGCCGGTCACTGCTCTGGACTATTCAGCTTGCCACTTCATACAGTTGCAACTATAGCCGCTAGTTGTAATGCAGTGGATCTAGATGTAATGGAGCGGAGCTAGTTGTAATGCAGCGGAGCCAGCTGTAACGCTGCAGAGCTGATGTAACGCAGCAGTGCTACTGGTAACGCAGCAGAACCATTGGTAGTGTAGGAGAGGTAATTGTAACGCAGTACAGGTAGCAGCAGGGCTCGTAGCTGTAACGGGGAAGGGCTAGTTGTAGCCCGACAGAGGAGGACGTAACACAGTAGAGTTTTTTTTGGTTCGACAGGGCTAGTTCTAGCACAGGAGAGCTAGTTATTGGGCAATATCATGTGGTAAAGCTAGCCATGTGTTGCTGCTGCCTTGTTCCTCTTTCCATACCCTGCCATCCTCCTATCCGTGGCACATCCTCATCTCCCAGTCGCCTCCCTTGCCTCCTCCTTCCCATGCCCATATGGCGGAGAGAGCGTCATCCCGTCAGCAACAATCGATCGTCGTTGTCTTCCCGTCTTCCTGCGTGAATCTTCCAGCTCATACCAGCACCTCTTGTGTTGCTACAAAGGAACGACCTCCCTCTTCACAAGCGCCTCATCATCGGTATTTTTGAGCCGTCTCAAAAATCCCTCTTCACAAGCGCGCCTCATCATTGTCTCAACCCGGCCTTTCGCTTTTATCCTTTGCACATCGTCAACTTCTTCCCTTCTCCTCCCTTGCCTTTCTCTATCCCACGCCCATACAACAGAAGAACCAGCAAGGTAATCGCCCCATCATGGGCCTCAACCCGCCCTGCGGTGTGCTAGGGCAACTCGCCTCGATGTTTTCGGGCCGTTGCGCCTCTGACTTACGACCCAAGGTCATCATTCTCATCCCTCGCCTCTTTCGTCCCACGCCCGTACAACAGAGGAACCAACTCCCCCATGGCGATCGCCTCATCATGGGCCTCAACCCGCCCTTCGGCGTGCGAGGGCAACTCGCTTCGAGTTTTTCGGGCCGTGCCGCCTCCGTCTACCGACCCAAGCTCATCATTCTCATTGTCCCCCCGGAGACGCGACAGCTGGGCCCACTTGGGTATACGCTACTGTGGAAGGACGAGACGATTTTTGAGAATCGCGCGTTCTACTTGCCAGGGTCGCATGATAAGGACAACAAGACGATGAATCAATGGAATAATATCCCTCCGCCCTTATACCTCTGGTGCCGCAACGACCTCGTCCACCGGTAAGGGAAGCAAAGTTTACTTAGTTGACAACTTTTTTAGAGGACCCCTTTCCTTAGTTGACTTTAAAATTTGTCTATCTAAGTTGCACTTAAAACTAAATTCCCCTCTCTACCCCATTCTTTTTCCACCCTCCCTTTTTAGCTACGGTCCTTTGGCGGACCGTCTCGGGCACACAAGAGGCCTCTTCTCTTCTCCACGGCCCATGCCTCCCTCGTTGCTTGCAGAGCTCAAAGTTGCAACCTCCATCTCCACCACAGGTGCGTTGATTCTTGTTTTTCCATACCCTTCACATGACTCCGATTGTCATAGTGGAAAGAGAAGATCGAAGTGGTTCGATGTTGTGCTCGACCTAAGCTGCCACAATCATTAGGCCTCTTTTAAGGCCTCTTTCAACCTCCAACTCAACATGGTGGTCGAATACTAATGTCATGGTTAAACTCCCAATCCATTATCGAAATCCTAGTTGAACCCAAACTAGGTTCAAGTGCCTTGTGAGTAATATTATGAAGCTTTTTATTAGATTGAACAACACGTACACTGGAAGTTTGGGAGGGAATAAGTTGGTTGGGAGCAAGTGATGGTTGGGATCTCAACCACCATTGGTTCTTAAAATGTGGTTGGAATGTCCAAACACAAAAGAAGGGGGTATGTGTTGTAGGAAAAACCGCTTGCAAGCGGGGTTTTCACTATATTTGGGTGGATTTGCACTCTAAATGCAAATGCACTATAAGTATCAAAGAACATAGTTCAGTTCTTCAATTATGAATCTTGGGTATTGCGGAGAGTCACTCTACACCAAAAGCTGGACTACGGGGAAAGGCACGGGCGGCACAAATGATTGTAGCGTTTGTTCGTGTTCTCTCTACTTGTTTCTTCACAAGACAAATTGGCAAGAGTTTCACTAGCATAGCATTCACAACAATGGTGCAAAGATGGTATGCAAGAATGACTACCTACATCTGGGCCCTAGAAACCTAGCAGACATGCAGGTGGACTACCAACTCAGCAAGTCGGCGACCCGCCAACACATCTCGATGGCGGCTTGCCAGCACTGCAAGTCGACGACTTGCCAGCGCTGCAACACATCGGCTCGCCAAAGCTGCAGCAATGCGGCCTGTCAGCGTTGCCTCCGCTTGTGACCTTAGCGCATGAGCGCACCAGGTGCATGTGGACGGTTGAGCACGTTGTGCATCGTCATAAGCATTTCACATGTGCCAAGTCGGCCACGCGCACCGATAGTTGCGCCAAATGTGCCACGCCGACCTCGTGCGCACGTGACATTCCCGTAGGTCGGCTTCGCCAAAAACTCTGGACGACGTTCGCGCACCTCCGCAGAACTTCATCAGCGAGGTTACACGATTGATCGGAGGAGGCCGCCGACGGCTGCAAGTCGGCGCCTCCAAGTTGGCGTCATGTCGACGAACACCTCCGTCGGCCGTCGATTTCACCTTGTTGACCAACGTCGTGGCCGGCTTCGCCAAAGCTGGCCCTGTTGTAGCCGACTTCCTCCAAGTCGGCTAACCGTCGAAGTCGGTTAATCATGCCGACTTGATCCTCCAAGTTGGCCAACAAAGCCGACTTGGCCGCCTGCAAAGTCGGCTTTGCCGTTCCAACGAAGTCGGTTTACCCGTGGATCGACAAACCCTTCGTCGACTACGGTGAAGCTGTCCGCCGACTTCGCCAAGTCGGCGTTTCAGGCCGACAACCTCCTTCGTCGACCACGGCAGTCGAAGTCAGCCGCCGGCTTCCCGTGGTCGGCGGCTTCGCAGTGGTGCCCTGCAGGTTGACCAACTTCATCGACCTGCACACCCAGGTCGGCTGCACCTCCCGCGCACCCAACCACGAAGTCGGCTTGGCCAAGCGAGGGCGAGGCCAACTCCTGTGAACAGGTACAACACGAGGCTATATATAGCCGCGTCACAAGGCATGCAATCGGGATGTTACGATAAGGTACCGAGCCTCGAGAACCGACCAGAACGAAACCTTTTCGAGTATGGTAGAGGAAATCGGTGACAGTCATGCTCACGCAAGGTCAAGCAAGATAACTCCCTTTCAACCTTCTTCAACCTTCTTCAACCCCCTTCAACCCTTAGGTCCTCTTTCAAGTCCCTTCAATCCCCTTTAATCCCCTTCAGCCCCCTTCGACCCCCTTTTACTCCCTCATAAGTTCCCATGGAGTCCGTTGATTTCGTGTGCTTGTAAATTCATCCTGTCTCGATTCCGTTCTACCGTCCAATCCCGCTTCTCAGGCCTTTGTTGCTGGGATCTCCTTCCTCCTTTCTCTACTGTTCATCCAAGCGGAAGGCTCGATATGAGAATAATTTGATGTTTTTGACAGGATATGCTCCTCCCATATCAGATGGGAATCAATTCTCTGAGTATTTTCAAACTATGATTCCTCTAATTTTCTCAGGTCTGGACCCTGCTTCCATCGCTGCTGCTAAATCGCAAGCTCTGATACTCCTCGGACCTAACATCTGGGCTCGGGCTGGCTGTGGCTTGGCCGAGGGAAGAGCTTCGGGAGATGATGTTGGTGGTGCGGATGAAGGCGGTGGTGTTGCTGGTGATGATGGTGGTGGTGGTGGTGATCGTGATGATGGTGCTGCTGTTGCTGTTGGTAATGGGGATGGTGGCGGGCAGCTGTATTTGGAAGGGAGGGGGAATGAAGTAGGGGAGATGGTTGGGTTGGATGGTCCGGGCGTTAATGAGGGCAGAGGAGGAGGAGACGGAGAGCCGGAGTGTAGGAAGATGGGGGGTTTGAAGCAGCTTCGGAGGGAGGAGGAGGAGGAGGAGGATATGAATGCGAAACGGATTGTGAAGGTTAAGCGGGAGTTTGATTATATGGGGGATAAAGGAGTGGGTGATAGTGGCAGGGGTGGGATTGATGGGGTTGGGTTGGGAGGAGAGAAGGGGTTGGTGGTTGGTGGTGAGTTGAGTTCGAAGGTTAAGGTTGAGATAGGGAGTGAGAAGAGAAATGAGGAGGGAAGGAAGGAGAATGAGAAAGAAAAGAGGGATAGGGAGAGGAAGGAGAGGAAGGAGAAGGAAAAGGAGAGGGATAGGGAGAGGGAGGAGAGATTGAGGAGGAAGGAGAGGGAGAGGAAGAAGGAAAAGGAGAAAGAGAAAGAGAAGGAGAAGGAGAAGGAGAAGGAGAAGGAGAAGGGGAGGGAGAGGGAGAGTGGAGAGGAGAGGGAGAAGGAGATTGAGGTGCAGAAGGATAAAAAGGAAGATGGTGCAAGGGAGGAAGGAGAGAAGGATGCTTTGAGTGAGAAGGGAGAGGAGAGAGCTGCTAGGGATACCAGAGACAAGGACGGGCTGACTTCTGAGTCGACTCAAAAGTCATCTAGGGATACCAGAGACAAAGATGAGCTGAGGGTTGATAGAGCAGGGAGGGAAGGGAGAGAGGGAAGAGAGGGGAAGGAGCGGGAGAAGGAGAGAGAGCGCGGAAAGGAGAGGGAGAAGGAGAAGGAGAGGGAAAGGGAGGGGGGGGGGGGAGGGAGAGGGAAAAGGTGAGACAGGACGAGTGGACAGAAATGGAGCGGAGGAGAGAGGTGAGGCGAGAGGGAGAGTGGATAAGGAAAGATGAGCAGAGGAGGGAGGAGGAGAAGTGGGCAGGGGGCGTGGGGAGGGCAGGTGGGTCCAGGAGGGGTGAGTTTGACGCAATGCAGAGCTGGGGGGAGCAGCAGCATCACAGGCGTGGGCGAGAAAGGGGTGTCTATGGAGAAGAGGGGAGCCGTTTTGAGACGTCTCAAAACACCTCTTTTATCACCCGGTACACGAGAGCGAGGGGCTGGCAGGAGGAGGGAGGGCTTGTGCGGCAGGGCTATGATGAGCGGCGTGACAGGGGCTATGGTGAGGGGCGTGACAGGGGCTATGGTGAGGGGCGTGACAGGGGCGGGCATTATGGTAGGGATGGCGGGCGCAGCGCAGAACGAGGGGCCGATGGTTGGCTGGAGAGGGAGGGTGATAGGGGGTTAAGAGGGGTGGTGATGGGAGTCAGTACGATGCGAGGGAGCGTGATCAGCGGCTGTACATGCGCGGTAGGGATGTGGATGGGAGGGAGAGAAGGGAGGAGGGGTATGAGGGGCGGAGCGGTGGGAGGAGAGGAGAGGAGGCGTGGAACGAGCGTGGAGAGAGAGGGTATCGAGAGGCGGAGGAGAGGGGGCAGAGGGGGCGGGACGAAGGGGTTTACAGGGGGAGAGACGAAGGGGGTGACATGGAGGAAGGTCGCATTCTCGCCAACGCAGCAGCAGCAGCAGCAGCAGCAGGAGGAGAGTTTGCCAGCCCACAAATGCAATCTCTCGCTCTCCCCCCTCCCCTCCCTACACCTACCCCATTCCCTCTCGTTCTCGACCTCACCCAAGGCCCGCACCCCCCCATGTTCATCTGCTCTCAGAACTCCCTCTCAGGCGCCATCCGGGTCCCCATCTCATTCGGCGAGCCCGTGGGGGGTGCGCTCTCTGCAGCCAACAGTGTTCTCTTGGGCGGTCAGGGCGTGCAAGGGAGAGTGGTGTCTGCCGTGCCTCCTGGGTTTGGCCCGGACGAAGGGCAGCACGAGGTGAGTGCGAGGCAGAGGCGGGTACAAGGCAGGGGAGGGTGCGCTCGCTCTCTGCTGCCATGCCAACAGTGTTCCCTTGGGCGGTCAGGGCGTGCAGGGTAGGGTGGTGTCTGCCGTGCCTCCTGGGTTTGGCCCGGTCGAAGGCTAAGGCGGCTTGAGTCAGCAAGAGGTGAGTGCGAGGCTGAGGTGAGTGCGAGGCTGAGGTGAGTACAGGCAGGGGTGAATGTAGTTTCCGCCAACAGTGTTTTCTTGGCGGTCCCAACATGCAGGGGAGAGTGGTGTCTGCTGTGCCTCCTGGGTTTGGGCCGGACGAAGGGCAGCAGGCAGGCTTTCTGTTTGCTGGAGAAGGAGAGAGTGGCTTGAGGCAGCACGAGGTGAGTGCGATGCAGAGGAAGGCAGGTGAGGGTGTGAGGCAGAGGGAGGCAGGTGAGGGTGTGAGGCAGAGGGAGGCAGGTGAGGGTGTGAGGCAGAGGGAAGCAGGTGAGGGTGTGAGGCAGAGGGAGGCAGGTGAGGGTGTGAGGCAGAGGGAGGCAGGTGAGGGTGCGAGGCAGAGGGATTTGGGCAGCTATTTAGCTTGGAAGGAGAAGATTGAATGGGCAGCAGGAGGAGGTGAGTGCACGGGTGAGTGTGAACTGGTGGGGTGGGTCATGGCAGGCAGGCCGGTGGATGAACTGGTGGGGTGGGTCATGGCAGGCAGGCCGGTGGATGAACTGGTGGGGTGGGTCATGGCAGGCAGGCCGGTGGATGAACTGGTGGGGTGGGTCATGGCAGGCAGGCCGGTGGATGAACTGGTGGGGTGGGTCATGGCAGGCAGGCCGGTGGATGAACTGGTGGGGTGGGTCATGGCAGGCAGGCCGGTGGATGAACTGGTGGGGTGGGTCATGGCAGGCAGGCCGGTGGATGAACTGGTGGGGTGGGTCATGGCAGGCAGGCCGGTGGATGAAGGTCCTCTGACATCTGCTTCTGCCTCTGCTGGCCGTTTTTTCGAGTTCTGCTTGGAAGGGTAAGGTGCTGCTGCAGGGCATCAGGAGGTGAGTGCATGGGTCCTGACACGCTTTAGAAGCCGACTTTTGAGGCGCCTCATCAGCCGTTTTTTTTCGAGTTTTGCTTGGAAGGGTAAGGTGCTGCTGCAGGGCATCAGGAGGTGAGTGCATGGGTCCTGACACGCTTTAGAAGCCGACTTTTGAGGCGCCTCATAAGCCGTTTTTTTTCGAGTTTTGCTTGGAAGGGTAAGGTGCTGCTGCAGGGCATCAGGAGGTGAGTGCATGGCTCCTGACACGCTTTAGAAGCTGACTTTTGAGGCGCCTCATAAGCCGTTTTTTTGCGAGTTTTGCTTGGAAGGGTAAGGTGCTGCTGCAGGGCATCAGGAGGTGAGTGCATGGCTCCTGACACGCTTTAGAAGCCGACTTTTGAGGCACCTCATAAGCCGTTTTTTTTCGAGTTTTGCTTGGAAGGGTAAGGTGCTGCTGCATGGCATCAGGAGGTGAGTGCATGGCTCCTGACACGCTTTAGAAGCCGACTTTTGAGGCGCCTCATAAGCCGTTTTTTCCGAGTTTTGCTTGGAAGGGTAAGGTGCTGCTGCAGGGCATCAGGAGGTGAGTGCATGGCTCCTGACACGCTTTAGAAGCCGACTTTTGAGGCGTCTCATAAGCCGTTTTTTTCGAGTTTTGCTTGGAAGGGTAAGGTGCTGCTGCAGGGCATCAGGAGGTGAGTGCATGGCTCCTGACACGCTTTAGAAGCCGACTTTTGAGGCGCCTCATAAGCCGTTTTTTTCGAGTTTTGCTTGGAAGGGTAAAGTGCTGCTGCAGGGCATCAGGAGGTGAGTGCATGGGTCCTCTGAAAAGTGGCGCAACGTAGGTGGCCGGCCTTTCTCTCGCTCCTCTCTCGAAACGTTTCGAAGAAAGAGCAGCAGAAAGAGCCTTTCTACCTCCTGTTTAGAGACGATTTAGAACAAGACAAGCAGCCATATTTTCTCTCTTGGCCAAACCATGGATGAGACGTATTGAGTCAGTTCAGTGAGTCACTTTGATAGGTCTCCTTGATAGCTAGCTGTCTCTTTAGCCTCGCAACTGTGCGCTGAAAAGTTCGTCCAGAATCAAGTCCCAGCTTTTTTAGGCGACTTTTAGGCCGACTTGAAGGCGATTCTTGAGTCGACTCAAGAGACACCCCGCAATATCGTTTTTGGGCAGTGAAAATGCTGACCGGAACCAAGAACCAACAGTTTTAGCCCATGCAACTGTTCCGGACCCTTGGCAAGAATTCACTCTGCTGCGTCCTCCATAATTCTTGATCAGTAGTTTAAGCCCAGGTGCAGGAGCAGGTGCAGGTGCAGGTCCATGAGCCCAGGATTTTGCGAGAATGCAGCCCGGTTACTTTGCAAGAGAGTGCAATTCGTGGCAAGTGACCTTGCAGCGACCTGGCTCGTGCAGCCCGGCTTCGCACATTGTCACACCGTGAGCGGAGCTGTGGCTCTGGCCTATCGGCTGCTGCAACATGTGCTGGGCGGTTTGATACGTGCAGCCGTGGCTGGGCTCGAGCACTTTTGGCATTGGTTCAGCTCGATATGAATCGGTTCGGTGCGACAGGAACTTGTTCGGCACGATAGGAACTGGTTCGGCGCGATAGGAACTGGTTCGGCGCGATAGGAACTGGTTTGGCGCGATAAGAACTGATTCGGCGCGATAAGAGCCCATGGCTGTGCTCGAGCATGCTCCCCCACGGCTGTGCTCGAGCATGCTCCCCCATGGCTGTGCTCGAGCATGCTCCCCCATGGCTGTGCTCGAGCATGCTCCCCCATGGCTGTGCTCGAGCATGCTCCCCCATGGCTTGCTGGTTTGGAGTCAAGAAACAAGAGCGACCCATGACTGGCTCGGCTCGTTAGGAACCGGTTCGGCTCGATAGCAGCTGATTCAGCGCGATAGGAGCCGGTTCGGCTCGATTTTTTTACGAGATCGAAATCGATGCGAACTTCGTGAAACGATTTGCAATTTGATGCAAACTCGAGGTCAATCCGAGCTTGGATTATGAGGCAGAGAGGGCTCGTGGCTAGGAGAATGTACTCGTACCCCTTTGTTCAGACGTTTGCATAGTGACACATCTGGATAGCGAGACCTATGGGTAGCGAGAGCCTCAGGCAGATATGTGCAAGGGGAGAGCAGCAGATGCTGCTGAATCGATACGCTTTGGAGGTCATCTCTGCTCTGGTCACATCAGGTCTACTTACTATTTCGGGCTATTTTCCTCTGCATGCCTTCCATGCCTGCCCTTGCCGCCCACACATCATCAGCAGGGCATGCGTGCTGGCGGGCCGGGGGCTCCTGTACTCGTTAGTAGCACAGGGCGCATCCTCCAAGGAGCCGATCAGATGGAGAGTTTCCTGCGCAATGCAGAGCGGTTGGAGGCGGCAGGAGCAGCAACTGGAGGAGTTGATGAAATGGCACGTTTCTTGCGCAACGCAGAGAGGCTCGAAGGAGCAGCAGCAGCAGGAGGAGGAGCAGCAGCAGCAGCAGCAGGAGGAGGAGCGGCAGCAGCGGCAGCAGGAGGAGGAGGAGGAGGGGGAGGAGGAGGAGGAGGAGGAGGAGTTGGAGAAGCGGGGCTTGGGTTGATGGCTGGTGGTGGTTTGAGCTCGCCTATGCCACCCGTGCACCAGCTGCAGGCTGCAGCAGGGGGTGCATTGGGACCAGGGGATGCAGGGAGGGAGGATCTGAGCAGCTTTCTCCGCAATGCAGAGCGGTTGGAAGCGGTGCAGGGGGAGAGATATGGGGAGATGCGTGGCAACATGGGTGGGGGCATGGGCGGAGGCATGGGTGGGCTGCAAGGCGAGCTGGCAGGTGGCATGAGAAGCCCCTCAATGGGACCCATGGGGCCTGTGATTCGCACGCACATACCTCCATTCAACCCCCATCGACCCCCACCGCCTCACATGTCTCTCCGTGGGCCCATTCCACCCGGCTTTGAAGACGGACCCGCCTTTCCAGAGGCGCGTTTTGGAGAAAGGCCGCCTCACATACAGCAGCAGCAGCTGGGGGATCCAATGGAGCCTCTTACTGATGTTGCACCGGTGACTGTACGAATGGTCGGCACGCATCGCGTGATGGTTGTCGCGGATTCGCCCGTCCGCCCACCAATGGAGCAGCCAAGATCAATGGGCCCAATTCCCCCTAACGTGCTGCTCGAACTGCACGGTGAAAGGCCTCCCTTCTTCCCCCATCAGCAGCAGCAACCGCAGCATTTTGGAGAAAGCGTCCAGATTCGTGGAATCCACGAGCGGGGGTTCCCGGGCCCCCCTCACCACATGATGCAAGGCCCGCCGGACTCTCTTCCTCCACGCGGTGAATTCTTTCGACCTCAAGGCCCTCGAGGAGAGTTCTTCCCTTCTCGAGGAGGGCCACATGGGCCTCCCTTACATGGCCCTCCCCCACATGGCCCTCCCCCGCATGGCCCTCCGTTCGGCCCGCCACCGATTCCCAGTCAACAAGGACCTAGGGGGCCTTTTGGTGGCTTTCCCCCCATGGATCCCCGAGGAGGAGTGGAGGACCGTTTGCGTTTTGGTGGTCGTGGCCCGCGGGCCGAATATTGGGGGTTGGATTGATGAGTAGAGGAGTTGATTGCCCTTGCTTCAGTTTGTAGTTTCTCACACGATGGTCAGCTTCATTTCTTCAATTACTTGAAGGGTGTGCTTATTTGGTACAACTGTTTATTTCGTACATTGATGTGGGCTGTTGACAACTGTTTGAAGGACTGTCATTAGGTGAGTTACAGTCTTACCACGTTTTGTTAAAGCAGCAGTATACATTTGAAAGTACTGTTGATTTTGGAACAGTACCCACCAAAAGCAAACCCCAACGAAAACGAACAGGCTTGGCGAGAGGGTCGGCGAAAGTTTGGAAGGCTGTTGGTTGCGAACACGAAAAACTCTCCCGTCACCCAACACCTGGAGTCACACTCAGACACTAGCAAATGCCTTTCCACAGGCAATATAGAAGGTGACTAAGGGGGCCGAGGAGTAGCGGTACCACTAAGAAACTCGCTGTTGGTAAGGGGACACGTGTCACAAGCATTTCTACAACACCCTACTCTCTGATGACTAGACTCGTTCTAAGGCCTCGCACGCGATGTAGGAATAGCCTTTGAAGAGGCGCGCCGCATTCCATGCGCTCTCCTCGCTGGCGATATTCTCACGAAACCTGCAGCTCGATCGCCGAACCCGCAGCTCACGACACCCGCTTAGCGCGTCAACCGCGACTCGCCTAATGCCACTCTGCGCGCCCCACCGCTTAGTGCCTAACCGCTAAGCGCCTCACAGCGAAAAGCGCACGATCGCTAAGCGAGCGCCTCACCGCATAGCGCCTCACCGCTCACGCACTGCGATTCCTCTCAAGTTTTAGTGCAGGCGAGTGCTTCTCGAACCCATCGCTCGCCTCTCTTAGCACTCTCACCCTCTGCTGGCCTCACCTGCTGCTCGCGTCTCTGGGCGAATGTCGAATTCGCCCAAAATGCTGCGCTCCGCGAGGCGTTCGCCTCACGCGCTGCTTGCCACCGTTGAATGGGCGCATCGCCATGAATGCGGGGAGCCCGTCGTCCAACCTCCTTCCCCGGACCTCTCATTTCCCCTCCCTGTTCCCTCATTTCCCCCCCTCCCTCTCTCTTTTCCCCCACTACTCCTACCCCTTGTTTCCCCCTCTGCTTACCCTCGTTCCCCCCTCTCTTTTCCCTTATTTCCCCCTCTCCTCTCCCTCGTTCCCCCCTCTCCATCCCATCATTTCCCCCTCTGCTTCCCCTTGTTCCCCCTCTCCATCCCCTTCTCTCACCTGTCCATCCCTTGCCTCCCCTTCGCATCCGTCTAAAGCTGTGAGCGAAATCAGACACAACTTTCCCTCACATCCCCTCTCCCTCCCCCGGTTTGTTACCCATCCCTCCCCCTGTTTGTTACCCATCCCTCTCCTCCACCCATCCATCTCCCTCTCCCCCTCGTTCCCCCCTCTCCTTCCCCTCGTTCCCCCTCGCCTTCCCCTCGTTCCCCCCTCTCCTTCCCCTCGTTCCCCCCTCTCCTTCCCCTCGTTCCCCCTCTCCTTCCCCTCGTTCCCCCCTCTCCTTCCCCTCGTTCCCCCCTCTCCTTCTCCTCGTTCCCCCCTCTCCTTCCCCTCGTCCACCCCCTCTCCTTCACCTCATTTCCCCCTCTGCTTCCCCTCGTTCCCCCCTCTCATCCTTGTTCACCCCACAACTTCCCCTCATTTCCTCTCATCACCTCCCCTGCTCCCTCTCACTACCTCCCCTGCTCCCTCTCACTACCTCCCCAGCTTCCAATCTTTTCTCCCTCTGCTTCCCCTCGTTTCTCCCTCTCTTTCCCTTCATTTCCGTCCCTGCTTCTTCTTTGCCTGCTTTCTCTTCGATTGCGTCTTGCCCACAGTTCCCCCCTTACCCTCCTTCCTCTGTTATTTTCTATGCTACCGTATCACCCTCCTTTCTCTGAGTTTTTCACCCCTTCTTACGCTTTGTCTCCCCACCTGCTTGCCCTTGTTCGTCTCCACCCCCTTACCCTCCCCCCAACCCGCTCTTCCTGCACGCTTGTACTCTGTCCTCCGGATTTCCAGATCATCTTTACTCGATATCTGCTCTGTGCAGCATGGAGCACAGTGAAGTTGTAATCTCAGTCTACAATGTGTGTGCCTCAATGTATCTAGCCATAACATGGTATTACAACTCATTTACATTCTGAATAATGGTAGTGGAATCCAATGGTTGTCACGTGACCTCTGTTCTTTCAAATGGGCACAGCACAGCATTGATGTAGAGAAGAGAAGCTTGAGAGGAGTATGTACACATGATAAAATCATCGCAAAACATTGTACAAGACAGCACCTTCCACTACTCTTTGTGTCGCCTTCATTCCCCCCCAAACTCTTGGACCTGCTGCTCCTCCCTTCATGTCGCCAAAATTGCCCGGGCCTGGCTTTGCCCTGTGTGTAGCAGGATTGCATGCAAAACCTGCAGCTTTGCGTATGCATACTGGCTGTATGACACGTGGTGTCGCAACCGTAAATAGTGGGGCCCCGAACCTATGGGAGGGAAGGCAGGGATGTGAGGAGGGAAGGCAGGGATGTGAGGAGGGAAGGCAGGGATGTGAGGAGGGAAGGCAGGGATGTGAGGAGGGAAGGCAGGGATGTGAGGAGGGAAGGCAGGGATGTGAGGAGGGAAGGAAGGGATGTGGAGGAGCGCGGATAAGGAGGAGGGGAGGAGGAGCGCAAATAAGGAGGAGGGGAGGAGGAGCGCGGATAAGGAGGAGGGGAGGAGGAGCGCGGATAAGGAGGAGGGGAGGAGGAGCGCGGATAAGGAGGAGGGGAGGAGGAGCGCGGATAAAGAGGAGGGGAGGAGGAGCGCGGGTAAGGAGGAGGGGAGGAGGAGCGCGGATAAGGAGGAGGGGAGGAGGAGCGCGGATAAGGAGGAGGGGAGGAGGAGCGCGGATAAGGAGGAGGGGAGGAGGAGCGCGGATAAGGAGGAGGGGAGGAGGAGCGCGGATAAGGAGGAGGGGAGGAGGAGCGCGGATAAGGAGGAGGGGAGGAGGAGCGCGGATAAGGAGGAGGGGAGGAGGAGCGCGGATACTTGCTCTCATTCCCCCCCCCTACATGCCTCCCTCCTCTCATTCCCCCCCCCTACATGCCTCCCTCCTCTCATTCCCCCCCCCTACATGCCTCCCTCCTCTCATTCCCCCCCCCCTACATGCCTCCCTCCTCTCATTCCCCCCCCCCTACATGCCTCCCTCCTCTCATTCCCCCCCCCTACATGCCTCCCTCCTCTCATTCCCCCCCCCCTACATGCCTCCCTCCTCTCATTCCCCCCCCCTACATGCCTCCCTCCTCTCATTCCCCCCCCCCTACATGCCTCCCTCCTCTCATTCCCCCCCCCTACATGCCTCCCTCCTCTCATTCCCCCCCCCTACATGCCTCCCTCCTCTCATTCCCCCCCCTTGCTCCCTCGATGTTTCCCCCACTGCTCCTCTACACTTCCCCCCACTTCTCCCGCTCATTTCCCCCCTTTATCCATCTCATTCCCCCCCCGTCTCCCCCTCATTGGCCCCACTTCTTCCTCTCATCTCCTCCCTTGCTCCATTTCCAACTCTGCTCCCCCTGACTTCTCCATCTTCTCCTCTCGTTTTACCCTTCTCCCCCTCCCCCCCCCACCCCCCTTTCCATCTTCTCCTTTCCCCCAACCCCGTCTGCGGGGTGAGTGAGCTGGCGGGGAAGGGAGAGGAATAAGAGGGGACGGGGGAAGTGCGGATGGCAAGGAGGATTTGAGGGGGAAAAGAGGAGAAGAGAGGGTAAGAGAAGCAGGGGGGAAAACTGAGAGCAGAGGAAGAAAGGAGGAGCAGTGGGTGGAAAGAGGTGCAGTAAGGGAAAGGATGAGCAGAGGGGGGAAAGAGGAGCAGAGAGGGAAAGAGGAGCAGAGGGGGAAAGTAAAGTAGGGGGGAAAAAGAGGAACAGAGGGGGGAAAGAGGAGCAGTGAGGGAAAAGAGGAGAACAGGGGGAAGAAGAGAAGCAGAGGGGGAAAAAGAGCGGAGGTGGGAAAGTTGAGAAGATGGGGAAAGAGGAGCAGAGGGGGAAAATAGGGGAAGCAGGCGGGGAAATGGTGGGAGGCAGGGGGGGAGATGAAGGAGGAAGAGCAGGAGTGGCGGGAGGACGAGAGTCGCGGGAGGACGAGAAGGCACGGCGGGAGGGGGAGGAGGCATGGTGGGAGGGGGAGAAGGCATGGTGGGAGAAGTCATGGTGGGAGGAGGAGAGGGGGTGGCGGGAGGAGGAGAAGGCATGGCGGGAGGAGGAGTGGGGGTGGCGGGAAGAGGAGAAGGGGAGAAATGAGGGCAAGCAGGGGAGCATTGAGGGCAAGCAGGGGGAGAAATGCGATCGTGCAAGGGGGAAAACAAGGCGTACAAGGGAGAAAATGAGGGCGTGAAAGGTGGGGAAACGAGGGCAAGCAGGGAGGGAAAACGAGGGCGTACAGGTGGGGAAGTGAGGGCGTTCAAGGGGGGTGCAGCGGGGATGCGGAAGCACAGCCGTTGCAAGAGAGTGAGAGGGGGCCGAGGGCCTTATCCGAATGCAGCTCGCGAAAGGAGGCCGCCGAGACGCGGAGAGGCAGCGACGGGAGGCAGGGTGAAGCCGACGACGCTGGCTCGGCATTCCATGCGCGGGAAAGCGAGAGGAGGCCGCGCGGGGAGGCGAGAGTCGCACGCGCGGGGAGGCGAGAGGAGAGCGCGGGGAGGCGAGAGTCGCACGCGCGGGGAGGCGAGAGGAGAGCGCGGGGAGGAGAGAGGAGAGCGCGGGGAGGCGAGAGGAGAGCGCGGGGAGGCGAGAGTCGCGCGCGTGGGAAGGCGTTAGGAGAGCGCGGGGAGGCAAGAGGAGGAGGCGCGGGGACGTGAGAGGAGGAGGCGCGGGGAGGCGAGAGGAGCAGGCGCGGGGAGGCGAGAGGAGAACGCGCGGGGAGGCGAGAGGAGAACGCGCGGGGAGGCGAGAGGAGAACGCGCGGCAAGGCGAGAGGAGGCCGCGCGGCAAGGCGAGAGGAGGCCGCGCGGCAAGGCGAGAGGAGGCCGCGCGTGGAGGCGAGAGCAGGCCGCGCGTGGAGGCGAGAGGAGGCAGCGCGGGGAAAGCGAGAGTCGAGCGCGCGGGGAGGCGTGAGGAGGCCGCGCGGGGAAAGCGAGAGGAGAGCGCGCGGGGAGGCGAACGCGAGAGGGAGGGCACGCGAGCGGCGAGCGGGAAGCTGCGGCTAACCTCGCGCGGCGAACGGCGGACGGCGAGCTAGGAGTGGAGGACGGGATGGGATGGCAGATGCTAGCGCGTCGAGGCTAAACGGGACTCTGTGGGGAGGGGAGGCGCTGTCGCTAATGGCCTCGCGGTGAGGCAGCGAGAGGAGGTGTGGGGCGGCCTTGTCTAAGTTGGCGTGGCCTCTGCGAGTGCGTACGAATGGGCAATTTGTCCGCGCATGCGCGCAAACAGCGTTACGCGGTTCAATAACAGATTCTGTCCCTAAATTTAGCTGTTTGGTTAGAACGTTGCCTAGCCTACGGGGAATAACCTACTGAAGTAGGAGCGCGTGGGCTTTCCTCTCAATACCGCAGTTTCAGTTTCCTTTTGCAAGTCCTAAGGTCTTGAACTGTGAGTGCGGGGAGCCGGACGTGGGGCGTTTGGGGACTCACTTCGCCTGTCAACTGGGGGGTTGGGGGCTGTAATCGCGTAACCAGTTTTTCAAGTTCCTAAGGTTTTTGAAACCCCTGCTTGCAAAAGTATACTGTTGCTTTAATTCTCTAGCTGTTCATATTGTACGAGATGTATCCAGTTGTTGGGCGAAAATCGCGATGTGTGATTTTCGCCACCCAGCGCGATACAGCAAGCGAATCAGGGCTAGCTAGCAGCCAGTGCACCAACTAGACATCTTCCACCCAGCAATTCGAATTTCAGGTTAGGCTCGTTTACCGCTTTGAAACTCATAGAACCGAATAATGCCGCCTGTTTGCGAACTGAATGGAAACCATGTCTGCCTCCACTCTAGCTCAAACTGTGGTGTCACAATTATAGGGGGAAGCTGCCCAGTCCATCAATACCAGCCAAATGCGACACATCTCCTCGCCTGTGCAATTCGATGCATGTGTACCATGACTGACAGTCGCAATTACTGCTCTGTGCGATTGATGGATGGCAAGTTCCACTTCGATGCCATTGCGTTTCCGCATAACCCCTTTTTGGGGTCAATGGCGATTATCGGAGGCGCGTTTGAGCCTCACCCGTCGCTCCCGCCCAGCCAGCCTCGTCTAATGGCGCGTATCTCCGCTGCGGAATAGTTGTTATGAATTGGACTATAAATGGAAGTAGTTCTCATCCATCCAATCATCCAGCAATCCACCCTGGTCCTCTCGGCCTTCCACACTTCTAGCCTACTCGGCCTTCCACACTGCTAGCTACTACAAACCTCTTCCTCCCGCAAACCGAGCTTCTGTATCACTGTCTCTCAAGTCATGGCCTCAAGTCCGGTTCGCGTGCTATTCCTAGGTACGAAACCGTCTCGTTTTCTTTTTTCCTCCATCTGATTTATTTTTGCTTTTTGTTTTAAATTGGAAAAAATATCGGCAACCCGACCTGAGCATATACCTGCTTCTGTCGCATGTGTTGCATGCGTGCAGCTATCTTCGCTGCACTGGTGGCCCTTGCCTACTCGGATGACGATAAGGATTATGGTGCGTGTCCCTTCTGCCTTCGCTGTCCAACATTCTCCTTTATTTCCGTGTCTTCGTTTCTTACCTTCCATTTCTCGCATCATCTCCCCTTGTCTTCCGTCATCTCATCCTCACTCACCCTTCTTCTCGATCTCACTTGACAGAGCGTTTCAACTCCTTGCTGATTGGAGCCAACGAGGTTCCAAAGAATAACTCCGAAGCTGCCAGAAACGCTGTTGGGGACAAACGCGGCATGGTCCACATGAAGCTTAAGATCTACAAGTGAGTCCTTCCCCTTTCATTTGTTGTGCCACATCTGTGAGGCATGAGCCGCCAATGTGCTGCCTACACTTGTTTCAGCTTCATTTGATACCTCTGGTGTCTATCCGTGATCAGGGAGGATGGCAAGCCTACGTGGCTGGAGTATTCAGTGAAGGCGTTGAAGCTGGAAGGCGAGATGCCCCCGACAAAGACGCACATACACCCGGGGAACAAGGGGCAGAACAACCCAGTGCTGCTGGACCTGCCTTGCTCGTACGAGAGGAAGAGCCGCACTGACTGGCGCTGCAAGGGCTCCCTTGGGAAGAACGAGCACGAACGCACCAACGACCTGGTGTCAGCGCTTAAAGATATATCTGAGAATCCGAAGGGGCACTACGGGAACATTCACACGAAGAAGTATCCTGATGGTGCCGTGCGTGGTCAGCTCTCCAGGGACTAAGGCTTCAGTTACGGTAGATTCTAAATCTTAGGAGGTTCTGACTACGGTAGATTGAATCAATGAATAGAGCATGTGGAAGAGTACGTGGAAAATAAAATCCTGAGGATGGTGTGGGAGTGCGGTACGTGAACGGCAGTAGAATCTGTATCCCTCTTCTTTCTATGAAATTGCAATATTTCAAGGTGGTAAAGGTTCTCGGTCTATCGGTTTGTGACTCGTGTGTAAGTAGGACGTCATCACTTCCAATAACTGCCCTGTGCAACTTCGTTCTGGTCGGGTTCACCGTACGCGATACTGCTACTGCCCGCCGAGTACAGCCCGCAAGTGTACAGAAAGTTCCCAGATGCCCGAAGAAACAAAGGTCCGCTGCATCGCACAGCACACAAGTCGGAAAGACAAAAACCTATTCCAACCGATGTCACAGCCGAAGATGCTTTTGCCCTCGAAGCCCAATCGAAGACAATGGTAGTTGATTTCTAATCACACACCACAATTATACGCCAGAACCAGAATGTAACGCGTGTAATCCTTTTGCACCGCACGATACGATTGACGAAGTTATGTCTTGGCAACGGCTACTCTGCCCCTCATCCACCCATCGCGCTGCCCTGAGGGCGAAGTACAACTTTTTGTACGCTCACTGCGGTCAACTTCGTTTCATCACGGTGCACAGCGGTGAATCTTAAAAACCGCTTTCCACCGTGTGGAACCATCCTGAGCCACGATACAAGATTTGTAAAAGTGTGAATAGTGAACAACCTGACATCGCCCTCAGGATCACGAGTTCCAACTTCCAAGGTTCAGTAACGCGTCACGACTCACAAGAGCGAGCTTGAGCAACGCGTCAGAGCTCACGTGCGGGATAGCCAATCAACGCACATATATCCTTCTTGCATAGAGTTGCTATTATTGAAATTTGGAGGCCCAATACAATGCTGCCTAACCAGAACCGGCAGGAATGGCGATTCCGACGCTGATGTCATGCCGACTGATGCGCTCACCTGACTTATTGATCGTTCGCGGTAACACCGGATGCGCCTCGTCACCTCCAAGCGTGGCTTCGAATTGTCGTCGGGCTGAGATAACTTCGCGGAATCTCACATAATCCCGTCCCTCAATCTCCACGTTCAGCCGTATCGCATGGCCTTTCTTGTCGTTCCTTCTCCGAGCCTGAACGTGATTATACATGAGGGTAAATCAAGTCCCTAGAAACCCACCTAGACCTACTTCTGCATTTCGTTGACCTTTCTAGTAGAAGCAGTAACCTGCTCCTTCTTTTCAGTTGACTATTCTTTGACGCATGGCCTACATTCGTGCTCGTTCCGTCCTACTATTCGGTAAGCGTTACCTCTGGAGAGAGTCCAAGAGAGTCCTTAACGACATTGTCAGCTCACTCCAAACTCATTGCTTGCCAGCTCAATCCAAACCTATCGGCTGCCAGCTGTCAACCAGGCATTGTAACTCGATCGATTTCCGCTCTCGTCGTGTGTGTGCTTCGTGCAGTGTTCCTTGCGGCGGCGCTGGTCAATGCCTACGCCGCTGGTTCCAGGAAAGACGCTCCCTTTTCTACTGGTCAGTTCGAGATTCCACGTCTGCATACCCCCTGATGTTCACCATGGATTTCAGCGTCACCCTGAAATCTCAAAGGCGCGTGATTTTCCAACCTGAACTCACCCTTCTCTCTCTCAATCTCAAGAACGTGGTTACCCAACGATACAATTCGCCCTCTCTGAAGTTGGCCTCTTGTTAGGCACTCTGTTGAACCCTGTGGACATTTTTGTCTGCGAGCTATCCTAGGATCGGCAAACAATGCTGTTTGGTGTAGGCCCAATGGGACATGTAGTCAAACCATGATGTTTGGTAAGGCCCGATGGGACATGTTTAGAGCGATGAAACAATGCTTTGGATTTTAGAGACATGTTTATTGTTAGGTATGCTGGCCACGACAATGAACTTACCCACGCACCACCAATAACCAATGTCACCTCCACCATTCCCTCCTCACCCCCCACACCCCCCTTCCCCCTCCTTCATCCCCTCTCCCCTCGGTTTGCTCTGTCAACAGACGCCATCGAAGCCATCCTGTTGGGCAAACTCGAGGTTCCCAAGAATGGCTCCAAAGCTGCCAGGAATGCCGTGGGCGACCCAAGCGGGTCGGTGGTAATGAGACTGGATATCCACATGTGAGTTTGTCAGGCTTGAATCCCGCAGCTCTAACGAAGGAGAGCTAATGGGTGCTCAGCAGGTGCCAGGTTTCGACTCCATGTTCAAAACTCTACTCTGTCATGTGATTCATGTGTCTGTCAACTCTTCCCCGGTAACCCCGTTATGATTGACTTCGAAATGAACCCCCGTTTCACTGATGCGTGATATCCACGGAAAACGGCCAGCCAGTGTGGCTCGAGTACAGATTGGCAGCTTTTCACATGCAAGGCAATATGCCGCCGACTATGACGCATGTACACAAAGGAACAGCGGGATCAAACGGTCCCAAGGTGTTGGATCTGCCATGCGAATACCAATTTGAAAAGGAGAATGGTATCTGGCTATGCAGCGGCGTGCTCGGGAAGGTAATGGCGGAACGGACACCAAAGCTTGTGTCGATTCTCAAGGCAATTCGGAAGAATCCGAGGGGGTTCTATGGGAACATTCACACCGTGAGGTATCCTGACGGCGCAGTGCGTGGGCAGTTCGGCAAAGCTGCTGAGGAGGGGGTACGCTTTGATATGTGGTGGGGAACACTGGGATAAGGGCGCGTAACCATTTTGCATTTTTTTCATTTTGACGTACCGTCCGCTTGTATCGAATCGGACGGTCCGTTTATATCGAATCGGACTGTCCGATTTGAATTTTTGCAACTTTGGACTGCCCGTAGGCTGTCATGACACTTTTTCATCAGTCTAGGGTTTCGCGATTGTTTTTCCTTCCAGCTCAAATGTACACCCATAACTCTTGTTTCTCGCAATTTTCGCCAGGGACATTCTGCGCCTCGGACAAAGAAAAGAAATGTCAACCAAGCTCAAAGGCCATCCAAGCGAAGCCCCACCAATGTGTACATTTGACTGGTCAATGTCAATGTTTACGACCAAGTCGCACATTTCTATGTTTTGGCGAGGCGGCCCGCTGAAATTCAATATTGCCCGCCAATCACGTGCGCAGACTGGAGGACAGTCCGTTTGTGTTTCGGACGGTCCGATGTCAGAGTTTCGGTACGTTGGAAACGGGAAAAAGTGTCATGACAGTCCGAATATTCGGCGACGTCGCCAATTTTTTCGCTAAAACCCTAACGACGTTGCGCGAAAATCGTTACCCGTCGCCACGACGGACGGTCCACGGTTCGAACCGTCGGGTGCAAAATGGTTACGCGCCCTAAACGAGCATGGCCAAATTCATATACCATATTGCTTCACCCTTTATCATTGTCCGTGTACAGTTACAGAGAATACTAAAAACGAGAACAAATTGTACCACTGTATTCAGATTTCACAAGTTTTACATCGGTCTGTTCAGGTGCATCATGTTCGAAAGCGGTGAAAATGCATTACCGTGATCTGCTGTGTAGAAACTCTTGGTCGAGCAACACATCTCGACGAGTCAGAGAAAGCGAATCGTCTCGAAATCCGCTGCATCGCACCATACACCTGATTCCCAAATTGCACCGCTGCCGTAGGCTAGGAAGGAAAGGGATGGTCGATCTCAACACAACTCACAGACTGTATACCTCGGTATGTTTTGAATGCGGTAATACGATTACCGTGTAGTATTAGTGCACCTCAACGGCTTTATTTTCCTTACTCGCCTCCCCTCCCTTGGTTTTCCAGATTCCGCCCAACCTGCTTTCTGCCATGGCTTCGCTTGAAGGAGGGTTGGCTCCAGCGAGCTTCACGAACGCGTCACATCCCAAGTGCATCATAGCTCACTTGAAACAAAAGCCAATCAGCGAAGCGAGCATGACTCCCCCTCGCCTTGAGCCGCTACTCTTGAGTTTCTGGGAACCTAACACTGGACAGCGTTCAGAAGCGAACGAGAACCGGCAAGAACGGCGGCGATGTCGCCATTGCCATTCCGACTGATGCGCTCGCCCGCCTTCTTGATGGTACGCGATCACGCCTGAAGCGCATCGATTCAGTTCGAATTAGAATGATATTATGGCTGAGGTACTTTCGCGGAACCTCTTAGCTTTTCGTCCCTCAATGTCCACATTCGGCTGTAACACCAGGTCGTTCTGGTCCTTCCATCACAAGCCTCAACATGACTATAACTGATGGTGATTCCATTTCCTAAAATCCCATCCAGAAGTATTATGCATTTCGTTGACCTTAATTCTAGCAGTAGCTAGTTACCTCTAGCAAACCAATTTCTAGTTGACTGCCCTTTGCCTCATGGCCTTCATTCGTACTCGCTCCGTCTTACTATTCGGTAAGCGTTACCATTTGGTCAGCGCTTTTAATCGATAGGCATTACCATTTGCGGGAATCCGCAACGCCAATGCCAGCTCACTCCAAACTCACTGCTTGCCAGCTGTTTACTGATGGTAACCTGATTACTAATCTCGCCTCTCATCGCGTGTTTGCTTCGTGCAGCTTCGTGCGCTGGTGTCGACTGCTTACTCAGAGAACCCAGGCCAGCTTCAAATAGCTCTCCTTTCTGTTTTCCACCTTGGCGAAATTCCACATTTCCATTCCCCAAAAGGCTCTCCCCTGTATGAACGTGCGTGGATTTCAATTCCACGCCGAAATTCCAGTGGCTTACCCTCAAACGGTTCTTTGATTTAGTAATAACAGGCATGCAGTCATGTGGGAAGCGAACCAGCACTTTTTACTTCCTGCCTTCACAGTCACCTAAGTCTTTTAGGGGAGCTCCACAATGGGCTGCAGTATGGCGAAGCAGTGTCTCTCATACTCACCGCAATGGATACTTTTACTTACAGTGTCTCTCCGCCAAGTTCCAATCTCGCCTCCACCATCCCCTCCCAACCCCTCCTCCCCCCCCCCTCCTTCTTCTTCGATCTTCCCCTGAACAGACTATTTCATTGCCACGCTGTTTGGCAACAGGGAGATTCCCAAGAATGACAAACTCGCCGTTGGCGATCCAAGGGGCATGGCGGACATGACTCTAAAGATTTACCAGTGAGTCGGTCTGTCAGGCCTGTAACTCTAGCCAATGTTCAGATTGCAACTTTGTCATGTGATGCACATTTAAACCAGTTAATGATGTCTCCGAAGTAAACCACAGTTTCCCTGACGTGTGGTTACACTATTCAGGAACAAAAGCCCAGCCTGTGAAGCTTGCGTACAAAGTATTGGCTTATGAGCTTGAGGGGAATATGCCGCCAATTATGACGCATGTGCATAACGCAACAGCGGGATCAAACGGCCCCGAGGTGTTGGCTTTGCCGTGCAAGTACCGGCTCCGGCAGGTCACCAGCGAGTGGCAGTGCAGCGGCATGCTTCGGAAGAAAGATGCTGAATGGACGGAGACGGTTGTGTCGGTTCTCAAGGCGATTTCGGAGAATCCAAGAGGGTTCTACGCGAACATTCACTCTGAAAAATATCCTGATGGTGCTTTGGGCGGGCACTTAGATATGTGACAGGAGTCTTGAGAGAAGTTGATAATTAGGACTCATGTCCTGGTCTGAATGGTTACTCAGGGAAAGCAGATCAATGGGGTTGAGGGGTGTTACTTCGATGTGTTCGTACTTTTCTGCTTGAGCTTCCCTTGTACAATATTTGAAACATGCACCATTGAAAGGTCAAATCCTTCTACCATATTTCTGTGCCTTGCCACCCACTGGGCTTCCCCTGTGCCACTCACTGCACAGCACAACATATCAGTAGTCTGCTAATGAAGCTACTTGTTCCCTCTTCCCTCTTATTTGTTCCGTGTAGCCTTGTTTGCTGTTCCCTGCTCTTCCTGTTTCCTGTTCCCTGATCCATGTTTGTTCCCTGTTCCCTGCCCTCTTCACTCTTCTGGCCTGCCGTGATCCCTTCATTCCAATCCGCTCCTTAGGCCTGCTCCCCCTGTGCCACACACAGGTCACATCGGCACACAAAGCCGTAGTCTGCCAGAGCTTCCTTTCGTTCCTCTAGTGGAAGAGACTCCTCCACATACGATATGAACACCTGTGGGCAATATTAGGGGTTGGGGGAGGGGGGGGGGGGGGAGGGGGGAAACGTGAGCACATAGGTTGGGAGGGGGTGGGGAAGGAGTCCCATTCTTGTGGAAGTGACTCCTTCACATAAGAAATGAACACCTGTGGGTGATATTAGGGGTTGGGAGGGGAGGAGGGAGGGGGGGGGGGGGTGGAAACGTGAGCACCTAGGTTGGGAGGGGGTGGAGGAGTCTCATCCTAGTGGAAGGGACTCCTCTTCATAAGAAATGAACAACTGTGGGTGATATCGGCGGAGGGGAGAGGGCAAGGGCGGAGTGGGGGAAGGGGGAAGGGGGAAGGAAACGTGACTTTTGAGTCGACTCAAAAGTCACCTCGATATTGGCAGAGGGGAGAGGGCAAGGGCGGAGTGGGGGAAGGGGAAAGGAAACGTCTACACTTGTAATGGGCAGAGAGTAAAATCCGGCCAGCCAGGGATATAGCTGTTACCAGAAACATCATATCTTGCCCTGATGGGGTTACCAAGGAATGCATTGAAACACGTGCATCAAAACACATGGAGAATGGGAACGGCGCAAGCAGACGAACCTGCTCTCCTTTCTTGATGTCTCGGCTTGCCAGCAGCACGGCTCGACCATCCACGTCCTGCCATGTGTCACAGCAGCACAGGGCCAGAGTTAGTGCTTGTCGCAGCATGTGATATAGTTAGAGGTTGTCAAGAGGAAGGTTTCACAGCAAAGGGTCAGCGCCCTATCTTTGAGGCCAGTGGTGAAGTCAGCGGTTGTCAAGCCTCAAGGGCTCACAACAACAGCAATGAGATCCAAGTATCTACTATTCAGGCTCCTCAGAAGCAGGCCAGTGGTAGAGCTAGTGCCTATCGAGCTTCAAGGCCGCACTTCAAGAGAGATGCTGGCCAAATGCATAGGTATGCATGGGGAAATCAACTCGTTGCAAAAAACGAGAAGGTTGATTAAAAAACGAAAGTTTGATCTTCCAAATACCATTTGGATTCTGGACAAAACCTGCTGTGTAGAATGAGGAGGCTTAGAGTGATATGAGTGATTGATGCTGGTGGCAGGCATGGTGGCAGGCATGTGTGCTTCAACCGCACAAGAACATCCATCACTCACCACATCTGGCTCACCTCGTCTCGCTTGAAGGCATGCGCGTTGGGCCAGCACGAGTGGTTGATGCTGCTCTGAAGAGAATAGAAGGCAGTGCCTGGCAGGCAGAGAAGGAAGAAGAATGAGATGTGGATAAGTGGATGGCAGTGCTGTGACAAGCATGATGAGCGGTTGATGCTGCTCTGAAACGAACAGAATGCCGTATCTGGAGAAGCGGACTGAACAGCGGAGATTGAACAGACAGAGAGGATATTAACGTAGAATCAGGCGATTGAGATTTGAAAGATCTCAGAATTCATTACTGAAGAATTCCATACCTTCACAGTGCCATTGCAGCAAAGGGTCATCATCACCATCCTCGCTTTCCCCATCCTCCTCCTCCTCTTCATTCCCATCTCTGTCTCCCTCCACCTCACCTTCCCCCCCTCCCCCATCCCCCTCTTCACCAGTCACCCCCTCCTCCCCATGTGCTTCCTTTCCCCCACTGTCACTGTCACCACCTCTCCCTGCTCCGCCTTGCTCTAACAGCTCCCTTAGTGGGCCCACCACTGCTTCTGCTTCTGCCTGCACCAACAAACAAGCACACATGCATATGCACGCACAGAGAGGCAAGGTTCAATCAGTGGCCCACTGGTGCTTCTGTCACCACCACCTCCCCCCCTTTCGCCTTGCTCTAGTAGCCTCCTTAGCGGCCCCACCACTGCTTCTGCTTCTGCTTCTGCCTGCAACAACAAGCACGCATGCACGGAGCAGGTGTGTGAAATGAAGAATGAAATGTGATGCAAACAGTGACATGTCTCTAAAGGAAAGAAACGTCTCAAGGTCAATCTGTGGCCTAATCATTGCTTCTGCGCATGCCTCTACAGCCAAGCAAGGGTCAAAGAACTCGAGTTTCCAAGGAGCAAAGAACGAAATCCGCGTGCATTGAGGTCGTTTTTGAGGCGCCTCAAAAACGACCTCAGAACTCGAGTTTCCAAGGAGCAAAGAAAGAAAGCAAGAGAACCAGACATGCAGCACATGCAGCTACAGGTAGGTACGTGTAACGTAGCAAATAGCAGGTAGAGAGATGACTTATGAGGTGCCTCAAAAGTTCTTGGGAAACGCCTTACCTGGTCGGTTGGTCAGCCTTGTACATGCCTTGAATTCGATGTCAGTAAGCTGTTGTTACTGCTGCGACTTGGAGTCAAGGATGCAAGTTCCAATCCAACACATAGATGCTCACCTGCTCGGCCTCGGCCATGCCTTGAATCCAATATAAGAAGAAGCTTCTGTTATGGAATCCAAGTATCAAGCTTGGGTTGACAGAAGTTCCCAACACACAAATGCTCACATGCTCGGCCTCGCTCATGCTTTGAATATGATGTAAGAAGAAGCTTTGTTACTGAATCGAATCATCAAACTAGGGTCAACAGAAGTTTCCAATACACAGATGCTCACCTGCTCAGCCTCGGCCATTTCTTGAATCCGATTGAAGTAGGTTGTTACTGGGGAAGGTACCACCAGGTCCCTGAAGGGAAGGGCATGGGACGATAGGGAAGAAAAGGGCTGCATTGTGTTGAAGCAGGTTGTTACTGGGGAAGGTACCACCAGGTGAGATTCGATGTCTGCCTACGTAGCCGATTCGAAGCTAAGGCATAGCCAAAGAATAAAGATAGCTGTTTTGAGGTGCTTACAGGTTGTTGAGCTCGAACATGCCAATGATAGAGCCGAAAACTGAGAGCAACAACACTAGTGGAATTTCATGTCTGTAGATGTAGCTGATTCAATTTCAGCCAATGATTCAATGTCTGTCCATGTAGCTGATTTGTTATGCTTACAGGTTGTTGAGCTCGAACATGCCAATGATAGAGCCGTACACTGAAAGGGACAGCACTGGTGGGAGGAGAAGGGAAGGGTACATGGTACAAAGAAGTGGCATGTTTCACATGTGATCACTTCATCATACAAGCATAATTGCAAATACTTCACCTCACATCACATGGTTACACTCACATGGTTACACTCACATAATTACACTCACATGGTTACACTCACATGGTTACACTCACATGGCTACACTCACATGGTTACACTCACATGGCTACACTCACATGGCTACACTCACATGGCTACACTCACATGGCTACACTCACATGGTTACACTCACATGGTTACACTCACATGGCTACACTCACATGGCTACACTCACATGACTACACTCACATGGCTACACTCACATGGCTACACTCACATGGTTACACTCACATGGCTACACTCACATGGCTACACTCACATGGTTACACTCACATGGCTACACTCACATGGCTACACTCACATGGCTACACTCACATGGCTACACTCACATGGTTACACTCACATGGCTGCAGCACAGGTGGCTGTGGGCCTATGGCTTGAGAGAGCAGTTTGAGAGACTGAGAGAACAGGGGAATGGGAAGGAGGAAAACAGGACGTGAAGAATAACGGAAGAGAAGGAATAGGGAAGGATGAACCAGGGAAGAAAGGGAGGAACAGGGGAAAGATATCAATAACAATCTGTAGCAGATTCCAAAGAAAGAAAAGCAAGCTAGTCAGATATGCAAACCTACAGCAGTAAACCTACAAACGATCTGAGCCGTCCGTCCATTCACCTCCACCACACCTCCTCGGCCATAGATTTCATGCAGGCTCGGAAAGAAGATTCCTCGCTGCTTCCTGCTTCCACGTCAGGCGGGCAAGCCACTGCCTCCCACCATCTGCAACGGCGAATCACGAGAGGACACATGGCGTCAACAATTCACAGAACAATACAATGGCAGCACAAATCATAATGGCCAAGCACTTGCTTTCGTCCCTCCCTCACTCACACGGCCTTGTGCCCCACAGCAAACGGGGTCCATGCCTCCAGCACCACCTTACACCTCACACCACCCCTTCACTCCCCCCCCCCCTTCTCACGCCCCCCTTCCTCTCACCCCCCTTCACTCACACGGCCTTGTGCCCCACAGCAAACGGGGTCCATGCCTCCAGCACCGCCTTCCATCTCTCCTCCTCCTCCCCCCCCTCCACAACATCTCCTCCACCTTTCTTTCTGAGTGAAGAGTCAGCGCGCGACAGGGCCGATGCAACCACCTGACGTTGGAACATGAACGAGAAAGAATTTATTTGTGATGCGTAGCATAGCCTAGCAGCTTTCAAGACGGCCCAAAAGTCCCACACTCCATAGCCGAGTGCCTGCCTATTATGCTTTCATACGTCCACCCAACCCATCCTTAGGGAAAAGCAGCTAAACTAGGTGCTCAATACCGTTTTCGAAACAAGTGTATGGGAAAAAAGGTACATCTGGCACAAATGCTCCAGCAGGAGCAATCAACTACCTTAGCGGCCAATCGGAAGATGTCATTTGATTCTGCAAAGGTCGGGGAGGAGAAAAAAGGACAGATACATTGGAAAGAGAAGGGCGGAAATGGAGAAGAGAAGAGAAGCCTGCTGAGGGATCTCGAAGATTGGAGCAGGGCAATCAAGAGGAGGATTTTTGAGACGTCTCAAAGTGGAGGACGGCAAATCTACTTTTTACACAGCACAACAATCGAGAGGAGGATTTTTTTAGCGTCTGAAAAGTGGAGAAGGGGAGAAAAGTGGAGAAGGGGAGAAAAGTGGAGAAGGGGAGAAAAGTGGAGAAGGGGAGAAAAGTGGAGAAGGGGAGAAAAGTGGAGAAGGGGAGAAAAGTGGAGAAGGGGAGAAAAGTGGAGAAGGGGAGAAAAGTGGAGAAGGGGAGAAAAGGAGGAAAGACAGCGGATGGTAACAGGAAGATGGCCATGCCATGCCATGCCATGCCATGCCTGCGCGACGATGATTGGGAGGAGAGGTATGACATGGCCAGGGAAGATCGAAACAATGAATGGGAGTAGAAGTTCCTGACAGGGTGTGAGGGACTTTGGCATGCGAGTCATGCCCCAGGCACAGCATGGGGCATGAGTCTTGAGTCCCAAACCCGCTACCAACCCTCACCTCTCACCATCAGCATGGGTTTAGAAGAAGGCGTTCAAAGCTTGAGTGTCTTTGGCATGCAAGCCTTGGCCCAGGCAGGCACAGCATGGTATGAGTGCGAAGTCTCCCAAACCAATCCCCCTACCTCCATTACCCTCAGCATCAGCATTGCCTCACCATCAGCATGGGTGTAGTCTGTAGAAGGCCTTCAGAAATCCAGTGTCTTTGGCATGCGAGGCATGGCCGCATGGCCCAGGCACAGCAAGGTCTCAACCCGCTTACCTCCCATAAACCCTCAGCATCAGCATAGCCTCACCATCAGCATGGGTGTAGAAGGCCTTCAGAGATTCAGTGTCTTTGGCACGCGAGTCATGGCCCAGGCACAGCATGGCATGGCCATCCGCCCATGCTGACGTGGCACATATGGAGCTGATGAAAGGGGTGCGTGATTCATGCATGGGGGGAATAGTGCAATGGGATGGGAGGTGAGGTGATAGCAGAGGGTATGAATGCATGCATGCATGCAAAACAGTGTCACCATGTGCGTATGGGATGGAAATCGGAGACATTGGCCATGGCCTGGGGCATGGCAGGCAGTAGGACAGGCAATGTGGAAAAGGATGTGGTAGGGTATGTCTCGGTTCAGGTTCAGGGTCTAGAGCATGTTGTATGCAGCAAAGGGGAAGGCGCCCTCGCACTCTCCAATGATCCAATCTACCACTTACTTCCATCAATGCCAATCACTTCCCATCTACCCATCCGCCCTTCCCACCTACCCGTCCAATAGACCAATGCTTCCCATCCATCCACCATCCATCCTCCCCGTTCACCTCACTCACTTCACCTGCAGAAGGTTTCTTGAGTGCAGCCGCCAGGGCAAGGCACCGCAGAAGGCAAGGCACCCACACACTCCAATCTACCACTGATTCCACGAATGCCAATCCCTTTTCATCCGCCATTCCCATGAGTGATTCCCAGCAGCCCTTCTCATCCAGCTCACCTGCAGAAGGTTTCTTGAGTGCAGCCACCAGGGCACGGCACAGCGGAGGGCAGAGCACCCACACACTCCGCATGTGGTAGCTTCAGCTGCCCGCTTGACAAGTGCTCTATGAATCTCTCTGCTGCTCTTGCTCCCGGTGATTCATCTTCTTGTCCTTCTTCGCCTTTCTTCTCCTCCTTTTCCTCCTTGGCCTCCTCTTGATCCTCCTCCTCGTCTGCTTCCCCCTCTTCCTCCTCTCTCATTCCCTTCTGCCACGTCAGCAGCCGGGAAACAGCTTGCTCCAACGGGCCAATGAAACGCAAGCAGTGGGAACAGACCAGGGCTCGGGCCTGCCACAGGGGTTGAGGGTTTTGGTTTAAGTTGAAGGCTTGAGAGACTCGGCGTTTTGGGTTTAATGTGACAGTACAGGATTTGGGGTTTAATGTGGGGGCAGACGAAGTAGCTACTCCAGTGGACCAATGAAACGCAGGCAGTGGGAGGCCAGTGCTCGGGCATGCCACGTCATCATGTGAGGAAGAGGGAAGGGAAGAAGACAACAAGACAAGAGGAGGAAACGAGAAAATAGAAAAGGGAAGAGGAAGAGGAAGAGGAAGAGGAAGAGGAAGAGGAAGAGGAAGAGGAAGAGGGGAAAGAGATGAAAGCATGAGCAGGATGGTGGGGAGAAAGCAAGGATGGAGAAGCAAGAACTACTTGCAAATAACGAATGGCAAGAGAGAGAGCATACGAGTGCTTCTCGGGTACTAGATACTAGCACACTGGACACCCTAATCTGAGTGTGCTAATTACCCTATTGTGAGAGTGTTGCATGCTGACCAACGGAGGCTCCTGCAGCACCACGTCACCCTCCTTGAAATCCACCTCAGCAAACACCCCTGATTGGACGAGAATGGAGGAATCAGCACACACAAAGCGCAGAGGGCAGATGAGAGCTGACAGCTGGTGCGAACAGGGCCGCAAGTTGTTTTATTAATGCAAGTGCAGGTAGTAGTGCATGTGGTGTGGCTTGACGGCAGATTATCGTTCTCAAAGACCAACTGAAGGCAGACTAGTCCTAGGACCTCCCGCACTGGCCAAGCTAGGCGAACCCCTCACACGGGGCAGTGGGCAAGGGAGGACTCCTAGCCAACCGCCACTCCCCGTTCCACCACTTGTTCTGGGCGTTCTCGAACTACTCAGCCTGGGACCCCCTTCCTCTGATCACCTCGCCCCGTGTCGCGCGTTACCTCGCCCCATGTCGCTCGTGTGTCGCACAGTGAGCCCTGCGCCCACGCCCGTCGCGAAGAGGTCGCGGAAAAACCGCTGAAGCACGGGAATTGCGTGGTGGGAAGACGTGAGAACACGCTCGAGGAACGATTTCGGCGTTTGGGAAGGCGAAAGAGGAATGTGGAGGGGGAGAAGAGGAGAGGAAGGGGGAAAGAGGAAGGGGGAAAGAGGAAGGGGGAAAGAGGAAGGGGGAAAGAGGAAGGGGGAAAAAGGAAGGGGGAAAGAGGAAGGGGGAAAGAGGAAGGGGAAAAGAGGAAGGGGGAAAGAGGAAGGGGGAAAAAGGAAGGGGAAAAGAGGAAGGGGGAAAGAGGAAGGGGGAAAGAGGAAGGGAGTGGATGGGCGAGGAGGGGAAAGGGAGGAGCTTTCTGGCATGGGAATGGGGGATGTCTTGTACTACATGAAGGGACCTGTAAAAATATATTTTTTTAGACGTCTCAAAAATAATATTTGTACAAAGGGAGGAGCTCTCTGGCATGGGAATGGGAGATTCTTGTGCTACATGAAGGGACCTGTAAAAATATAATTTTTGAGACGTCTCAAAAATAATATTTTTACAAAGGGAGGAGCTCTCTGGCATGGGAATGGGAGATTCTTGTGCTACATGAAGGGACCTGTAGCACTACATTCCAGTTACAATGCCACCGTGCCTTGAGTCGACTCAACGCAATAAATTATGGAGCTACGTCAAGGCATCGCCACTCATGATCAGATACTGTCGCCAGGGATGTCTGGCGTAGCAATGGGAGATGTCGGATACAACATTCCAGTTATGATGTCACTACTGTGCCTTGAGTCGACTCAATACAAGCGATCATGGCGGTACATCAGAGGTGTCGCCACGAATCATCGATTTTGAGCCGTCTCGTTTAAGTCACTCGTGGTCGTCTTTCTTGTAACGAGCGATCTACGGCGAGGTCAAAGAGACTCCGCGAAGTCTTAGGCGAAAGGACAGGCGACATGTGCACTGCATTGACGACTAGAGATAATAAAAACCCAGGAATCCTTCTATCGCGTACTTCGGCTACCGCTTCTGGCGGCCGTTGCAGCAACTGCTCCTCTCGCGACATCGCCATGGGAAATCGAGCTGAGCGGGAGTTCTGCGCGCGCGAAACTCGCTGTTCTGATGGTGCAGCTGCAATCCGGAGACACTAGCTTCTAGGATTTCCCGTCGGCTGTTGAACTCTTGAGTGATCACAAGTTTCGCTGCCATCATATTCGTGGGAACGGTAGCACATCCTCGTCACAAACAGGTCGTGTACATGCGTATATTGTGTAGGCTCTGCATTCTATAATTATACATATCTATTTTATTGTCATAGTTTTTGCCCTGTTCCACCGGTTCCACCTTTTCAAGAAGCACCCACACAATGATGCAAAGAAAACACTTCATACACATACACTCAATAACATCACCCGCCAATAATTGGACAGGTCAACCCAACATATAACGTAAACCCCAAATCCATTTAACAATCCTCCTCCTTGCATAGATGACTACCTCCAATTGAGCTTTCGCTTCATGAAAAATACTGCAGCTGGATACCGCATTATAAGCTCTAAATAATTGTCCCAAGTGGAGAGTGGAATGGAGAATATAAACAGCAGGCAGTTGGATGCAGAGGAGAAGGGGCAGCAAGCTAAGTATCCAGGCTGGATCAGCCAAACACCTCAGTGGTAGTCCACCGGGGCTGGGTGCTCCTTGAGTCGCTTGCCTGCCCTGATAATGGTCTGCCACAGGGGGATCGGGAGGTCCAGGAGAGGGGGGGGGGGGGGGAGAATTGCCACGCGTGTAAGATTAAGAGGCATACAAAGCTAGGAGTTGTGGAAGCAGAAGTCTCAAAAGCCATGCATTATTACCACCAAAAAAAAAGAAACAAACACAGGAACCAAACTCATGGCTACTCACTCTAAGCAGGTGTCAGTAGCCACCCCACACACCCTTGCTGTGTAACCAGGTAACCGCACTCCCTGAGTCACTGCAACGTAGTGGTTCATGTCCAGTGTCGTGCCTCGTTAGCTCGCACGGACAGCACCACGCCATACATCACTGACCGCAATCCCCACACACCCACAGGAACCAGGTAACCTCACTCTCTGACTCATCGCAGCGTAATGGTTGACGTCCCGATGTCGAGCCTCATCCGCCCACACGGACAGCACCACATTATACAGCGTTGCATCCTTGGGCAGCTGCCAGCAGTCGATCGCAATCTCACTCCCCACATTCCACACACTGATTTGGTAACCAGGTAACCAGAAGCCCATGTCTCCCCACTCACCGCAGCGTAGTGGTTCACATCCCGGTGGTGAGCCTCGTCCGCCCGCACAGACAGCACCACGTCATACAGCGTCGCATCCTTGGGCAACTGCCAGTAGTCGATCGCAATCTGTGGCGCCGGCACGTTGGCGATGCGGCCCTCGTCGATCTCCTTGAGGTACTGCGTGTATGAGTGCACTGCCTCCTCTTCCAGGTACCCCACGATGCGGTGAGCGATGCGCGGGGAGAGGAGGTAGACAAGGCCGTACACCGCAGCGAACCCGCTCTGTTAGACGTGGAATAAAGGGAGGGCAGCAGGGAGGAAAATAGCAAAAACATAGAAAGGAAGAAGAAGAAAAAAAACAGATCACAAAACGAATCCAAGTTGGCGATGCACCCCTGGTCAATCACTTTGAGGTACTGCGTGTATGAGTGCACTGCCTCCTCTTCCAAGTAGACCACGATGCGGTGAGCGATGCGCGGGGAGAGGAGGTAGACAAGGCCGTAGACTGCCGCGAACCCGCCCTGTTGATTTGGAAAACAGGGGGTGGAAGGGACGAGAAGTGCCCAGAAAAGAAAGAAAGGAAAGTCAAGTTGGTGACACGGGCCTCGTCGATCTCTTTCAGGTACTGCGTGTATGAGTGCACTGCTTCCTCTTCCAGGTAGCCCACAATGCGGTGAGCAATGCACAGGGGAAGGAGATACACGAGACCATAGACAGCAGCAAAGCCGCTCTGGTAGATGCGGAAAAGAAAAGTGGCAGGGAGAAAAGCAGAGGTTAGGGGAGGAAACGGGTGGTGATTGTAGCGTCCAGTACGGTCACAAGTGCTGACAGACCACGCAGCGACATGTCATTATTCTGGATGGTGTGGGGACTGTCCGCATGGTGTGGGGACTGTCCGCATGGTGTGGGGACTGTCCGCATGGACGGATCACCTCATCTGTGAAGACCTGAGATGCCTCAAAAGCCACGCTTGACGCTCAAAAACCAGCTGGACTGCGACACTTGCATGAAGGTCATGATGAGGCGCATGCGCTCGTCCTCCGCTTCTTCAAGCAGCGCGCGGATCCACCCGCCGCTGCTCCCCACCTGGCGCAATGAGGGACTGCTCATTGAATGAGGGACTGCTCATTGAATGAGGGACTGCTCATTGAATGAGGGACTGCTCATTGAATGAGGGACTGCGCGGCCCCTCTTCATCTAAGACTCCCCAAAACGGCGCACCAACTGTACCGCTCACCAGAACGAGTAGCAAGCGACCCAGTACGGAGGGCTCACCTGAACGGTAAATATAAGGCCACGCTCGAACCAAGTCGGCTTTGACACTTGCATGAAGGTCATGAGGTGCATGCGCTCGTTCTCCGCCTCCTCCAGCAGCGCGCGGATCCACCCGCCGCTGTTCTCCACGAGGCGCAGGCAGCGCATGTGCAGCAGCACGCCCGCCACCATCCCCGGCACCGCCGCGACGGTTTCCAGCATCATCGCACGGCATCCGTACCGTTTCTGCGCGCGGTGCAGAGCGGTGAGGTGAGGGGGGGAGGAAAAGGGTGGATTTTGAGTCCGAGTCGGAAGTGACCTCGTTTTCGGCACCATCGCGCGGCAAGAGCGCCGTTTCGCTGCGGTGGAGTGCGGCGCGGAGGGAGGAAACGGCTGACGAGAAATGCAAGCAAAATATACAGACGAGCGGAGTAACTGGAAATCCAGCAAAGAAATAGAGGGGAAGAAACAAATAGTGGGTGGAGCGGAGCAGACACCTGAAAGAACAGGTCGGTGGGAAAGCGGAGAGACTTCACGAGGTACTTGGCGAAAGCGTCACCGAAGCTGGTAACCGGAAAGTGCCTGTCAAGTTCCGTCTTTCGGTTTGCGGTGTAGGTGTCCGTAGGCTGCACATATCACCAAACGAAAACGGTGAGTGACTCAATATCAGGGATACAAAGCTCAACAAGCTTACAAATGATAAATACACGCAGGTAAGAACATAGACTTTAGAACCAAAAATTTCCACCGGATTTTGTCCCACAAATTCTTATTACAACAAATACTCACTCGGAATGAATGCCACGGCCAGGGCGTGCCATCCTCACGCAGGTATTGCTTGGGCTTGATTCCCCAATACTGTGAAAGCGCTTCCGGATCCCGTGCAATTTTCCTCATGTCCAACGGAGGCTCATTTTCCGCCTTGGGCTGCACGCCAGAAAGCCAAAACCAGAACCAGCGTTATTAGTGAGGCTCAAAATATGTCTGTTTTTGTTCAAGTCTCAGATGACGACAGCCAAGAGAGACGTACTTTGACGAAAGGCGTTCGTAAGACAAATATATTCATTCAGTCATGTCGTTTGTTTACCTTGCTGCTGTGTGCGTGATCCTCTGCCTCTTCTTCGATAACTCGAGCTGTCGCCGTGTTATGCGGGCGAATCTGAATCTTGAATCGTTCAAGCGTCGAGCTCGCAGCAGACACACTGCCAAAATACGGCGGCTGCGGCTGAACATTCGTCCACTGATGGCCGAAATTCACGCTTCCTTTGCTAGCCGCCGCCGCCGTTGCTGTGGTTGAAGCGCGAGAGATGCTCCAGTAGGCTGTTCGTGAGACAGACTTGGAAATTTCGCCAGCCGCGGAGCCGATGCGCGCTGCAGGAGCGAAAAGAGAAGGGGGCGTTGCGCACTGCAGTGCTCCGATCCTCCCAGTGGTCTCAGTCTGCACAGAGAGAACAAAGAGAACAAGACGCGAGGTTTTTAGGGGCCATCAGGGAAAAAAAAGGGTTCTATTATTTATTTCTTTCTTTCCTTTTGGAATTATTGGGTAGTTTCAACGGTAGAACGCTTACCACAGTGGTGTAGCAGGCCAATCGCAACGTCGTTTGATGTGCTGCAGGATGGTCCAGCAACCTTCGAGCCGCACGATTGTTTCTCAATACAGCAGCAGCCATGGTTGGCGATTGATATCAGCGGCTAGACCTTGATGATGGGAAGTGCTTGATCGTTAGCGAATATCGACGGAAGGTGGTGGGACGGTGTGAAATGAGATGGGAGTGGGCAGGACGGGGGACAGCGAACGAAGTGACGTAGCTGGAGTTGATAACGCTGCTGCTGCTGCTGCTGCTGCTGCTGGTGCTGTTGCTGCTGCTGCTTGCACCAAGCAGGGAAATTTAGAAGGTTGTGGATGGAGCTCGAATGTGAAATTGGTGAATACAAGTTGGGCTTTTTCAAGGCGCCACAGCCATATATTTTCGAGCCGCGTGAAGGATCGAACCGCCGCTGGGGTATGTGCCCACTGCCCAGCCAACAGTTCCTCTGGTCAAATCGAATTTCGTGGCATGGGAGCGCCCTGGTAACTTCTCACGAAGCCTGCGACGAGGAGACCTTTTTCCGCCGTCAATTCTGTTCGCCAACAGGCTGGCTGAGGGGCAAGCGAACGGCTGCCACGAGAATGGTCCAACCAGGTGACGCAGAATTTGGGGGTTGTGGAAACGGCGACGCTGATTTGCTGCTGAAGCTGCTGACTCGGATGCCGCTGGGAGGAGCTCAGGAGGACGAAGGTTCAAGCGAAATATCGTCGGCGATTTGTATGGCCCACGCGTCCGTGAATGCCGTAAACCCGAAGCCTCTGTCAATCTCTTTCGTTCGCCCTCGCTACGTATCACCACGGAGATTTTTGCTCAATTCCGCGGGATTGCAGATCGTTTTATTATCGCCACGCGGCATGCTTTCGATCGTGGGAACCGCGATCTGTTCTATTGTTCTCACAAAGTTCAAGTGAAATTTAGTTAAGCTATGTGCTGTGCTGCCCGCAGGCAAAAATAAAACCCGTTCGGGCCTGGCATGCGTTAGGGAGGCATCAACCCCAGACTCCTTGCCTCTAGGCGTTTCGGGTTGATGCATCCCTAACACATGCGTTTCGTATAGGGGTTTTAACTTTGCCCGCGGGCAGTACTGTAAAAAACTTAACTAAGGTTCTCGTGAACTTTGTGGCAACAATAAAACAGATCGCGTTTCCCATGATCGAAGGCATGCCACGTGGCAAAAATAAAACGAACCGCGACTCCGCGAAATTGAGCAAAACCCTCATCACCACGCATCCATCGGTCAATCCTTGGTTACACTACATCTGTCTAGCTCAAAAATCCTCCATTTTTACGGTACAAGACGGATTTGGGACAGGTCCTCGTGGGAATACATCTGGATTGGTAAGTACAGGTGACTGTCCACCAAGACACAACTGGACTACATATAGCACTGTAACCGAACATAAAAAAAAGAAATCTAAAAGATTCATAATTCTCACTATTAGGAATATAAAACCCTTTTTTGACACAAAAATGCTTGAACCTCAAATTGTCCACCACAGTGCTATCTCCGCCTCAATTCTCCCTGAACCGACTCGTCCTCTGAAGGCGCATCATGTTGGATATGCCCTCCCGCACACCCCTCCACTCCAGGACGCATCATGCCGCCCTCACCCTCCTCTTCTTCCTCCTCATCCCACTCACTCCCCTCCTCCACCACCCTACATCCCCCTCCCAACCTCTCCATATAATCCCCACCAACATACACCCCTCTTCCGTTCCTAGTCTCTCTATAAAGCTCCCCACCACCGGCAAAACCACCGCTAGCTGCACCATCACTGCCTATATAATCACCTGATGCAGCACCCCCACCTTCATAGAACTGCTGCTGCCCTGCCTGCATGGGACCTCCCCCCGCACCGTGAAGAGGCATGTCGTGTGAATCGGCGTAACCACCCGGGTGGTAACCGTCTGCTTGCTCACCACTCATCAGGCTTTCAAGGTTATGAGACCTTGAATGAAAGCAAACACGGGCGGGCGTGAAAGGAGGGGGGAGGGGGGAAATTTCTGAGATGTCTCAAACGTTGCTCGTCACTCGTCAGAGATTTTTTGTTATGGGACCTTGAGTGCAGGGAAATGTGTTGGGGGGGGAGGGGGTGGTTGGGAGGAGGGGGGTAGAGGGAAGTGAACAGAAGCACACAGGGCCAGCACCAGCACTCACTCTCTCCGCTGCAGGCGGTGCTCAAGCACGGCAATAATGGAGCGCATGGCAATGTTGTCCGTGAGCGCCTTGCTGTCGAGACACCTCAGAAGCAAGCACTCAAATGGAAGCACTGAAGCATGACCTGAAGCAGGCACTCACTCCCTTCTTTGCAGCCGGTGCTCCAGCCACTCGGCGATCATGGAGCGCACGGCAATGTTGTCCGTGAGCGCCTTGCTGTCGAGGCGCCGGCCTGTCTTGGGCGAGGTGTGGTGCACGCGCAACCACTGCTCTATGGCCTCCCTCTCGTACGTGTGCCCGTCCGCTGCCAACACTGGGTTCTCCATGATGCCCTGATGGGACAGAAGAGAAGAGGGGTGAGGATGGAGGATGGAGGATGGGAAGAGGATGGGGGGATACACTTGTCTCATATGTGTGGCCATCCGCTGCCAGCACAGGGTTCCCCATGATGGCCTGAATGGGACGAGAGGGGAGAAGTGGGGCGTTTGTGAAGAGGATAGTGGATGGGATGGAAAGAGAATGGTGGGTTTATGCTCGTGTGTGTGGCCATCCGCTGCTAGCACAGGGTTCCCCATGATGGCCTGAATGGGAGAGAAGAGAAAGGGGGTGAGGGGGGGTGTGAGGGTAGGGGATGGAAAGGGAATGGGGTATTTATGCTTGTATGTGTGGCCGTCTGGTCCTAGCATAGGATTCTCCATGATGCCCTGCCAGAGAAGCAGGGGGGTGGGGGAAAAGAAAGGGGAGGGAGAGAAGAGGGGCCGATGGGAAGGAGGGTGAATCAGGCACACATCTTTGAGGATGGGGGCCTGGAAAAAGGGGGGGAGACGTGGGCCTGTTTTTTGAGAATTCTTAAAAAAAAAAAAAAAACAAAAAAAAAATTTGGGGGAGACATGGGCCTGCTGTTCTGGGGCACATCAGTGCACATGCATGCACCACGGTGATGGTGATGGGGCATGCATTCTATCACTCATACCATGGTGATGGGGCATGCATTCTATCACTCATACCATGGTGATGGGGCATGCATTCTATCACTCATACCATGGTGATGGGGCACGCATCCGATCACTCATACCATGGTGATGGGGCATCGGAACTCGTTGGGAACGAAGTCCCGGTAGTCATCCATTCGATCCGCCCTCTCCAGCGCCACTGCCGCATCCACATAGGGGCGCAGCTCCTCCACCACTGCCATCACCTGGGGGAGGGGGGGAAGGAGTGGAGAAAGATAGGGAGGGGTGGAATGAGGTCAGGTCCGCCCTCTCCAGCGCCACTGCCGCGTCCACATAGCGGCGCAGCTCCTCCACCACTGCCATCACCTGGAAGCTCAGACATGGCGTGGGGGAGTGGAGTGAGACAGGGAGGGATCGAATGCGGTTAGGTCAGCCCAGTCAAGGGCCACTTCAGCGTCCACTTAGGGGCGCAGCTCTTAGCTCTTCCACCACTGCCATCACCTGGGGGAGGGGAACGGAGTGGAGGAGTGAAGAGAGATTGAAGGGGTGATGAGATGAAGGGATGAGATCAGGTCAGCACAACACCCCATCCTCACCCCCAACCCCACCCCCATCATTCCCACCATCATCATCATCACGACCCCCATCATTCCCACCATCATCATCATCACGACCCCCATCATTCCCACCATCATCATCACCATCACGACCCCCATCATCCCCACGGGGCCCACCACCCATCATCACCCCCACCACAGATCCGTACCTGCTTGCTCAGGTCCGGCCGTGCCTTCCTCTTATAATGCGCCATCTGTCGCACCAGCTGCACCAACCGCCGCGCGACTCGTGGCGGCCAGCACCCAGCGGACGGATCCAACAACTCCCCCAGCGCCTCCAAATCCCCGCCCTCCTCACACTCCTCCAGCGCCTCTAACTCCCTGTCCCTCTTCCCCCTTTCCCCCGACGACTCGTTGATGCCTATCAGCATGTCCAGCATGACCATGCCGAGGGAATACACGTCGGACTCGCGCGAGAACTGGCCGGTGCGGAGGAAGTGCGGGTCCACGTAGCCAAAGGTGCCGACAGCCATGGACTGCTGCATGAAGGAGCGGCCGTTGTCCATGCCGACTAGGAAACGTGCGAGGCCGACATCGCCGAGTTTGGCGACAAAGTTGTTGTCTAGGAGCACGTTGGCTGGCTTTAGATCGAGATGGACGATGGCGGGGACACTGGGAAAAAGGAAAGATAGGGAGGCGAGCGGGGAAGGGAGGAGGGAGGGAGGGAGGGAGGGAGGGAGGGGTGGGTATGGGGGAGTATAAGGTGCCTCAAGAGCCAAAGGTGCCGACAGCCATGGACTGCTGCATGAAGGAGCGGCCGTTGTCCATCCCCACTAGGAAACGGGCGAGCCCCACATCGCCTAGCTTGGCGACAAAGTTGTTGTCCAGGAGCACGTTGGCTGGCTTCAAGTCCAAGTGGACTATGGCAGGGACTCTGGGGAAGGGATGGGATGAGAAGGGAAGGAGAGGCGGCATGGGAAGTAAAGCACCGGGATGTGAATGAGCTGAGCACCTTGCACATGTTTTCAAACATCTTAAAGCACTTGTTCCACGGCAGGGAGGGGAGAGGAGCCGCTCGCGCACAGCACAACAGCATCAATTGCTTAAAGCAGCATGTAAAGGGGCTCGAGGCTCACTGGTTGTGCACGTGAATGAGCGCCGCCTTGCACATGTTCTCAAAGATTTCACACCACACGTTCCACAGCAGGGGGGGAAGAGCGGAGAGGACCTCCAGCACACAGCACAGCAGCAAACATCCTCCAAAAAAAAAACAAATTGAGGGGCTCGAGGCTCACTGGTTGTGCAGGCGAATGAGTGCACTGACATGTTCTCAAAGATCTCAAAGCGCACGTTCCACGGCAGGGGTGGGAAAGAAGAGCAGGTCTAGCACAGGCGCAAACATTCTGATAAAGCACACCGCAGCAACTTTAAACCCTAAAGAAGCATACAATACAATGTCACTCAAGGGTCACTCACCGGTTGTGCAGGTGAATGAGCGCCTTGCACATGTTCTCAAAGATCTCAAACCGCACGTTCCACGGCAGGGGCGGGGAGCCGCGGTCACACAGTAGCCGGTCGTAGAGCGAGCCCTGAGGCATGTACTCATACACGAGGCACGGCGGGTTGTGGCAGCACCCGATCAGTAGCACTATGGTGGGGTGCCGCAGGCCCCTCTGCACCTCCACCTGCGGGGGATTGGGGGATGGGGATGGCGAGTAGGAATTCAGGGGTGCACGGTGGGGGATTTTTAGGGAGCCAGCAAGCACAGGTCAGTAAGTAAGCTGGTCGTTGATCCGGCAATCAAGGCAAGGCGCTCTCACTGGGTGCGATGGCGCAGCAGGCAATTGCAGAAAAGCCTGCTGTAGAGCGATTGTGCGCACCTCTTTCTTGAATTCCTTCAGCGCCTGGTTGGTTTGGGCGTTCTTGAGGACCTTCACAGCAACAGGGAAGTGCTCCAGCATGCCCTTATACACCGACCCGTACCCGCCCTCGCCCACCAGGTTCTCCTCACTGAATCCGTCACAAGCTGCCTCAAGCTCCTCTATAGAGTATTCCCGGAACTCCTGCTGCTTCTTTAACCGTTCTAACGCATATTCCTCCTGCGCTTTCACCAGAGTTGCTGCAGCCGACGCTGCTGCCTCTGCCGCAGCCTTTTTCGCCTCTGCTGCTTCTTCTTTTGCCGCCGCTGCCCGTTTCGCCTCCTCTTCCGCCTGACGCTTTGCTAATTCCTTCTCTAGTTCAGCTTCTAAGCGCCGCTGGGATTCGGCTCTGGCGTTCTCCAGAGCCATCCGAGCCTCCTCCCGAGCCTCCCGAGCCTGCTGGTCGGCACGTTCGGCGGCGAGCTGGGCTGCCCGAGCCTGTTCTTGCAGCCGAGCCAGCTCAGCTAGAAGCTCCGTGAAATCAAAGGGAGCTCCCCCGAAGCCAAACCCAGGAGGCATGCCAGGAACTCCCATGCCTGCATGTCCCATGCCTGGCATACCATACCCAGAACCAGCTGCTGCTGCTGCCGCTGCTGCAGAGGAGGCAGCAGTAGAAGAGGAGGCAGCAGAAGTTGAGGAAGCAGAGGTAGCAGAGTCGAGCATAGGGAAACTCCCACCCATTCCCCCTATCCCTCCCATTCCACCCATCATACCCGTTTGCCCCATAGGCATCCCCCGCCCTCCCATCATCCCACCACCCATGCCCATGCCCATGCCCATGTATGGGTTCATGTAAGGCCAGCCAAAGGGGTTCATACCCATACCCATACCCATGCCCATTCCCATCTGTTGCAGGTGAGCCGCTGCTGCACCTGCTGCTGCTGGGTCGCTGGGAGGAGGAGGGGGTGAAAGGGAAGCACCAAGCCCAGGCTCGGAACCGGTGCTACTGGGAGCTCTACCAGCTGCCACTCCTGCTGCTGTTCCTGCTACTCCTGCTGCTGCCCCTGCTGCCCCTGCTGCCCCTGTTATCCCTGCTGCCCCTGCCGCTCCTGCTTCTCCTGCTCCTCCTCCATCGCTGCCTGCTCCTGCCACAGGTGCTGGCGGTGGTTCAGTATGGTTTGCGGAATGCTGCTGCTGCTGCTGCTGCTGCTGCAACTGCTGCTGCTGAAGTTGGCAGTGCGTGTGGGCAAGGGGATCGAAGGGCCAAGCGTAGCAGCAGCAGCAGCAGCAGCAGCAGCAGCAGCAGCAGCAGCAGCAGAGGAGGATGGGGCTGTGACCGGCACTGCTGATGGTGCTGCTGAATGGAGGGCAGAGGGAGCGGCGAGGTTGGTGGTGGCGATGCTACTTGGAGTGACGTTGGATGCAGGAGGGATGGTGGTCGGAGCAACACCAAGAGGGGAAGGGGAGCGATTAGGTGTAACACCTAGGGCGGAAGGGGTGTCACCGGGAGTAATCCCGAGGGCAGAAGGGGTGTCACTGGGTGTGCCTCCAAGGGCAGAAACTGCCATAGTTGCATCAGCTGCGTTGCCAGGCATTGTGTTCGCCCGCCTCACTTGCTGTGGCAGCTGCGCCTGCTGGGCCTGCTGCGCGTGCTGTGCTTGCTGTGTCTGCTCCATTTGCTCTGTCTGCTGCGTCTTCTGCTCAGCTCGGCTCTGCAGAACCTGCTGCTGCTGCTGCTGAAGATGAAACGCCAGCTGGGCCTGCTGGTGCATGCGAAACACCTCCATTTGATCAATCTGCTGCTGCCGCATCACCGCATGAACGTCCTGCTGCTGCCCCACATGCTGCCCCGCATGCTGCCCCGCATGCTGCTCTCCCTGCTGCCGCTGCGGCTGCATCGCTGCCACTGCCGTCCCAATATCAGCCTCACCAGCAGGAGACCCCCTTCCAGACCTCAGACTATTAGACTCGACCATCTGCTGCCTCTGCTGCTGCTGTTGCTGCTGCTGCAGCTGAGCGGCCACTACTGCCCCAGCGTCTGCTGCATCAAGAGCAGGGGACACCCTCCCTGGGATGGGAATGGGCGCGCCCAGGCGGGTGGAGGGGTGGTGGCGGGAGGCAGTGAGTGCACCATACGCCCTGGGGTTGCCTCGGCTGCCAACGCTACCGCCGCTGTTGGTACGCGTCACAGGGGCACAGTCAGGGATGTGGAATGCCTTAGCTGCTGCTGCTCCTGCCGTCGCTGCTGCCGCCGTTGCTGCTCCTCCCGCTGCTGTTCCTGCGCTTGCAAGGCTACCGGTGTGAGTGCTGGCATGCGGGACGGTGTGGCTGTTTGCATGGTTATTACTGCTGCTGCTGCTGCTGTCATGAGCAGGCGCGCCCAAGGGGGAGAGCTGACGGAGAGGCCCGGGGGCAGAGTCCACCCTTGGTAAATGGCAGTCAGCAGTGCTGCCTGTGCTGCTGCCGCCCACACTGCCATCTCTTGCCATCCCAGCAGCCGAAGCCGTAGCAGCCGCAACATTGGTGGCAGCAGCACCAGTGATCCCAGAGCGTGCATCAGCAGGAATTACCCTTTCTGGAGAGACCATTCCTGCCTGTCTCCCTCCTGCCTGCTGCTGCTGCTGCTGCTGCTGCTGCTGCTGCTGGTTGTGCTGCTCCTGCTGCTGCTGACTGTGTTGCTGCTGCTGCTGCTGCTGCAGCTGCGTGTGCTGCGCCCTTAGCATCTGCCTATACACATTCCACTGCGGCCCCTCTCCATGGCCGCCCGGTCCTCCCGAACCTGACGCCGAATCTGCTCCCAAGCCTGGAAGCATCCCTTCGTTCGCGAAACCGCCCGTCGCAGCAGCACTAGTAGCCATGGTGGTGGGAGTTGTGGTGAATCCTGGAAGAGAAGAGGTGCCTGTGCTATGGCTATCAGTGGGACTGGAGGAGAGATGGGTGAGAGCGGGGCCACCACCAAGAGACGAAGAAGCTGGGAAACCGCCTATGCCACCCATACCGCCCATGCCGCCGCCCACGCCGCCCATGCCAGCCATGCCGCCCATGCCGCTCAACCCACCCATGCCACCCATGGCATTCATGCCACCAGCGCCAGCTACCCCACCCATACTACCACCCATGGGGCCCATACCACCCATCGCACCCATGGGACCCATGCCACCCATGCCACCCATCGCACCCATGGGACCCATACCACCCATCGCACCCATGGGACTCATACCACCCATGCCACTCATCCCTCCCAACCCATTCACACCGCCTACCATTCCCCAGGGAGAAACCACACCAGCAGGGGAGACTGCAGCAGCAGCAGCAGCAACAGAGGAGTCACAGATACTGGTATAGGCAGAGCGGGAGGGCGGGGAGAGAGGAGGGCTCTGCGTGGGGGAGCTGAGCGCGCTAGACACCTGCGAGGAGGTCCCTGCTCCAACCCCCTTACCAGCATCCGCAGCAGCAGCAGCAGCAGCAGCAGGACCAGCATAGGCGTAAGCAGCAGCAGTCCCGTCCGACCCGCTACCACTGCCAGCCCGCGGCAGAAAACCCTGAGCCTGCTGTGCCTGCTGGCCCTGCTGCTGCCCTGGGAGGATTCGCAGGGGCGACAGAGAACGCTGCGCCTGCTGGGGAGAATACTGGGGAGTCGGGGTGTGACCCTGTGGGGAGGGGTGCAAGAGCTCGGCGCGCTGGGCTTGTGGGGGCGGCTGAACCCACTGCTGCGTCTGCTGCTGGGGAGGATAGTGGGAGGCGGGAGCTTTGCTGTGTGGGGAGGGGTGTAAGGGCTCGGCGCGCTGGGCTTGCTGCTGCTGGGGGAGAGGAGGGTTGTGGCGAGCAGAGCGGGAGGGCAGGTTGGGAGGAGGGCCGGCCGCCCCTGGCGCTTCTCTGATCTTGCGCCCGCCCTGGACGACAATGAGCGTGCAGGTGTCCGGTAGGTGGCCGCTGCAGTAGTCAGGCACTTGGGACGACTTGCCAAAGAGCTTCCTGGTAGGGGAGAGAGAGTGAGAGAGAGAAGGTTTGGACAGTATTCTGGGATGAGAGGGGTGGGGTTGAAGGTTTGAAGGTTCCATAAAGGGAGGAGAGGGAGCACGAGTGACGGCATGTAGCAGTTTCTAGTTTGGTTGAAAAGCTGATGGAGGGGGGCAGGAAGCCTGTGGCATTGATTTACAGAGTGGCGTGTGCACGCATGGAACAGGTCGTACCGCAACGTGCCTTCATGCGCAAAACCGCTCAGAAACGCACACAACCACTCAGGGCGTACCTCGCATTGGCGGCAGGGCAACTGTTCACGTTGAGTTGGTGGCATGCGCATTTCCGGCGCCCTGTGTTTTTGGGGAACGGAAAATGCGCATGCCACCAAGTCAATGCTGGACCGAGTGCCCTGGCTCCAACCGGAGTTACGCCCCACGACCACTCAGAACTGCTTTGCACAGCCTGCATCAGACGGACAGACTGGTGGATGGACTATGAGGTGAGAACGCGCTTCTTGGCGCCGATGCAGAGGCTGGTTGCCTGAAAGCAGGTTGACACATGGACCAGCCCCTCCATGTGTGCTTTGAGTTGACTCAAACCACACCTGAACCACACAGAACCACTCAGAACCGTCTTTGCACAGCTGGATACCGCACGCACTTCTTGGAGCCGATGTAGAGGCGGGTCGCCTGGAAGGAGGTTGCCACGTGCACCAGCCCCTCCTCCCGCCTGTCGTTCTTCTCCACGTGCATGGCTGCTGGGATCTGCCGTGGGCGATGCGTGGTGCAGGGGAGTCAGCCATACAATGGTAACTACGAATTGGATTGGTGATGCAACAGCGGAGGCGACTTTTGAGTCGACTCAAAAGTCACCTCCTCCCGCCTGTCGTTCTTCTCCACGTGCATGGAAGCTGGGATCTGCCATGGCCGACGGATGTCATGTGCGATGGATGCCATGTGTAATGGATGTCATGCGCAATGGATGTCATGTGCAATGGATGTCATGCGTAATGGATGCCATGTGCAATGGATGTCATGTGCAATGGATGTCATGCGTAATGGATGCCATGTGCAATGGATGTCATGTGCAATGGATGCCATGTGCGATGCGTGGCGTAGGGAACGCAGAAGTGTCATGGCAACATGTCATGTCAAATCATGTATCTCATGTCTTATCACGTCACGTGAGATGACGTCATGTCATGTGAACTTTAGTCTGAAGGGTGGAGGATGTTCACTCCAAAGATTCTATTTCTTTTAGGCACCAAAAAGTTGCTAAGGTGGCTCGACTTGGAAACATTGATTTTCTTGGATGCTTGCGTTTGAAAAAGGCTTTTAAACGGCACGAGGATGTTTTAGAGTTTGCAATTTTCTCTTTGACACAGCAGCGGAATTCGACTTCGAAACTACGGGACGCTCACATGCTTGCGCTTTGCATGGCACGAGAGTGTTCCGAACGATGCTGCTCTCTTTTGGTGTGTCACCTCATAACCAGATTCTCACATGTTTGCGTTCGGAGAAGGTCTCAAAGGGGACGAGGACGTTATGAAAGGTGCTGTTCTCCATCTGCTGCAATCTAAATTGGTTAGAATGGCTCGACTTTGAAAAGCCAGATTCTCACATGCTTGCGTTCGGAGAAGGTTTTGAAGGGCACGAGAATGTTCTGGAAGATGCTGTTCTCCATCTGCTGCAGCGAGCGCGCGTCCGCCTGCGAGATCGGGAGCTCGCCACCCGCTGCGAGGAAGGCGTGAGGAGGAGTATGAGGGGGGGGTGGTGGGGGGGGACTTTTTAGACGTCTCAAAAGCCGTGCATCCGCCTGCGAGATCGGGAGCTCGCCACCCGCTGCGAGGAGTAGCGTCGAGAGGAAGGCGTGAGGGAAGTTACGAGAGAGGGTGGTGGGGACGGGAGGGGATGGAGGCGGTGTGAAGAGTAAAGGTGGTGGATTGAGGAGAATGGAGCAGCGGAAACTTGTGGTGAGGGTGAGCGTCTGCCTGCTACTAACGCGTATGGAGTGAGCTTGTAACAGATTCCTTGAGCAGACACGTCAGCAGCAGACATGTAAGCGATAGACACGTAAGCGAGAGCCACCTGAGCGAACTTTATTGATCGTCTGTCCATGGAAAGGATGACGGAACATTGATCGTCTGTCCATGGAAAGGATGACGGAACGACGGACGGAGAGCTGCAGAAACGACGTTATAGTTGCCGGTTTGAAAACGGAACGACGACGGACCGAAGTCGGAGAGTCAGAACTCGGACTATCGTCGCTTAACTGGACGTCGGGACGGCGGTTAAGACGGAAACGAGGTTGAAGGCGACGCGGAAGGCGCATTGATGCGCGTCTTCGATGGCGGTGAGTAGCACGTCCTTGCTGACCTCCTTGTCGCGTACCACCTCCACCACCCACACCGCCACGTGGCCGCGGCTCGTCCCCTTCGCCAGGCTGTGCATTGCCACGTCACTCGTTGCGTCACGCCGTCAAGAAGCACTCAACTTCCCGATTCACTGGGCTTGACTAAGCTCTTGGGTCAATGGGTCCCTATGCTGGCTGTTGGGTCCATTTAGAAAACTAAGCTCCTGGATCAATGGGTCACTTTGTCACTAATTCTTGCCTCGCTGCGACACCGAGGTGCTGATTCGCTGCCTACTCGTCGGTGCTGCTGCTCGTTTTCATGGATTGGCAAAACATGTGCTGCTGCTTCGAGTCTGATAAGCACAATGCAGCGACTCGAAGGCAAGCCACGCTCCCTTCCAGGCGAGAAATCACAATCTACTGCCAAGGCAACACACCAGCCAGAGCAGACGTGACGTCACATGATCGACGATGCTGCATCGCGAGAAATACCGGTGATATGGTTGCCACAACACCAGTCCCATGGCCACCCTAGGGAGTGTCGTCGCCAGAACACCTGTTTCAGGGGGGAATCAGGCGGAGGAGGAGAGAGTCAGGTTGGGGATAATCCCGAGAGGGAAGACCCTTCAGGGAGGCCCAAACCTCGAGATTGCGACGGCGGGAAAAGATCTTGTGGTTCGAATGTGTGTGTGCCAGCAACAGAATCTCGTTCCAAGCCTAGTCAAGAGGGACGGCAGAGGCAGAAAGTGGTTGTTGGATGAGGTTGTGGGGTGGAGAGCTGCACGGCACGGTGACGCTGACGTAACAGATTGGCTCGGGTGTACTGTACAGTACATCAAATACATGTATGACGGCAGGTTTGGCTCGGTTCGCAACGGTAGAGCTTATTCAAAGAACCGTGCCCGACATCCATGTGATTTGTTCGAAATAATCGCGCGACGCGACGACTCTCGAACTTTGCTCAATCCTGTCGACTACCCTCGCACCGCGCTACCCAACTTTTGATATTTCTAAATCCCATGGACTTCTGCATGCGCTCTTGCGATAATGGCATCAACAGTCTCGACAAAGTTTGTGTCGGCTTTGTTGGACGAAACATTCTTTGGCCAGGCATGGTTCACCGCGAATACGCAGTAACCGTTCAGCTATTTGTTGTTTTAGGCTACAAGGTTGTGCAAGCCGTTATATGAATTCAATGTGACGACGTATTGGACTTTAGTTTTTTAAATCATAATGGGGAATGAAAAAAAAAATAACTCAATAATATACAGCTTGACATTTCTAAGAAATTTAATTGAAGAAAAACAATATGTATCCTTGCTATATAATTTTGCAAATCTGCATTTCTTAAGGCAAAATGCAAAACCTCTTGGAACATGTATGTAAATTTGTGGATTTAAAAATACCGTCTTTTGCTATATTTGAAAGTTATACTCAACGCTATTATTATTTTCTAGTCTGATGCAAGAGTCCAGTAGTCTCATTACGGTTGGTCCTAATGTACACTATGATTGTCTCTATGATTTTGTTTTTTTTTTAATCATTCCAGTCATGAAGTATCTACGCGTTGTCAGCGTGGCCACTTTGTATCATTAATGAAACTGCGCAAAATGAGAACTCGTACTAAGGGGTTGGAATTATTGCATATGGATAGCGTCAGATTTGTTCTCACCCAAAAGCAAGAAATCAAAGGGATCCGAACTGTTGAAAAAAACAATACGCAGAGTGACCAGACAGTGACTGCGGGTGTAGAGCAAGTTGAGCTCGAAGGGATTGAGAAATATAGAAAAATGAGGGATCGCGGTGCGAGGTTGGTCGAGAGGTTTCAGCAAAATTTAAGAGTCATCGCGTCGCGCAATTATTTCGATTCGTTCACGTCTTCACGTGCTTCACTGCAATTCGACGTGGCGCGGTGCGTTGTGGTCTGAGTTCAATGAGGATGCAGCACACTTGGATCACTGAGGGCCTTCGAGCGAGGTTCAGTAAAATTTGTGATTAAAACCCGCAGGCCAATAAGTTCAACTGTATGGTTGGAACAAGCAATTCAATTGGCTAGTATTTTGGGTTCCGTGGTCAATCTCAACCAGAGTTTGAAGGTTGTACCAATTTGGGCTTTCTTAGCCTGCGGGTTTTAACAGATAGGTCACAGCGTTTCAAAACATGAACAGTGTATCCTGGTCCTACTGCTCTTTTAATGCTTCCCTGCGTTGGCCGTGAGAACACGCTGTCTAAACCACACCGTTTTGTTGAACTGCCCGTGAGCAAGTGGTATTTTGCATAACCATGGCAAGGGCCAAGTCTGCCCAGTGCGAAATCGACGACGGGAAATACGAAGCGAGACGAAACCTGCTTTCGCACCGTGGGTTCCAAGCGTCTCTGGTTCGAAGGCGAGGTTGGCCCAGCAGTGGTAACAGATAGTGCTCAAGGGATGGGAGGAAAACCGTTTCGGGCAGAGCAAGCTGGAATTGAACGCCCGTCGCTCGCGCACCATTGTGTCGGCAAGTCAACAATTGTTCCAGTTTCAGCAGGCCTCTCCTACAGTATTCGTTTCCTGCGATTACGGCGAGTCAACACACAACCGTCGTTCCCGCGCCGCCAGTGAGTTGCGAGGTTCGGGTGGAAAGGAAGTGGCAACGGGGGATGCGCAGTTGCGCGGCGAGCACGGAGGCTTGTGGAACTGGCGGAGCGGGCGTCAAGACTCGAATGTTCATACGGGCGCCCCCGGTGGTTTGGTGGGTTGACATTGCCGCGCCACCCGAAGGGACTCCTGCAGCTTACCCAACGCGGCAGCGCACTGCGCTGGTTTTGAGGCGCCTCAAAAGCTGGCAGCGGAAGCCTGCCAGGCTTGCTGCGCGTGGAAGGGGTAGTAGCAGGCCCTGACCTGTGACCTACGGCTGCTCGTAGGTGCATACTGCGAGTATGATTGCGGCCTATAAGGCATAGTGTGCGCGGGGGTTACAGCTTGGGTTACAATCTGGGTTACAACTCGAGTTACACTTCGGGTTACCAGCCATGGCGATACTCCCGTCCTGCCTCCTCTCGTCAGCCGCTCTTCCCACTCGCCTGCTTCCCAGCGTAATCGAAATCCAAGAATCCTGTTTCGCGCTCGTCTATAACGCGTACGGCCTGCGCCTCGACCAATTCCACGTCGACAATCTCACGCTCGTCTCCTGCTGGGTCCCCGCTTCTCGCGGCGTGAAACCCGCCGCATCTCCCGCGAAACCGCCTCTGTTGCTCCTCCACGGCTTCGGCGCGTCGTCGTTAAATCACTGGATTAATCAGCTCGCCGCGTTTTGCCGCCATTTCGACCTCTACATCCCCGACCTGCTATTCTTCCGCGGTTCGTACTCCCGCGATTCGCGGCGCGACGAGCGGTTCCAGGCGGAAGCGATGATCGCGCTGATGGACCGGCTGGGCATCGAACGGTGCGCCGTGGTCGGCGTGAGCTACGGCGGGATCGTCGCCCACAAGTAAGAGCGCTCACTTTGAGAATTCTCAAAAGCGATTTCAACTAAGCAAGCGCTCTCGCCAGATGCCGCTGTGCATGTGTGGGTGGCTTTCAATTCGACTCAAAAGTCTCTTCGGCGTGAGTTACGGCGGCTTTTGAGACGTCTCAAAAGCCGGCGGGATCATCACCCACGAGCAAGTCAGCTCGCCAAACGTGCTGTGCGTGCAGTGCAGTGCAGGTGGGGGCGACGCTAGAGTTGACTTTTGAGTCGACTCAAAAGTCAACGCGCTGTGCGTGCAGTGCAGGTGGGGACGACGCTAGAGTCACCTCGGCGTGAGTTACGGCGGGATCGTCGCAAACTAGTAGGCTAGGCGAACGCCTATTTCATGGAGATTTCGTTCAGCATCAGCTGGAATGATTCTTTGACACCTCAGGAAGCGGCGAAGTGCATTGCATGTGAGCGCCAGTTGAGGCAGCAAATGGTTTTTGGGAAATGAGAAGTCGCTTGGAGGACCAGTTGGGAATCGAATGGTACACTGGAGACCCTTTCCCTTCTCCATTCTCCTCCTCCCCCTCCCCTCCCCCTCCCCCTTCTGCTTCCCTTTCCCCTGCTCCCGCTCGCACGTGTTTCCGCCCACCTTATTCCCCCTTCGTCCCCGCCAGAATGGCCACTCTCTATCCCACACGCGTCACCCAGCTAGTGCTGGGAGGGGCCGGGCTCATGCTGATGCAGGGCGAGGTGCAGGGGGTGCTGCAGCACTGGCACGCCAAGACGCCCCCGGACCTCTTCCTGCCCACCAAGCCTTGCGGCTTGCTTCGGCTGATCAGGCTCGGGAACAACGAGGCGCCGTACCTCCCGGATTGGGTGCTGCAGGACGCCTTGGAGGTATGTCTGGGTGTGCTGTGATTGGTCCGGAGTATGGACTCATGGCAGCGGCGTGCATGCTGTGCTGCATACATGTATGTATGGAATGAAATGGCTGGTCCTGGTCGCTGAGTGGTAAAACGCTGAGTGGCTGACTGAACGCTGAGTGGCTGAACGCTGAGTGGCTGAACGCTGAGTGGCTGAACGCTGAGTGGCTGGATTCTGAATGGCAGACAGCGGTGAGTTGGTGGGGCGCGTGGCAGGGGAGGTACTGCCTGCTCATACTGTGCATCCCTCATCTGTGTTGCCCTCAGCTTATGTTGCAAAAGACGCGTCCTGCGTCTAGGACGCTTGCGTCCAGACGCAGCGTCTTAGACGCAGGACGCTTCTATGGGGCATGTGAGACGCTGAAAAAGTCGCATGCCTGCAGGGCAAAAAAACGTCCGGGCAGCAAAAAAAACTCGTTATAGGGCATGGGAAGGGGGGGAAGGACGACGTATCACACATGTGAGGCAAAAAGGTAGCTATGGAGCGGAAGGTAGCTATGCCCTCTAGGGTTTACGAAGGAGAATTGTGTTCATATAAAGAGATGGAGCACAAATGAAGAGTTTGAGCTCCTAAATGGGCTTGGTGGTGGACCACCATGTTTTGGTTTTCTAGATGAGGTTGGGTTGTGAGGGGTTGGGTGTACAATATTGGTGATGGGGGGTTAAAAATGTTGTGCGTGGGCTGTTTTTGATGGTCGAAATGGGTTAGGGGGGGTCGAACTGTCGCGAATTCGACAGTCGCGTCGAAATCACGAATGTCAACTTCATGCTTGCGAAATTGTTTTTTTTTTTTTTTGTCAGCCCGAAAAAAAAAAACCGCCGTGCGTCCTGCGTCTGGACGCGCGTCCTGCGTCCCTGCGTCCGGACGCTGCGTCCAGACGCAGGACGCATGACGTGCCCTGCGTCTTTTGCAACATAGCCCTCAGCCACACTCCCCCTCAGCCACACTCCCCCTCAGCCACACTCCCCCTCAGCCACACTCCCCCTCATCCACACTCCCCCTCATCCACACTCCCCCTCATCCACAATCCCCCTCATCCACACTCCCCCTCATCCGCACTCCCACTCATCCACACTCCCCCTCAGCCACACTCCCCCTCATCCACACTCCCCCTCATCCACACTCCCCTTCATCCGCACTCCCCCTCATCCGCACTCCCCCTCATCCGCACTCCCCCTGGTCTGCGCTCTCCCTTATGTATCATGCCGGGGTGGCAGGTGTTGTTTGAGAACAGGGCGGAGAAGGCGGGTCTGCTGGAGGCGTCGTTGAGAGAAGCACAGGCCAACGCACAACACCCAGAGGGCATCCCTGTGCCATCAATGGTAGGTGCTATGAGGCGCGGTGCTATGAGGCGCGGTGCATGGGAGTGACATGTGCGTTGCGGGTGTCAGGTGCTATGAGGTGCGGTGCTATGAGGTGCGGTGCTATGAGGTGCGGTGCCTGGGCTCACCTCAGCTCTTGAATCGCAAAGTTTGCGATGGCTGTCATCTCGCATTTCAAATTTCTCAAAATCTGCTCACCACACCTCCTGGCTGCAATGTTTTATTTGAACGCTCGCCTGTGTTTCTCCTCTCCCCACTCGTCTCCTCCTCTTCTTTGTGTCTGCTCTCTTTGTGGTGTATTGTGTTGTAACTTCTTTGCGCATCAACCCTCTCTCATACCCCGCCCCACCCACGTCACAGCCCACCCTGCTTGTCTGGGGAGGCAGCGACCAGCTCTTTCCACTTGCCATCGCCCATCGCATGCACCAGTGAGGCCCCTCCTCTCTTGCTCCCTCTCTCTCGCTCCCTCTCTCTCGTTCCCTCCCTCCCCACTCCCTCCTCTCTCTCCTCTATCCTTTTATATTGTGTGTACGTGTGCGCGCATGCACGCACGCGCGCACGCACGCATGCATGCACACATTCACACATGCATTCACACATGCGTTCACACATGCATTCACGCGCGCGCAGCATTTTCACTCAAAGAGACGTCCTGAATTTATATTCTTCTCTCTTGAGTCGTTGTCCCCATTCCACCTTGCCCTTCCGTCATTTCCCTTCTCCCTCATCCCCCAAACCTCGTCATTTCACCATCTTCCTTTCGTCCTCTTCCCCCAAACCTCGTCATTTCACCATCTTCCTTTCGTCCTCTTCCCCCAAACCTCGTCATTTCACCATCTTCCTTTCGTCCTCTTCCCCCAAACCTCGTCATTTCACCATCATCTTTTCGTCCTCTTCCCCCAAACCTCGTCATTTCACCATCTTCCTTTCGTCCTCATCCCCCAAACCTCGTCATTTCACCATCTTCCTTTCGTCCTCTTCCCCCAATCAGGCACTTTGGCTCGTCCTGTCGGCTTGAGGTGATTGAGAAGGGCGCTCATGCCATTCAGGTGTGCTGAGCGGTGCTGCGGGGTGTGTATGCTGTACGGAGGGGTGAGGGAGTACCTGGGCATTGGGCAACATATCATGCCCAGTCCTCTTCTCCGTCTATCTCTGTCCCCCTCTCAACTGCTCCTCCCTTTTACTTCTCCTGACCTCCACCTCTCCTTCACTCGACTTACACATTCCCATGCAATCCCACACGTTGATCCCATGAACCCCTTCCCATGCTCCTTCATCCCTTCCCATGCCCCTTCACCCCTTCCCATGCCCATCCTAACAGGCACACAATGCAGCAGCATTCAACAGCGCCGACCTCTCTTTCCTCACGGAGCATCAGTGACATCAACCATTGCAAGTGCCATCATTGCTGCTCCTCACTCCAGTACCAACAGCAGCAGCATTCAACAGCGCCGTCCTCTCTTTCCTCACCACCCAGCATCAATGACATGAGCCATCTGCTGCTGCCCTCTCCTCTCACAGTGCCAACAGCAGCGCAGTTCAACAGCTCTGTCCTCTCCTTCCTCTCCTTCCTCTCCTTCCCCTCCTTCCTCTCCTTCCTCTCCTTCTTCGGCCATCAATGACATGAACTGAACCACCTGCTGCTGCCCTCCGCACTCCAGTGCCAATGGCACCGTCTCTTCCTCCTCCTCCGTTTCCTCCTCCGTCTCTTCCTCCTCCTCCGTTTCCTCCTCCGACTCTTCCTCCTCCTCCGTTTCCTCCTCCGTCACTTCCTCCTCCTCCGTTTCATCCTCCGTCTCTTCCTCCTCCGTTTCCTCCTCCGTCTCTTCCTCCTCCTCCGTTTCCTCCTCCGTCTCTTCCTCCTCCTCCGTTTCCTCCTCCGTCTCTTCCACCTCCTCCGTTTCCTCCTCCGTCTCTTCCTCCTCCTCCGTTTCCTCCTCCGTCTCTTCCTCCTCCGTTTCCTCGCCAAAGTTTTGATGACAAAAAGCATCTGCTGCCCTTCCCACTCATATGCTTCCCCATCCGCACCCATCCGCCATCTCACAAGTTTGATGCCAACATCTCCGCGGTTCCACAGCAGCGTCTTCCCCATCCGCACCCACCGTTTGTAGCAAAAATGGTGGGCGAGAAGGAAATTAGGAAGTAAGGAAGCAGGTAGGCCGTCTGCTACCCACCTGCAATGCCTTAACAAAACATAAACTGCGCTGGCAACAACCCCTTTCTTTCTGGCAGAAACCCGGCCCTTATGGGAGCAATGCACTCACTTTTAACCCAACCAATCCGAGCAGGATATGGTGTCTTGAATAGGGAAAGGATATGTTGTTTCCTGAGACAACAAAATGCAGGAAGGCAGGCAGGCAGGCAGGCAGGCAGGCAAGGAGGCCCACACACCAGCCCCAGACTGCTCCAACAAAATCAGGTATGTTGGAGTGACTTTTGAGAATTCTCAAAAGTCACTCCAGATTGCTCCAACAAGATCAGGTATGTTGTTCCTTGCAACAATAGAATCCCTTCTGGTTTTCACTCCCTGCTCATTACCCTAGTCCGTCCTTCCTCCCGTTTCGCCCTGGTGAAAGTGTAAATGCTTCTTTTTTTTCTTCTTTGTTTTGTCCGCAGATTGCCTACAGGTGTTCATATTGTGGTATGTGAGGACTCCCTTTCACCAGAAGAAAGACGGAAAGCTCTAGAAGAAAGACGGAAATCTCTAGCAGACTATGCTCTGTGTGCCGATGCGACCCGTCTGCGGCACAGAGAGAGTAGGAGCAGCACCTAAGGAATGCCATGGAATGGAGATGGGGCCAAAAGAGTGGAGAGGGCAGGGTCAGGGACCGGGAACATGGAACAGGGACGAGGGAGCAGGGAAGAGGGAAGAGGAGCAGGAAACGAACAGGGAACAGGTTTACTGTACATGGATCAGAGAAAGGGGAAGTGGGAACAAGGAGGTTCATCAGCAGAATACGGTGGGGTGGATAGGTAGGCATACATGGCAAGGCACAGAATTACGGTAGATGAATTCAACTTGGTGCTTGTTTTTTATGTTACATTATCAGGAGATGCAAAACACACAAGAAAAAACAGGACCTTATCCCACTACCACTAACATAAACCCAACTACGCACTCCCCTCACCCCTAGCCATCTCCGTATCTTTAGTTGTAGTGCAACCAGGACTCCCCCTGACTCCTAAGTTTCAACTTCTCAATGAAGTGTATACTGTGATCAACTCCTAAAGAACTGCCCGCGCATGGCACCATCGGGATACTTTTCAGTGAGAAGGTTCAAGTAGAACCCACTAGGATTCTCCAAAAGCTCCTTGAGAGCCAATGCAAGCTCTCCAGTCCGTTCCGCTCTTTCCTTCCCGAGGCTGCCGTTGCATAACCAGTCTCTGCGCCCCATCTGCTGGTACGTGCACGGCAGATCTAACACCACGGGACCGTTCGATCCCGCTGGTGCTTTGTGCACCTGCGTCATGGTGGGCGGCGTGTCCTCGTCCATATTTTCAGGCATCACTGAGTATTCGGTCCACACGGGCTGGCCTCTGATCCTGCACATCACACACCAGAGAAACGAAACAGGAGTTCATTTCGACATCAGAACAGGGTTGAGCATGCATCGCATGACATTAAGCTATTGGTTCTCCGCTATTGGAACATGGAAGAAGGAATGCCGGTATCAGCAGAGCAGCTTCCATTGGCTCTCTGCTGTTGGAGCTGCGGACTTCAGCAGTGGAGCTATTGGAGAGGCTTGTCCTCTGATTGGAGAGGCTTGTCCTCTGATTGGAGAGGCTTGTCCTCTGATTGGAGAGTGCGCCTGGCAGTGTGCGCCTGGCAGTGTGCGCCTGGCAGACTCATTTGTAGATTCTCATTGCCATATCCCCACTGCCGCCGGTTAGGCCGCCAACTGCGTTCCTGGCAGCGTCTGTGTCATCCTTGGGAACCTCGTTGCCGCTATTCATCTTGGCATAGATGGTGACTGTTGAAGGAGAGAGCGAGGGGAGAGGGGGAGAGGAGGAGAGGGGGAGAGGGGGAGAGGAGGTCCTTTGAGACGTCTCAAAAGACGCTCACGCCAGCTTCTGTGTCATCCCTGGGAACCTCGTTGCCGCTATCTAGCTTGGCATAGATGGTGACTGTTGAAGGAGAGCGCTCATGGGGGAGAGGTGGAGAGGAGGGAAAGATCCCCGCGGGGGGGGGGGGGGAACGGGGCCAGGGATGGGAGGGGATGGTGGAGGTGAGTGAGGTTGGCGCTTGGTGGTGCGAGGCATTGAAAGGGAAGGTATCTGTTGGGGCGAGACAGAGAAAGAGGGTGAGTTCAGGTTGGTAAGTCACGCGCCAATGGGCTTTCGGTGTGACACTGAAATCCACGGTGGAAATAAGGTGTTCATAAGGGAAGAGGAGAGGGGAGAGAAAGGGAGGTTGTTTGGATATGCAAACGTGGAATTTTCAAGGGGAAAAAGAGAGGGTTTTGTTTTTTGACTGACCAGATCTCTGTGCGTCGGCAATCGCCACAAGAGCCGCCCCGAGGAACGCTGCACGAAGCACACACACAATGAGAGGCGAAATCAACAATCAGGTTACCATTCTGGTTGACAGCTGGCAAGCAATGAGTTTGGAGCGAGCTGGCATTGGTGTCGCGGACTCACGCCAGGGGTAACGCTTACCGAATAGTAAGACGCGGCGAGCACGAAAGGAAGCCATGAGATAAAGAAGATTCAATTGGAAATTGGTTCGCAAGAGGGAAAAAAGGTACTGCTTCTAGAAGTAGAAAGGTCAACAGAAAGCAGAACTGGATGGGTTTCTACGGCCTGGAAGATCACCCTCATTTATGGGCACAGGATCGGCGATAGAAAGACTAGAACTTCTAGTTGAAAGAACCCGCGTTAGCTACTACGTACGTCGACAATATGGCGTGCGTGAGCGACGCGCGGACAAAGCCTCCAGATTCAAGGTGCGTCGTGCGCGCCTCGCATAATCGCGAAGCGCTCGAAAACACCTGACTGGAATGGCATTTGCACAGATAAAGTTCAGATCTACGCGTCATTGAGTCCCACAATCTCAAAAATCGCATCCCTGAATTGCCGCAGGTCATTTTCTACATCGAGTAGGTCTTTTGTGCGAGGAGGCGCGCCGCGCGCACCTCAAATAATCGCGAATTGTGCGTAAGAGTACGACTCCCCGTGAGACAAGTGAAAAAGTAAATTTCCTCTCTGCTCCAAGGTTGAAGGGGATTTTCCAGCGTTGCACTAGGATGTGGATAGGCCAAACTAGCACTGAGCTCATGGTTGTTCAACAGGCCAACTCGATATAGAGCAGTGCGTGATAACCGCATTGTCAAATTATATATGTAACATATATGTGTAGGCTGTAGTGGGGTAGCCAATATGGGGTATAGCCCCTTTAGGGTTTCATATTTGTACCCAACTTCATTCTAGTTCACCCCATTCTTGCTAGTTCTTCCAACATGGTATTCAGAGCAGGAGGTCCCTAGGACCTCAGGATCGATTTTTTTTAGGGCCCACCACCAACCGCTCGCGGTTACCGTGCTACCCCGCGCCCTGCCCTACCCTGCCTTACTGCCCGTCGCGCTGCCCCGCAGCCCCGCGCGCCGCCCGTCGCGCTGCCCTGCAGCCCCGCGCGCGCCCTGCGTCGCGCTGCCCCGCAGCCCCGCGCGCCGCCCGTCGCGCTGCCCCGCAGCCCCGCGCGCGCCTTGCCAGCCCGTCGCGCTGCCCCGCAGCCCCGCACGCCGCCCGTCGCGCTGCCCTGCAGCCCCGCGCGCGCCCTGCCGCTGCCCGTCGCGCTGCCCCGCGCCCCCCCCCCTTGCGCCGCCTCCAGCGCTGCCCCGCAGCCCCGCACGCTGCCCGTCGTGCAGCCCCGCGGCCCCACGCGCCGCCCGTCGCGCTGCCCCGCAGCCCCGCGCGCCGCCAGCCCTACTGCCGCGGCCGCCTGCCCCACCCGCGCGTTGCCTGCGCTGCTAGCGCATCGCCCAGACAGCCCACGCGCAGCTTGCGGCTGCTTTGCGCGCCGCCCTTGCCTGCTGCCTTTGCCTGCTACCTATGCCTGCTGCCTTTGCCTACTGCTTGTGCCAAGTGCCTCTGCCTGCTGCCTTCGCCTACTGCCTTTGCCTGCTGCCTTCGCCTGCGCTGCGATTATGGCGACGCTTAATGTTCTCGCGTTTGAGCCTGACGGTAGCCCGATTGCGTTTCCCACTTGGCTCGACGACCTGCAACTGTTTCTTATGACTGATGCAAAAGACGGCGTTTCACTGTTCGATCACGCGTCTGGCACTGCCGCTGCTCCTGCTGACACTGCTCCTGCTCTTGACCGCTCACAGTGGCAGACTCGCGATGCTGCTGCGCGCCTTGCTATTCGCAATCATCTGCCGATCACTGAGCGCGCGCATTTTAGCCAGCACAAGACTGCTAAGGCACTGTATGACGCTGTAGTTGCGCGCTATTCGTCCCCAGCCACTGCAGCCGTAGGTCGTCTCATCCTGCCCTACCTGTTCCCAGACCTGTCCTCGTTTGCCACCGCTGAGGACCTTATCTCTCACCTCCGCGCTAGTGACGCTCGCTTTCGTGCCGCCCTTACAGACGACTTCCTCGCCAAGAACCCCCCCCCCCGTTGTACTTTACCCTCTACATCCTCGTCACCCGCCTCCCTGACACTCTCAGTTCAGTCAGGGACCACTTCCTCGCCAAAGACCCTACCACTCTCACTCTAGCCGACTTCGAGCAGCAGCTCCTAGCAGCAGAAAAGAACATCCTCGCTGTAGGTGCTGCTCGTGGCACTCCTCGCACTCCCCTCTTTGAGGGGTGCTCCCCCTCCCCTCTTGCCCCCTCCTACGCCTCTGCTGCTGCTGCCGTCGACCTCCTCGGTGCTGAGAAGGTCGCAGCTGCTTCCGCTCCTAGTGGGAAGCGCATCGGCACCAAGGGCGGCAAGGGTAACAGGGGTGGTGGAGGTGGCGGTGGAGGGAGCGGTGGTGGAGGCGGCGGGGGTGGTGGAGGTGGTGGGGGTGGTCGTGGGGGTGGAGGAGGTGGGTGGGGCGGCGGTGGGACTGGGAGCGGTGGTGGAGGCAGCGGCGGTAGCGGAGGAGGAGGCAGCGGTAGTGGTGGCGGAGGTGGGGGCTGGAGTGCGGCCGGCCAGAAGGGGAGCTCCAGTGGTGGCCAGGGGCAGCAGCAACAGCAGCAGCAGCAGCAGCAGCAGCAGCAGCAGCAGCAGCAGCAGCAGCAGCAGCAGCAGCAGCAGCAGCAGCAGCAGCAGCAGCAGCAGCAGCAGCAGCAGCAGCAGCAGCAGCAGCCACAGCAGCAGCAGCAGCAGCAGCAGCAGCAGCAGCAGCAGCAGCGTCAGCGCCAGACCCCCACGTCTCAGTTGCTTCATTACTGGTATGCTCAGCGTGGGGGTTCTGGGGGTCCTGGTCGCTGCCCCTATGTCATTCGCGCCGGTCCCCGCGCTGGTCGCCCATGCAACGGCCTTCACACTGAGTACCGTTGTTTCGCTAGGCTTAGCGACGCTTGGCGTGCCAAGTTTCCTGATGCTACTGAGTTGCCCAACTGGGCAGACCTGCTTAGGCGTGATGTTCCTATCTTTGATCTTGACTATGATGCGATTCTTGCTGCTATGTATGCATTGACTGTTAGTGCTGAGGGTGACTGCTACTTGTGTGTGCCGCCTGACCCAGGTATAGAGACTGCAGCCCTAGGTGCTAGTGAGTCTGCTCTCCCTGGTACTGCGCCTGCTGAGGCTTTGCACACCTTCACGCTTGACTCAGGTGCTTCCCGCTGTTTCTTTCGCGACAGCACCACAGTCACTCCCCTCCCTGCACCTGTCCCTGTCTCACTTGCCGACCCCTCTAGGGGCACAGTGCTTGCACGGTCCAATTCTTTGCTCCCGTGTCCGGCGGTCCCGTCCGGTGAGCTGTCAGGTCTTCACATCCCCTCGTTCTCTACGAACCTGGTGAGCAACGCCGTCCTTCAGGATCATTGGGTTGACACCTTTACTCCTGGAGGATAGCGTGTGGCGATCTGCACGTGCTCTCGGACTGGCCGCCACCTGGCTACGTTCACACGTGCGCCTGGGTCCAGTCTGTACACCCTCACCACTGCGTCACGCTACACCCCTTTGTCTCCTCAGCTGTACGCGTCTGCCCAGGTAGCTACCCAGTGTGAGTGTCGCCGCCTGTCGCACGACACTCTCCTGTGGCACCACCGCCTTGGTCACCCCTCTCTACCCCGCCTTCGTGGCATGCACTCTCGCCTACTGGTCTCTGGCCTTCCCAGGTCTCTGCCCGCCCTCCCTCCCTCGCCTGCGCCGCCCTGCATTCCTTGCGTCGAGGGGTGGCAGCGCGCCGCTCCTCACTCCTCCTCGTTCCCTCCCACAGAGGCTCCACTGCAGACTCTCCACCTGGACGTGTGGGGCCCAGCCCGCGTCCAGGGGCAGGGCCGCGAGCGGCACTTCCTGCTGGTCTTCGATGACTACACGCATTACACCACGGTCTTCCCCTTGCGCAGCAAGGGTCAGGTCCCTGATGTTTTGATCCCTTGGATCTGCGCTGTTCGTCTCCAGCTCCGCGAGCGGTTCCAGTCGGACTTTCCTGTCCTGCGTCTGCACTCTGACAGAGGTGGTGAGTTCTCCTCCGACCTCTTGCGAGCTTTCTGTGAGGAGCACGGCATCCGCCAGTCGTTCACGCTTCCGGCAACCCCAGCAGAATGGGGTTGCTGAGCGCCGCATTGGCTTAGTCATGGAGGTCGCTCGTACCTCCATGATCCATGCGGCTGCCCCCCATTTTCTGTGGCCGTTTGCGGTCCGGTACGCCACGCATCAGCTCAACCTCTGGCCCCGTGTCTCCTTGCCGGAGACCTCGCCCACCCTGCTCTGGGCGAGGGAGGTTGGCGATGCGTCGCGTTTCCAGGTCTGGGGTGCTCGTGCCTTTGTCCGCGATACCACCACGGACAAGCTCTCCGCTCGCGCCATTCCCTGCGTCTTCCTTGGTTTTCCTCCTGACGCGCCTGGCTGGCAGTTTTACGACCCCGCTTCGCGCCGTGTCTTTGCGTCTCAGGACGTCACCTTCGACGAGTCGGTCCCCTTTTACCGTCTCTTTCCCTACTGCACTGCCGCTCGCCCCCCCCCTCCGCTCTTTCTCGCTCCAGGTCCTCCCCAGGTAGACCCCCTCCCCGCGCCAGGTCCTGCTCCTTCAGGTGTTTCTCAGGTAGACCCTCCTGTGCCTGAGCCTGTTGAGGTCACAGGTGACTCAGGTCCTGCTGGGGGTGGTCCTGCTCGGGGTGCTGAGCCTGGGGGTGCTGCGTCTGGGGGTGCTGAGCCTGAGCGTGCGGAGCCTAGGGGTGCTGAGCCTAGGGGTGCTGAGTCTGGAGGTGCTGAGCCTGAGCGTGAGGAGACTGGAGGTACTACGCCTGGAGGTGTTGCGTTTGGGGGTGCTGAGTCTGGAGGTGCTGAGCCTGAGCGTGAGGAGCCTGGGGGTGCTGAGTCTGGGGGTGCGGCGCCTGAGGGTACTGAGGCTGCTGGTGAGCGGTCTCCTTGGAGTGGCCGCCTTCGTCCGCGTGCGCCTCTCTCCCCACAGCAGCTGCACGAGTGGTACGCTCGCCGTCAGGGTCGCGCTGCTGGAGCTCGGGGCTCTGCCGCTGGAGGCGCTTCTGCAGACATCCCTGGAGCTGGGGGTGCCGGTTCAGAGGGTACTGGGGCTGGTGCGAGAGGTGCCGACGACGCTGGAGCCGCTGGGCCTGAGGACGCTGGAGCTGGTGGTACTGCTGACCCTGCCGCAGGAGGTGCTGTTGGAGCTGCTGACACTGGAGCTGGGAGTACTGCGGGTACTTTGTCTGCTGGAGGTGCTGGAGCCGCTAGACCCGGAGGTGCTCGTACTGGAGGTACTAGAGCTGCTGGGGCTGGAGTTGCTGAGTCTGGGGGTGCTACTGCTGGAGACCCTGGGACTGGAGGTGCCGGTTCTGGGGGTGCTGCTGCTGGTGACGCTGGTACTGGCGGTGCTGGCGCTGGAGTTTCTGCTGCTGCTGGTGGTGCTGGCGCTCGAGGAGCTGGAGCTGGAGGGTCTGGAGCTGCTGGAGGTTCTGGAGCTGCTGGAGGCACTGGAGCTACTGGTGCTGGTGGCACTACTGCACAGCGCTTGTTCTTCTCTCCGCCGTCACCGTCGTCTCTGCCGCCTCCTGACACAGTGCTTCGCCAGGTTCTTAGCCTGCCGTCTTCCACTGGCCTACCGTTACAGCCAGGCTCCCCCCTGCCTGCTCCCTCTCCTTACACTGAGCAGACAGGAGGTCTTACTGAGCGTCGCGAGCCTGCGTCCCGTCCTGTCTCGCCTGTTCGCACTGGTCGCACTGGTCGCACTGGTCGTGTTAGTCGTGAGCGTCCTCCTCCTGTCCCTGGCACGCACATTATGGCACTTCGTCCTTCCTCTGTTCCACAGCTTGTTCCTCTGCCGTCTCCTCTTGCGTCGTCGCTGCCTGACGTTCCGGACCCTGAGTCTGACCGGTTTCGTGCTGACCACCCTACTGTCACGCGTCTGCTAGCCACTGTTGTCACTGACCCGTCGTTTGAGTCTGCTGTTGCGTCTGCCTTAGTCGCTGAGCTTGTTGACTTCGCTGCTGCCTGTCGTCTAGACTACGCTGCTAGCCTTGTTGCTGAGTCTGAGTCTGTCTGTCCTCTGTCCGTCGGGGGTGAGTGTGCTCTTGGCATGGACGTCCTTGAGGACAGGCACGAGGACCTTGAGTGTCTTGCAGCCGCTGCACCTCATCTCGTGGCCATGCTGCTTGCCCCTGAGGGAGACCCGGATGCTGTAGACATCCCGACCCCGCGCTCTTACGCTGAGGCGATCGCGGGTGAGTACTCCTCTCAGTGGCAGGCAGCCATGGACGCAGAGATGGCATCCTGGAAGTCCACAGGCACTTACGTCGATGAGGTTCCCCCTCCCGGGGCGAACATCGTCGATGGCATGTGGATTTTCAGGGTGAAACGGCCGCCGGGTTCTCTGCCTGTCTTCAAGGCTCGTTACGTTGCTCGAAGCTTCAGTCAGCGAGAGGGAGTTGACTTCTTCCAGACCTTCTCCCCCACTCCGAAGATGACCACTCTTCGGGTGCTGCTGCACGTTGTCGCTCAGCGTGACTACGAGCTTCACTCTCTTGACTTCAGCACAGCCTTCTTGCAGGGCTGCCTGCACGAGGAGATCTGGCTGCGCCGCCCACCTGGCTTCACTGGGTCGTTCCCTCCTGGTACCCAGTGGAGCCTCCGGCGGCCAGTCTACGGTCTCCGCCAGGCGCCTCGTGAGTGGCACGACACACTGAGGACGACACTTGCGGCTCTTGGGTTTGCTCCTTCGACTGCTGACTCGTCGCTGTTTCTGCGCACCGACACTTCGCTGTCGCCGTTCTACATCCTCGTGTACGTCGACGACTTGGTCTTTGCCACTGCTGACACTGAGGCTCTCGCCCTGGTGAAGTCGGAGCTGCAGAAGAGACACACGTGCACAGACCTGGGTGAGCTGCGTAGCTATCTTGGCTTGCAGATCACCCGGGACAGAGCACGCCACACCATCACACTGTCTCAGTCACACATGGTGCAGCAGGTCCTTCAGCGCTTCGGCTTCACCTGGTCCTCTGGCTATAGGTCACTCGCTCCCAGCTCCACCTTCGGACGAGTCCGTAGAGCCGAGTGGTCCTTACCCAGAGCTAGTGGGCTGCCTCATGTACCTGATGACCTGCACTCGACCTGACCTTGCGTACCCTCTTGGCCTTCTGGCTCGCTACGTGGCTCCTGGTAGGCACCGAAAGGTGCACTGGGAAGCTGCGAAGAGGGTATCGCGCTACCTGTGCAGTACATCAGGCATGGGGCTCGTGCTTGGAGGACGGGGTGACGTTGTCCTCACTGGACACTCAGACGCCTCTTGGGTTGACGACCTGGCTACGTAGCGGTCGTCACAGGGTTACACTTTCAGTCTTGGCTCTGGCTCTGTTTCTTGGCGGTCTACACGCTCGTCTTCTATTCTCAGCTCCAGTTGTGAGGCCGAGATCTACGCCACAGCCATGGCTGCACAGGAGTTACGCTGGCTCACCTACCTGCTGACTGACTTGGGAGAGCGGCCTCGTTCTCCTCCAGTTCTGTACGTTGACAACAAGGCCGCCATTGCCTTGTGTCAGGAGCACAGACTGGAGCACAGAACGAAGCACATCGCTCTGCGTTACTTCCTGGCTCGAGAGTTGCAGCAGCGAGGTCAGCTTCGTCTTGCTCACGTGGCCACTCGGGCCAATACTGCTGATATATTCACCAAGGCATTTCCGTCTGGTGATCATTTGCGCTTCTGTACCTTGTTAGGCCTTGTACCTACGTTTCCACACTTGCTGTAGGCTTTGCTTGTACTGTGATCTATATACATATACCTGCATGCTTGCTCTTGCTAGGTGGTGATCACTGTGCTGTTCCTGTTGCATATATACCTCTGCATGTGGACTGGCCTTGTGGCCCTTTGCTTGTGCTCAGTATGTGTGGTGACGTTGTGATCCACCCTGAGCTTGCTTTGCTTTGCTTGACTGGTCTTGTGACCCCTTGCTCTCCCCCACTTTGCCTATGGGGGTGTGTCAAATTATATATGTAACATATATGTGTAGGCTGTAGTGGGGTAGCCAATATGGGGTATAGCCCCCTTTAGGGTTTCATATTTGTACCCAACTTCATTCTAGTTCACCCCATTCCTGCTAGTTCTTCCAACACGCAAGAAACCTTTAAGAATGTTTTTCTTCAAACATGGTGCAAGACATCATACGGGAATGAATTATTACAATTACATCTGTTCTTTTTGTCCAGCGGCAGACGGTTGTCTGCTTTCACTTCTTTCTTGTTCTACCACCTGGACGCACTGCTGAGGGCTCCATCGTTCACTTTCCACCTATCGCTATCTCGTACGGTACTAGTACCTATCACAAACATCTCAGCACCACCTCAAACCCACAACAATACCTACTTTATGTAAAAAAAACCTACTATTTACAGACATCTCAGGCCATAACAAAAAAGGGGATGCAGCTGTAGCTTTATATGCTATGACCACTTTCATCAATTGTCTGCCACATCAGCATCTCCTCCTCCCTGCTTAACCCCTCCGCCAACCAAAACCTCTTCTCTTTGCCTGTCTTTAGCCCGCCAGTACTCGTCCAGTGGCTGCTTGAAGAGGAAGTAACCCGATGCCACGCCCACCCTGCAGAAAACAAGTGAGAGGTGGATGGTAGATTGAGCTGGGTACCACCAGCTAGCCAGTGGCTGCTTGAAAGGGAAGTAACCCGATGCCACGCCCACCCTGCAGAGCAAAAGCGTGAAGGGGATGGCATGGTAGACTGCGATGCGCTCAGTTTGATGGCACGATGTGGTTAGTGCGCGCTGGAATCGGAAGTAGCTCGATTCTACACCCACCCTGCAAAGTACAAGGGAGACGGGGAAGGCGATACGGGGAGAGGACATGTGGGGGGGGGCGCACGAAGGTGGGTTGAGAGGGGTGTCAACTGTCCGGTGGGTGCTCAAAGAGGAAAGGAAGTAAGAGGGGGAGGGGAGGGGAAAGTAGGTTTAGGTGCAACCAACAAGCCAGTGACTGAATGAAGGAGAAGCGGATGGGTGCTTCAAAGGGAAGCTGGTAAGTGGGCTGTATGGGAAGCTGATGTTGGTTGGTTGGCAAGCTGCTGCGTGCTTGAAAGGGAAGCTCTGGTGAGTGCTGGTAAGGGAAGCTAGTGGGTGCTTGAAGAAAAAGCTGCTGGGTGCTTGAATGGCAAGCTGCTGGGTGCTTCAAAGGGAAGCTGCTGGATGCTTGAATGGAAAGCTGGTGGTTGCTTGAATGGCAAGCTGCTGCGTGCTTGAAAGGGAAGCTCTGGTGGGTGCTTGTAAGGGAAGCTGGTGGGTGCTTGAAGAAAAAGCTGCTGGGTGGTTGAAGGGAAAGGCTGCTGGGTTCGACTCCCATACAATGCTGATTTTTCGGTCAACTAGGAAGCGGAATGAAACTCTTTTCCAAGAATGTCTTACATGGGACCCTTCAACAGCAAGAATTTGTTGATACTGTTCAGAAAAGGGCTTTCGTTGGGGATTCGCGGAGCTTCAACTCGAAATTTGGGAATCCAGCCATGGACACGAAAACGGTAGGTGTCGTTTTTAAGTGCAAGTTTGTGCAGTTGTGACTCACAGCATCGCAATCGCGACTTGATCCAGCGGAAGACGCGGTCGACGGTACATCTGTGACGGCTGCCGTTGGCCGTCAAATGGCGGCTGTTAATAGTCGACTGGCCTGTGTGCGTGGATTATTGACGGAACAGAGTCGTGGAAGCGAAAAAAGGAGGGACCAGGCAGGCAAGGGAAAGTGACAGGGAATAAATGGCTGGAAAAACGGACTACGACTGCACCACAAGAGTCGCCGCTATTCCATCCCTTATTCGAACTAAACACTAACTACAAACGGCGAGTCTTGGAATGCACGGCAAAAAACGAGATTGTGAAAATTCGTGTGGTGTGACTGATTGACAGAGATGAAGCACAGACCACCAAGCATGGAAGCTGGATTCTGGGTGTCATTCTGCTGTAAGAGTATATTCAATGCGGTGGGATGCGATTCTGTGCGTGGCAGGCTGACATGTTCACAATCTAAAACGTTTCAGTAGGGTCGCGAGCACACAGCATTCGCTCGTGTCATGGCCGAATTTGGGGGATGGATCTTTCTTATGAGGAATTTGTTTAGTTGGTGTTCTTCCTCCCGGGGACTGTATATATGTGAACTGGAAGTTGCTATTGAACCCTATACGATTAGCTCATCTGCGCGTATAAGACTCTGCACAGATCTCGTGAAGCCAAGACGGTAACCACTCTCGACGAAGCCAATTCCACAGGCGACTTCCGTCGGATCCGTAACCCGATTTCGGTTTCTGACAAGAAAACAAAACATTGCCCAAGGTTTCCCGCTCAATCTCTGACGGGCAAAACTTCAGCTCCAACACCACGACCACTGCTTCTTTCGAATCTGAGCGGCAAATCTGAGAATTTCAGTCAGGCACTTTGGGACGAGCCGCCTATGGTTGCCCGATATCTTGGCGTTGGATTCTGAGTCATAGGCTTGTTGTTACACGTCGCGAAAGCTCTCGCGGAGACTGTGTTCGAGAGAAAATACCATCCAGAAGAAGCAAGCTCAAGCCGCGCTGAACCCCGTGTCGCCATGGACGCGATGCGGGAGAACCTCGCTTATTTACTCGACCAGCGGCTGTACGAGTCGGCTGAGATCCTCGTGAGTGGCTTAGTCAGTCAAGCTGGAGTGCTTAGCGGAGAAACGGATGGAATGACAGTGAATACATACGAGCGGATTCGGGACTAGTAGAATATGTGTTTATTTACTGAACGCGCTCATGTCGGCTATGCGTTCCCGTTTCGTGTGTGAAGAAACGCGTCCCATGCGTTCCGCATAAGGCGTAGCGCGTTTCGAGGCGTGTCGTAACTCGCTTAGTAGTGTGAGTAAGAGACGGGCCATACCATGCTCTCATGCAAGATACGCTACGATACGATACGATACGATACGATACGATACGATACGATACGATACATTACGCTACCCTCTCAGGACCGTCCTTTCTCCAATCCTCGTAATCTCCAGCCTCCTTAATTTCCGTCCCCCGCTCCTTCAGGGAAGCTTCTTGGTTTCAGCAGCCGGCCCGGGCAGCGACGTGCCGGCAATATCGAGGGCGGAGAATCTCGTGCTTTACGCGGACGCGCTCTTTGGGCGGCAGGAGTTCCGCCGCGCGCTGGTGGGTGCGCGGAGAGTGAGAGTGCGCGGGTGGGTGCGCGGAGAGAGAGAGTGCGCTGGTGGGTGCGCGGAGAGAGAGAGTGCGCTGGTGGGTGCGCGGAGAGTGAGAGTGTGCGGAAAATGAGAGTGCGCTGGCAGTTGCGCGGAGGAGTGCTGCTGGTTGGTGCGCACACGCTTACAGTACACTGGCACTAGGTACCGTGCTTGTACATGCGTTTCTGCGACAACCCAGGGGTAGCCATTTTTCGATGGGAAGGGGTACCTACCACCACAAGTCACCGACACAATAGCTCCGCAATTCCCTGTTCCCACCTTCCTCTTGCGTTTTTCCTCCCCTTCCTCTCCCTCTCGCCTCCCCCTTCTTCCCCTCCCTCCCGTCCCCCCTCTTCCCCCCCGCAGAACCTCTACCGCCAGGCACAGCAACTCTGCAAGGTGGCCGGTCAGGAACACCCGGTACCCACCAGGCAACCTTTGACACGTCTCAACTCCCCCCCTCTTCCCCCTCCCTCAGAACCTCTACCGCCAGGCACAGCAACTCTGCAAGGTGGCCGGCCATGCGGGCGGCAGCAGTCGGACCGTCCCTGGCAGCCCTGCCACTGTAGCAGGCACTGTAGCCAGCGCCAGCCTTGGGACTCCCGCCCAGTCAGGCGGCTACAGTGCAGGAGGGGCGGGGACAGGGGGAGGGGGCGCAGGGGGGGGCTCAGGGGGAGTGGGGCGGTATGGGGGGGTGGGGCAGTCAGGGGGGGGAAGCGGGATCGGGGGGATGGGGGGGATTGGCGGAGGGGGGAGAATGGGAGCTGGGGGGGGGATGTCGATGGGGTGTTTGTCTATGGTTTCAGGGGGGGCGTGTGTGGGGGGAGGAGCCGGGGGAGGGGGAGGGGGCGCGGTTGGGGCAATGTGGGGTGGAGGGGCGAGCATGGTGGCCTTGGATACAGACGTGGGGAAGGCTGAGGTGAGTAGTGACAGTCCGTTTCCACACCCCTTCCCTGTGCTCACTTACTCACTCGCTCACTAAGTCACTCACTCAATCACTCACTCACTCACTCACTCACTCATCCACACTCACCTCATAATCGCTCATCCACACTCACTCACTTACTCTCTCACTCATTCATACCCACTCACTCACCTGCTCTTCTTCCCTCCGTTCCTCACTCCTACCCTACCCTCCGTGCTGTGACATACTAATATGCGTGCTAATATGCTAATATACCCTTCCGTACTAATATGCTCCACATGCGCAACTCATGCCCCTCACGTGCCCCACACCCTCCCTCCTACCCACACATGCCACATGGCATGTGTCACCAGGTGCGCCTGCGAGTAGCGGAGTGCTACGTGGCATTAAAGGAGGTGAAGCCCGCCCTCACGGAGGTGAGTGTGGGGTTTCAAACTTCAGTCGGGTCAATCGGGTCAACCAGGTCAACCAGGTGCGCCTGCGAGTGGCGGAGTGCTACGTGGCATTGAAGGAGGTGAAGCCTCGCTCGCAGAGGTGTGTGGACGGTAGATCAGGTCAGCCAGGTCAACCAGGTCAACCAGGTCAACCAGGTCAGCCAGGTCAGCCAGGTCAGCCAGGTCAACCAGGTCAGCCAGGTCAGCCAGGTCAACCAGGTCAGCCAGGTCAGCCAGGTCAACCAGGTCAACCAGGTCAGCCAGGTCTACCAGGTCAACCAGGCCAATCAGGACAATCAGGTCAAGCAAGTCAGCCATTTCAAGCAAGTCGGCCAGGTCAACGAGGTCAAACCCAGTATATTCACTCACCTATCCTCCCCCCTCCCTCTCAGCTCGAGGCAGTGCCTCACCGCCTGCGGTCGCTGCGCCTCAACCTGCTGCTCGCCCGTCTCTACCGCTCCAGCAGCTACGACCGCGCTGCACTTGCTGCTTACAAGGAATGCCTGAGGTGTGTGCGTTGCTGCCAGTGCCTCAGGTGTGTGTTGCTGCCCGTGCCTCAGGTGTGTGCGTTGCTGCCAGTGCCTCAGGTGTGTGTTGCTGCCCGTGCCTCAGGTGTGTGCGTTGCTGCCAGTGCCTCAGGTGTGTGTTGCTGCCCGTGCCTCAGGTGTGTGCGTTGCTGCCCGTGCCTCAGGTGTGTGCGTTGCTGCCCGTGCCTCAGGTGTGTGCGTTGCTGCCCGTGCCTCAGGTGTGTGCGTTGCTGCCCGTGCCTCAGGTGTGTGCGTTGCTGCCCGTGCCTCAGGTGTGTGCGTTGCTGCCCCTGCCTCAGGTGTGTGCGTTGCTGCCCCGTGCCTCAGGTGTGTGCGTTGCTGCCCGTGCCTCAGGTGTGTGCGTTGCTGCCCGTGCCTCAGGTGTGTGCGTTGCTGCCCCGTGCCTCAGGTGTGTGCGTTGCTGCCCGTGCCTCAGGTGTGTGCGTTGCTGCCCGTGCCTCAGGTGTGTGCGTTGCTGCCCGTGCCTCAGGTGTGTGCGTTGCTGCCCCGTGCCTCAGGTGTGTGCGTTGCTGCCCGTGCCTCAGGTGCCGCTAGTGCCTCATACGCTAGCCGTTGAGAGAGTGCCTTCCACACGTTCAGAAGCTTGCGTGGATCTTGGAAGGCCAACTTTGTCTTGCACACGCAAGCTTTCGAGAATCGTGGCGCACTTGGAATGCTAGAAACCCGTTTCAGACGCTGGCCTGGCATTCCTGCAGCAAGGGGACTGCCTCAGGTGCTTTTTGCTCCCATTCACTCGTATATGGTCTCTCTAGTGCTCCAGCAGCTGCTGCCGCAGGTGCTCACTCGTACACTTCCTCTTCACCTCCCTTCCCTTCCCCTCCATTCACCTCCCTTCATCTCCTTTCACCTCTCTCCACACTCCTTTCACCTCTCTCCATACCCGTTCACCTTCTTACACTCCTCGTGATTCTCATTACCAGGCAGTGCCTGAGTTTTCCCTGGGGGCATCGGCAGCAGTGGCTCAGCTGGAGGCATCTGCAAGCCTCACTCCTCCAAACCATTCAAAAGCCATCTATAACTCCTTTGTGACCCTCTTCACCTCCCCACCACCAGGCAATGCCCATTCGCAATGGAGGCAGTGACAGCAGTGGCGCAGCTGGGGCTGTCAGCCAAAGAGACGTGCGCTTTGCTGCCCCAGCAAGAGGTGAGCGTCTCCATTCTATACCCATCTGCACTCCTACCAATCTCCCCCCACCGCCCTCATCAGCAACTGAGAGCGTCCACCTAGCCAGGTGGCTATCCCCCATGCCCGATCCCACTCCATGCCATCCTCACCCCTACACTCTCTCAATTCTCGTAAACCCTGCCAGCCCCCCACCCGGCGAGGTGCCATGATGCCACTCCATGCCCATGCCCATCCCCGAACTCTTTCCAACCTCCCCACCTGCCGCCAACCAACCCCACACAGCTCCCCCCCAGCACGCCAGCAGCAAGCTGCCTCGTTGCTTCTCACTCCATGTGTTTGAAGAAGTGTTTTGAGACGTCTCAAAACACTTCCCACTCCATGCTATCCCCATCCCCGCTTGTCAACCCGCCCCGTCGCTTCCCAACCATCTCACCCACCGTATCCTCCCCATCGCCTCCACCCCCCCCATCTTCCCCACCTTCCCATCCTTTTCCCATCCTTTTCCCATCCTTTTACCTCCTTTTTCCATCCTTTCTCCATCCTTTTCCCATCCTTTTCCCATCCTTTTCCCATCCTTTTCCCATCCTTTTCCCATCCTTTTCCCATCCTTTTCCCATCCTTTTCCGTCCTCCAGCCCCTTTCGAGCACGCCCAGCAGCAGAGGGAGCAGCAAGGCGGGTGCAACAGGGGAGGTGCACGAGTCTTGCAAGTGGCTGCAGGTAGTGACTCTATCAGGTAGAAAATGTGTTGGGTGTGGCTCTATTTGGTAGTGACTGTATCACATAGTGACAGTTTCAAGAAGTGACTGTATCATGCTGTTTGTGACGTAATCATTTTATGTGGCGTATCCCCATTATGACGGGTGCATATGAAGTCGACACGTGCTAATCCCCTTCTGTTCCGCTGCGGCATGTGTGTGGCTGCTGCGTATTGCCGTGCCCATGGGTGTTTGTATGGGTGTGTGTATGGGTATGTGCATGGGTGTGTGCATGGGTGTGTCCATGGGTGTGTGCGTGGGTGTGTGCGTGGGTGTGTGCATGGGTGTGTGCATGTGTGCGTGCATGTGTGCGTGCATGTGTGCATGCATGGGTGAGCAGAAGTATGTGGAGGCACAGGCACACCGAGCAGCCAATGAGAACGCAGGTGAGAGCAGGAAGAAAGTAACTGAGTAACACAGGCATGCAGGCAGATGATAATTGTAAGGAATACCGCAGTACATAAGGCATGCAGTTTACTGCACATAGGGCCTACTCTTTCCGTGATGTCTGTTTTGAGAGCCTATCTCTGCAAGTCACGGATTCAAGTCCCCCTGCTACTGGATCAACAACCGTTGGAGGGACAAATGTTGCAGTGTATGTTTTTTTAGAATTCTCAAGAGCCTATCTCTGCAAGTCACGGATTCAAGTCCCCCTGCTACTGTTTTCCCATGCCTTTCACCCCTCTGTGTCCCCCTGCTACTGTTTTCCCATGCCTTTCACCCCTCTGTGTCCCCCTGCTACTGTTTTCCCATGCCTTTCACCCCTCTGTGTCCCCCTGCTACTGTTTTCCCATGCCTTTCACCCCTCTGTGTCCCCCTGCTACTGTTTTCCCATGCCTTTCACCCCTCTGTGTCCCCCTGCTACTGTTTTCCCATGCCTTTCACCCCTCTGTGTCCCCCTGCTACTGTTTTCCCATGCCTTTCACCCCTCTGTGTCCCCCTGCTACTGTTTTCCCATGCCTTTCACCCCTCTGTGTCCCCCTGCTACTGTTTTCCCATGCCTTTCACCCCTCTGTGTCCCCCTGCTACTGTTTTCCCATGCCTTTCACCCCTCTGTGTCCCCCTGCTACTGTTTTCCCATGCCTTTCACCCCTCTGTGTCCCCCTGCTACTGTTTTCCCATGCCTTTCACCCCTCTGTGTCCCCCTGCTACTGTTTTCCCATGCCTTTCACCCCTCTGTGTCCCCCTGCTACTGTTTTCCCATGCCTTTCACCCCTCTGTGTCCCCCTGCTACTGTTTTCCCATGCCTTTCACCCCTCTGTGTCCCCCTGCTACTGTTTTCCCATGCCTTTCACCCCTCTGTGTCCCCCTGCTACTGTTTTCCCATGCCTTTCACCCCTCTGTGTCCCCCTGCTACTGTTTTCCCATGCCTTTCACCCCTCTGTGTCCCCCTGCTACTGTTTTCCCATGCCTTTCACCCCTCTGTGTCCCCCTGCTACTGTTTTCCCATGCCTTTCACCCCTCTGTGTCCCCCTGCTACTGTTTTCCCATGCCTTTCACCCCTCTGTGTCCCCCTGCTACTGTTTTCCCATGCCTTTCACCCCTCTGTGTCCCCCTGCTACTGTTTTCCCATGCCTTTCACCCCTCTGTGTCCCCCTGCTACTGTTTTCCCATGCCTTTCACCCCTCTGTGTCCCCCTGCTACTGTTTTCCCATGCCTTTCACCCCTCTGTATCCCCCTGCTACTGTTTTCCCATGCCTTTCACCCCTCTGTGTCCCCCTGCTACTGTTTTCCCACGCCTTTCACCCCTCTGTGTCCCCCTGCTACTGGATCAACACCATGCGTGTCGGTTTTTGAGGTGCTTCAAAAGCCGTCCGACTGCTCCTGGATGAACATGCTATGCCAATTGTTTTGATGTCAGTGATTCTCCCTCTGCTCACACTGTACAAGCTGGCCGAAATATCTCACACTCCTCACCCGTCAACCCCCCCAACCCTCACCCCGGTCACGCTCTCCCATGCCCATCATCCCTGTCTCCCTCCCCCCAGGCCCCTCACTCCGTGGCATGACAGCCAGTGTGGACGAGTATCAGCAGCTGGTGACTCGCTTTCCCAACAATGCCTGTTTTCCCATGCCTTTCACCCCTCTGTGCCCCACTTGCCTTTCACCCCTCTGTGCCCCACTTGCCTTTCACCCCTCTGTGCCCCACTTGCCTCTCACCCCTCTGTGCCCCACTTGCCCCTCACCCCATGCGTCCCACATCCCACGCCCCTCACCCCGTGGCATGGCAGCCTGTGCGGACGAGTATCAGCAGCTGGTGACCCGCTTCCCCAGCAACGTACACCTGCACCTGCACATGGGGCAGGTGGGTGAGTGACCTTCAATGCGTCCTCAATACGTCCCAGCAATCTTTCATCCCCTGTGTCATGCTCCGTGTCTCATGTCCTGTGTCATTCTTTGTGTCATGCCCTGTGTCATGCCCTGTGCCACGCCCTGTGCCCTGCCCTGTGTCACCCTGTGCCACGCCCTGTGCTGTGCTGTGCATCACCATCAGGTGGAGGCATCTCAGGGTCGCAATGAGGAGGCCATGCTACACTATCAAAAGGTGCTCTCGTTACTATCACTCCTCTCCTTACTGTCACCACTAGAAGGTGCTCTCCTTTTGGCTAATCACTTCTCCTCACTTCTTCCCCTACCCCCGCTGTAGCTGCTGCTGTAGCTGCTGCTGTAGCTGCTGCTGTAGCTGCTGCTGTAGCTGCTGCTGTAGCTGCTGCTGTAGCTGCTGCTGTAGCTGCTGCTGTAGCTGCTGCTGTAGCTGCTGCTGTAGCTGCTGCTGTAGCTGCTGCTGTAGCTGCTGCTGTAGCTGCTGCTGTAGCTGCTGCTGTAGCTGCTGCTGTAGCTGCTGCTGTAGCTGCTGCTGTAGCTGCTGCTGCTGCTGCTGCCTCTTGTCACCAACCCCATTCCAACCCCTCCACAACCCCCTCCTCTCCTCCTCCTCCTCCTCCTCCTCCTCCTCCTCCTCCTCCTCCTCCTCCTCCTCCTCCTCCTCCTCCTCCTCCTCCTCCTCCTCCTCCTCCTCCTCCTCCTCCTCCTTCTCCTCCTCCTCCTCCTCCTCCTCCTCCTCCTCCTCCTCCTTCTGCTGCCGCTGCCGCCACCGCAGCCGCCACCGCTGCCGCTGCTCCTGCTGCTACTTGTGCTCGTGCTCCCTGCGTCAACCTTCTCACCTTCCACCCTACTGCCACACTACTGCCACACTACTGCCACACTACTGCCACACTACTGCCACACTACTGCCACACTACTGCCACACTACTGCCACACTACTGCCACACTACTGCCACACTACTGCCACACTACTGCCACACTACTGCCACACTACTGCCACACTACTGCCACACTACTGCCACACTACTGCCACACTACTGCCACACTACTGCCACACTACTGCCACACTACTGCCACACTACTGCCACACTACTGCCACACTACTGCCACACTACTGCCACACTACTGCCACACTACTGCCACACTACTGCCACACTACTGCCACACTACTGCCACACTACTGCCACACTACTGCCACACTACTGCCACACTACTGCCACACTACTGCCACACTACTGCCACACTACTGCCACACTACTGCCACACTACTGCCACACTACTGCCACACTACTGCCACACTACTGCCACACTACTGCCACACTACTGCCACACTACTGCCACACTACTGCCACACTACTGCCACACTACTGCCACACTACTGCCACACTACTGCCACACTACTGCCACACTACTGCCACACTACTGCCACACTACTGCCACACTACTGCCACACTACTGCCACACTACTGCCACACTACTGCCACACTACTGCCACACTACTGCCACACTACTGCCACACTACTGCCACACTACTGCCACACTACTGCCACACTACTGCCACACTACTGCCACACTACTGCCACACTACTGCCACACTACTGCCACACTACTGCCACACTACTGCCACACTACTGCCACACTACTGCCACACTACTGCCACACTACTGCCACACTACTGCCACACTACTGCCACACTACTGCCACACTACTGCCACACTACTGCCACACTACTGCCACACTACTGCCACACTACTGCCACACTACTGCCACACTACTGCCACACTACTGCCACACTACTGCCACACTACTGCCACACTACTGCCACACTACTGCCACACTACTGCCACACTACTGCCACACTACTGCCACACTACTGCCACACTACTGCCACACTACTGCCACACTACTGCCACACTACTGCCACACTACTGCCACACTACTGCCACACTACTGCCACACTACTGCCACACTACTGCCACACTACTGCCACACTACTGCCACACTACTGCCACACTACTGCCACACTACTGCCACACTACTGCCACACTACTGCCACACTACTGCCACACTACTGCCACACTACTGCCACACTACTGCCACACTACTGCCACACTACTGCCACACTACTGCCACACTACTGCCACACTACTGCCACACTACTGCCACACTACTGCCACACTACTGCCACACTACTGCCACACTACTGCCACACTACTGCCACACTACTGCCACACTACTGCCACACTACTGCCACACTACTGCCACACTACTGCCACACTACTGCCACACTACTGCCACACTACTGCCACACTACTGCCACACTACTGCCACACTACTGCCACACTACTGCCACACTACTGCCACACTACTGCCACACTACTGCCACACTACTGCCACACTACTGCCACACTACTGCCACACTACTGCCACACTACTGCCACACTACTGCCACACTACTGCCACACTACTGCCACACTACTGCCACACTACTGCCACACTACTGCCACACTACTGCCACACTACTGCCACACTACTGCCACACTACTGCCACACTACTGCCACACTACTGCCACACTACTGCCACACTACTGCCACACTACTGCCACACTACTGCCACACTACTGCCACACTACTGCCACACTACTGCCACACTACTGCCACACTACTGCCACACTACTGCCACACTACTGCCACACTACTGCCACACTACTGCCACACTACTGCCACACTACTGCCACACTACTGCCACACTACTGCCACACTACTGCCACACTACTGCCACACTACTGCCACACTACTGCCACACTACTGCCACACTACTGCCACACTACTGCCACACTACTGCCACACTACTGCCACACTACTGCCACACTACTGCCACACTACTGCCACACTACTGCCACACTACTGCCACACTACTGCCACACTACTGCCACCCTACTGCCACCCTACTGCAACCCTAGGCCCGCACCGCACTCTAGACCCTTTCAATGTTGCCTGTATGTTAACTCTGCTCTGCTGTTGCTGATGCTGCCACTCATCTCATCCCACCTTCCATCCTAACAACCTCAAACCCTTCTTTCCCCTTCCTGCCCCCAGGCCCACACCCTAGACCCCTTCAACGTGGCCTGTATGGACGACTATGCTCGGCTGCTCCAGCAGCTGCTACTAGTGCTGTCACTTGTCTCATATTCCTTGCCTGCCCTCCTACCATCCTACCCCACTACACAACACACCCCCCCAGGCCCGCACCCTAGACCCCTTCAACGTGGCCTGTATGGACGACAATGCTCTGCTGCTCCAGCAGCTGCTACTAGTGCTGTCACTTGTCTCATATTCCTTGCCTGCCCTCCTACCATCCTACCCCACTACACACCCCCCCAGGCCCGCACCCTATACCCCTTCAACGTGGCCTGTATGGACGGCAATGCTCTGCTGCTCCAGCAGCTGCTACTAGTGCTGTCACTTGTCTCATATTCCTTGCCTGCCCCCTACCCCACTACACACCCCCCCAGGCCCGCACCCTAGACCCCTTCAATGTGGCCTGTATGTACAACTATGCCCCGCTGCTGCTGTCACTGGTGCTGCAACTGCTGTCACTTGTCTCAGATTCCATGTCAACCCCCCTCACGCCCTCCCTCCCCCCCAGGCCCGCACCCTAGACCCATTCAACGTCGCCTGTATGGACGACTATGCGCTTCTCCTCCTCTCCCGCCGCTCCCCCTCCGCCTCCTCCGCCCTCTCCCCCCCCAACCTGCAAGTCGACGCCAGCGTGGGGGGAGCAGGGGGAGCGGGGGGAGCGGGGGGGGCGGAGCTGAGGAGGCTGACGGCGGAGATGGTGGGGGTGGGGGCGGGGAGGGTGGAGGCCTGGGTGGTGGCGGCTGCCCTGTGGATGAGCCGGGGGGAATGGGGCAGTGCACTGGCTTATGTAGATAAGGTGGGAGGAATTGGTTGGGGTGGATGTGGGGATGATGTGGATATGTGGAGATATGGTGGTTGTGGGGATGGGTTGAGTAGGTGTGGAGCTGAGGTGTGCGTGCGTGCTGGCATGTGTCAAGGGGTGTTCTTTTTTGAGAGATCTCGAAAATCGTGTTGGTATGGTATGTATGTGGCACCATGGGGGATAAAAAACATCCCTCCTCATAGAGCATAGAAAACCGTGTTGGTATGTGGCAACCACGGGGCTCCACCATGTACAGAGTCGATTTTTGAGTCGACTCAAAAAAACCCTGTGCATGTTCCATGCTCTCCTCACCCTGAACCATCCATCCCACCCACCCGCCCCACTCGTCCACCTCACTCACTCACCCACCCACCCACCCACCTAGCCCACTCTATTCATTCGCCTCACGCATCTTCCACACCCCTTCTCTTTCCCCCCTCCGCTCCCCCCTCTTCGCTCTTTAACACCGCCACTTCAAGTCCCTGATGTTGTTTTTTTTTTTTTTTTAAGAATTCTAAAAAAAGTCCCTCCTTTCCTTACCCGCCTTCGTGCTCTTGCCTGCCTTCCACCCCTTTCTCCCCTCCCACGCCGTCTCACCCCTCTCCTCCCCTCCGACCACCTGCAGGCTCTTCAACTGGACGACCACCACTTCCCTGCCCTTCTTGCCAAGGTGTGCTTTGAATCTGTCTTTTGAGGTGTGCGCTTTGAATCTGTTTTTTTTAGAATTCTCAAAGTGTCACTTCCCTGCCCTTCTTGCCAAGGTGTGCTTTGAGGTGACTCGAGGTGACTTTTGAGGTGTCTGTTTCATTTGAGGTGGCTAAAAGTGACTCTTGAGGCGCCTCAAAAGGCATCTTATAGGTTGTGCCATGTGTGAGTTTTGAGGCGACTCAAAGTGCAGTGGTGCGCGTTTTGAGGCGACTCAAAGTGCAGTGGTGCGCGTTTTGAGGCGACTCAAAGTGCAGTGGTGCGCGTTTGAGGCGACTCAAAGTGCAGTGGTGCGCGTTTTGAGGCGACTCAAAGTGCAGTGGTGCGCGTTTTGAGGCGACTCAAAGTGCAGTGGTGCGCGTTTTGAGGCGACTCAAAGTGCAGTGGTGCGCGTTTTGAGGCGACTCAAAGTGCAGTGGTGTGAGCTTTGCGTGATTGTGCCATGCCTACCAACACACATCATGCCTTGTGCTCTGAGGGGCTGTGTGCTGTTGTAACGAGGTGACTTTCGAGTCGAATCAAGTGCCACCATGTGCAACAATGCTGTGCAGCACTGTGCCATGCCATGCCCACCATTGTTGTGTCATGTCATGCTGTGTGCCGTGCCGTGCCGTGCCGTGCCGTGGCGTTTTAAGACGTTCCTCCCTCTGCCTTCCCCTCCCTACTTCCCCCCCTCTCCCCCCCCTCTCCCCACTATCCCCCTCAGGGCGCCATTCTGCTGCAAGCAGAGCGGTCAGAGTCAGCAGCAGTGGCTTTGAGGCGTCCGCCCATTCACATTCCTCCCTCCTTCCCCCTCTCTTCCCCACACCCCCATCCTCCCTCCGGGCGCCAACTTGCTGCAAGCAGAGCGGTCAGAGTCAGCAGCAGTGGCTCAGAAATCAAGCAGTCGCCTCAAGCACTCGTTCAAATCCACCCGACCCCTCTCCACCCCTCTCCACCCCTCTCCACCCCTCTCCACCCCTCTCCGCCCCTCTCACCTTCCCCCTCTCCCCCATCCCCATCAGGGTGCCATTCTTCTCCAGGCCGACCAGTCAGAGTCAGCAGCAGAGGCTCAAAAATCAAGCAGTCGCCTCAGGCACTCGTTCAAATCCACCCCACCCCTCTCCACCCCTCTCCGCCCCACCTTTCCCCCCCTCTCCCCCATCCCCATCAGGGCGCCATTCTTCTGCAAGCAGAGCGGTCGGAATCAGCAGCAGTGGCGGCAGCAGCAGCAGCCATTTTCCGCAGGGCATACACACAGAAGCAGGACCTGCGGGTGTTCCAAGGTGAGGGGAGGGCGGGGAGGAGTAGGGGAGGAGAAGGGGAGGAGAGGGGGAGTAGAGGGGGAAAGGGGGTGCTGTGTGGGGGAAAGAGGTGAAAAGGGGCCTACACAACAAAAGCAGCAGCCATTTTCCGCAGGGCATACACACAGAAGCAGGACCTGCGGGTGTTCCAAGGTTGGTACACAGGTGGGGTAGAGTGGGTTAGGGGCGGGGAGAGGGGACGAGCTTCGAAAAGGGGTTTTCATCCAGCGGACTTGTGCTTTTGAGTCGACTCAAAAGGGGTCTTCATCCAGCGGACTTGTGGGTGTTTTAGGGTGAGGGGAGGGGGGAAGGAAGAAGGAGGGTGCAGGTTGTGTGTGTGTGTGTGTGTGTGTGTGTGTGTGTGTGCAAGGAAGGGCCTACACGCAGAAGCAGGGCCTGCGCGTTTTTCAAGGTGGGTAAGGTCCGATAAGTGAGGGTTGGAGGTGACTGACTTAACAACTGTTGTGTCTACTCAAGAGTCAAAATCACCTCCGTAATCTGAGGCTTCTCGTCTTCTTTTTACAGGTCTGGTCCGAGCCTACCTGCGCATTCCGAAGCTGAAAGAGGCCATAGCAGCGGCCCGGGAGGCAGTCAAGGCGTTTCCCAACTCTGCCAGCGCTTTGTCTCTTCTGGGGGAGGTGTATCTGCAGCACGGCGACAGCAGGGACAAGGTTCTGTAGCCACGCTCTTTACCTCTTTTGGTTTAGGGTTGAAGGCGTTTCCGGGATTTTGTTTCTTTGGTTTTCTTGTCAAATTCTCAAACTCTTTGCGAGCGAGGTGGTTGAGGTGGCATTGCATGCGAGGTTTCAGCATGCACTGTACAGTGTGCTTTGAGTTGCCTGCTCTTCGTCTCTTTGAGGCAGCAGTGGGGACGGGCATGCACGCATGCACAGACACGGCTCTTTTTCCCCCTTTCTGCACACACACACACACACACACACACACACACACACACGCACGCGCGCACACACACACACACTCTGCAGGCGCGGAAGGTGTTTGAGGCTGCATTGAGGATGGATGGTCGGTGTGGCGCTGCTGTCACGGGATTGGCCGATGCGCACACCATGGACGGGCGGCATGCTGCTGCTGTGGACGTGTGAGTGGCTGGTCTTAGAACCCCTGTGAACCCATGTGAACCCCTGCGACCCCCCCCCCTCGAACCCCCGTGAATCCTTCTGAAACCCTGTGGATCTTTCTTGATGAATGAATGTAAGGCAAAGCACAAGCAGCGGCACAGCGTGGATGGGCGGCATGCTGCTGCCGTGGACGTGTGAGTGGATGGATGCGATGAATGTCTTATGCATGCATTCGTTCATACAAAAATAGGAACTATCATAAGCAGGATCGTAAGAGGAATGCTGCTTTTTTGTGTGTTCCACCAGTCTGGAGCGCCATCTGGCAGGCAGTGGACGCTGCTTTGAGCCGCCAAAGCAGTCATTCACTACCCTCTCCCTCTCCATGAGTGGACGCTGTTTGTGTAACTTCCCAAGTAGACATGCATGCTCCTCTCGAATGCTCCTCTCCCTCTCCGTGCGTGTGTTCCACCAGGCTGGAGCGCCACCTGGCAGTGGATGCTGCTGACTGGATCCACGTGAAGCTGGGATTCGTCCACATGGCGGCTAACCGGCTGCCTGACGCTCTGCACCATCTGCAGACGGCCCTCAGGTGACGCTGACGTGGCGCGATTTCTCCCATATGATAGGCCATGACACATGCCATGACATCAACTAGCATCCAATGGCATCCCATGACATACCATCACATACCACGACTTACCATGACATGCCATGGCATCTGTTGCCCACGATCCCATTTCACATTCTCCTTTCCCTGGTTATCGTTCTGCTTGAATGCATGCCAGCATGTTAGCATGCCACATGCCTGCTCGCCACATGCCCACATGCCAGCTTGGAACATGCCATGTGTGCATGCACACATGAGCATATGAGTGCAGTCTCATTCACACATATGCACACATGTGCACATACATGCACTCATGTGCTCTCACGCACATGCACTCACATGTGTGCACTCACCTGCATGCATTCACCCTTGTGCAAAGTCTTGTGTGCTCTCACACACATGCACTCTCGTGTTGGCACTCACCCGCATGCATGCATTCACCCATGTGCAAACTCTTGTGCCTGTGCACAACCATTAACGGGTATTATTGTGACTTTTGAGTCGACTCAAAATTCACCCATGTGCAAGCTCTTGTGCCTGTGCACAACCATTAACGGTATCATTGTGTGGTGCCTCTTGCATGCGCCTCTTTGCCCTTGCACACACTACCACGTCAGCATCAATCCGACCAATGAAAACGCCAAGAAAGGGCTCAACCGCATCGACAGGCTTCTGAAGGTGATCCCTGAATATTCACTTGTCATGCCATGACATGCAATGGGATGTCAAGTCGTGAGTCATGACATGCAATGAGATGGCAAGTCGTGAGTCATGGCATGCAATGAGATGGCATGTCGTGAGTCATGACATTCCCCGCATCACATCACACTACCATGCTATGCTATCTTCCCATGCCATGCCATGCCATCCATTGTTGTACTACGGTAGGTAGTATTCATGCCGCGCGCATCCCATTGCTGTTGCGATTTGCATAGCATCAATGTCTGGTTTTTATGATGTTGCATGGTAACCAGCCATACGTGGTACCGCTAACACCTTACCCCTGATCATTTTATCGACTGCAGGGAGGTGATGGGGACGATGAGGAAGAGACCTCCATGCAGTATGCCACTGGCAGTCCACTCTTCGAATGATATGCGGCATAAAAGTGACACTGGTTTTGCTTTCTTTGTTTTTTTCTCACTGGATCATTGGTTTTTCTTTCATATGGCCACAGATAATGTTAAACAGTAATAATCACACTGCAAAAGAGAGATGTTGAAGCGGCTGCAGTTAATCTCCTCAGCTTATGTTAGTAGTTAGCATCATAGTACATACAGGAGCTATACTGTACACCTCTCGCCGCAAGGCCGCAGCACAATTTGCGCTTGCCCCTTGGGAAAACCGGCAAACGGAATGTTCTCCGCTAAAAGCTACCCCCGATATGAGCTCCAAGGTTAGTTTCCAGTGAACAGCAAAAAACTCGCACGCGCGCTTTCCGCCGAAACCCTAGCAAGCGACCAAGCGCCCCTCACAGCACCACATCCCCAAACCCGCCGCGTCCCACTGCCCAGCTTCCCGCTCCTCCACATCAAGCTTCCCCCCAATCTCCGCTTCGTCCGCAAAGCACTGCGCGCGCAGCACAGCATCCACGCAGAGCTCATCCAGTGCCCCCTCAGCTTCCGCCAAACCTTCCCCTTCCGCCACCACACTCTGCCCAGTGAAGGAGTCCCCGCAAAGCTCTGCCTTCAACAGAGCGCCGATGTCTTCCGCGCCGAGCGTCTCCACCCACGCGCAGGCACCAGCTCCGCTCACAGAACTCGGCGGAACCACGGTAGGAAAAGACTCCGCATCTTCAGAGAAGATAAAATCCTCACCAGCAAACTTCCTCGAAAGTGAGCAGTCAATTTCCTCCAGGCCTCCGCCAATCCTACTGCTGCGGAGGTGATTGCCTGCAGCGGCGGAGCAGGCGGAGTCGGCGGGGGAAGTTGAAGTTATCGGACAGCCGTCCACCTCTCCCTCGCCCTCATTTTCTTCCGCAAGCGCCTCGAGCACCCACCAAGGGAGGCTCGATGAGGTTGAGACGCCGTTAGTCGCGCCGCGGCAATCCGCGCTCGTTGCACTGAACGCTTCCGCCTTCCCGCGGACTCTCCGCTCCTGAGGCTCGTCCGCAACCCTCTTTGTTCCGCGGACGTTGGATTGCGTCGATTCTTCACTCGGTTCTTCCGCGAAGCGCTGCGCTTCAGCGGGAATGTCGCTGAACATATTAGACTCGTCGAAGTTTGAACCGCTGCCCTCCTGCATTTCCACGCCGGCCGCGCTGCTGGCTCCGCTGTAGTCGCAGTCGAGAGGAAGAGGTTGGCAGCAGTCGGCAGCGCCGGCTCCGAGCAGAACGGATGGACGGGAAATGTCGAAGGCTTCGGCGGCGGCGGGCGCAGCGACGAAAAGTGACGCATGGCTCGCGATGCGACCTAGCGACGACATCGCTGACGCGGAGGGGGACGCGGGAAGCGCAACGGGTGTACGAGTAGAGTAGCCGAGAACCGGCGCCATTTGTTCGTGTCGAGCGGCTTCCGTTAAGATGTGATACGGAACACGCGTTGCTGGAATGACCTGTAAGGTGCTGCTTTTGTCACGAGAATAAGTCAATCGGAAGGGCTTGCTAACATGAATTAAAGGCAGGCGGTTGACGAGTGGCGTCGCAGCCTCCATTTTACAGTACATGAAGGTGGGACCTACGCAATCTACTCCCTACTGTGACTTAGTTGCCTCCACAGTGGTGCGCAACTCTAGAGACCACTGGGCGAGATCTTGGAAGCGGTGGTGCGGTAGGAACCTAGACAGTGGTGGTGGTGAGGGCTGAACGATTGGGAGAAGCGAGGGAGGGGGGTGGAATTGCAGCGAAGGTTGGAAGCTAAGTGCGTGAGGGGGTGCAGAGCAGAGCAGAACGGAGAGAGCAAGTGGGAGTTAGGGGGAATAAATCTCCTGACTGGATGGCAAGCTTCGCGCATCGAATTTGCTGCCAATGGCGGCTTGAAGCAGCTTGGAGAGGATCTTGAACCTGACGAAAAAGCGCAGCGTGAGGCAGAGTAGGCGGAGGAGTCTGCCCAGCCGCGCGGAATCCGGTGTAGTCGGCGGGGTGCGGTAGATTTGGGGTGCGCGGCGCGGAAGCGCGAAAGGGGAGAGCACGAGCACCCCGCCAGGTTGGGAAGTTGGGCTTGGATGCTTCGGACTTGAACACGTCTGCGAAAGATTTCGGACAGAGAGGACTTCCGCGGAACATCAGGTCGGCGAAATGCGGAACTTGGCGGAAAACCTGGAAGTTGGCTGGTTGAGAGTTCAACGACCCGAGGCGCGCGAAGCATGAGGGATCCGCGTCATCACACCTCATATCGGCGCCAAGTCCTGACGGTGAGGACCAAACACCGTTTCTCCAACGTGGAAAGGGGCACACGAATCACGGGTACAGTACCAGGATCTCAACCAACGAACTCGGGCACAAAGGTAGGTAATTCATCTAAAATACTGGAAATTCTAGGTTATCTAAGTTTTAAAGTTGTATCGTAAGGAACTCTAGCCAACTCTAACAATGGGTGATGTAGTGGAAGATTCGTGTGGATGTTTGAGATTGAGGGCTCTTCACCTAACGCAATTGTACAACAAATGCCCCCTTCAAAAAATTGGTCATGGTCACAGAAAGGGTAGTTTTAAAATGAAAAAGCCACCTGATTCTCTTGCTGCCCCATCTCTTTCGTCACAGTCCAGACTGTGTATGTACTTAAAAAATATCTATTCGTCAAAAACCTTTTTCGTATATTTCCAACTGGTAAGTCTCCGTACTGAAAGATAAACATAGAACATGTGTGAATCGGTTTGCCGTTTTCCAAGTCACAATTTCACTCACACGGGGGGCGAATGTGGAATAACCCCCAGAACAATCTTGTAATTGCGAAACATCCGTTTTTTTCCAAGGTGGACAGTCCGTTGCGAATACAGCTCAAGTTGAGGTGGTGTGGTCTGTTTGTCCCTCGCCGTGAGCCGCAACGCCTGCATTCTACCGCCGAAAATAGCTCAGCCCACACTGCCCCATTACAGGTGATTATGGTGCATCCCATGTCAGTTTCCGGCGGGCAAGACGATTTCGCGGTCAGATTCTGCCAACACTTGACAGAAATCGGGTGCGTGAAAACTCAGGCATCACGTGAATCCAGCTGACGACCAATGGGGTTGACGCTTCCACGTACCACTCCGAATTTCCAGCATGTCAATTATGTCTCGTTCACCAGCCAAGCATCAATCAGCAGAAGTTGTAACAAAATCCAATCAAAACCGACAGTACAGCGCGGATGCAGTGTCCTTCGTGTAGGGTGCACCACAAAGTATGGACTGGCGCTGCACTACATGTAACACTACACAAACTGTCTTGCAAGCATATATACCTCGATATATGCAATTTTTGATGTGGTTACAACGACACCTATCAGCAGTTTTGCATGCTGGTGCAGCCAGCACATCACGTTTCTTCTAATACTCCTTATCTCCATTTCCACGACTCTGTATCAATCTTAATCCATAATACAAACACAACGAGCATCATACGCACATGGCATGTATTGATAATATGCACATTTTTTTGGAAGAACGGGCTACACAGCATGTAAGTCGATTGCATGTTTCCGTGTCCCCTGCACCAACATCGCCCCCCAACAGACATTATTCCCTTACGTCAGCGACTTATAAACCATGAATTCAATTGCTGCACGCCAAGCCCGTACCTCAATTTAGTCCGTCCGACTACTTTCTCGGTGTTGTCGGTACTCGATATTGTCAGCGGGGTACCGCCGTGTTAAAAACATTCTGAATAGTATTTTCTCGTGTATTCTCCTTCCTCGTGTTATCATGACCGATGTGTCAGCCTCTGATCCAGCGCGACCAGACAGTCGCACGGCGACGCAGCTGCGACCGGACGGTCGCACGGCGACGCAGCTGCGACCAATGCTCGCCAGCCGGGGACCGCTGTGCCGCGCCGATGGCTCCGCGAGGTGGTCGCTAGGTGCGTGACTCTAATGAGCAAATTGGTCGCTAGGTTCGTGCGTGACTGTAACGAGCGAGTTTTGCGACGTCTCAACACTTGGCGCCGCGAGGTGGCCGCTATGTGCGTGACTAAAACGGGCGAAGCGTTTCCGAGCTGCGGTATACGGGCGCTGTCCGTGTCTGCCGGGAAATCTGGTCTCCCGTGGCGGGTGATTGTTACGGGGTGACGGGGGAGCTGTTTTTTTATTGGCTGTCACCGAATTTTAATGATTTTCCCTGCACCAGAGTCAGTCCGATAGCCCTATTTGTTCCCCTCATCTCCTCTTACCTCGCCCCCAAACCCCCTTCCCCGTTAACCCCTCATTAAACCCGAAACCTGATCTGGCTTCACGTGCGTGGTGGCGGGGGTGAATGGGCCGCGGGGAATGGGCGCGGTTCAGTGTGATCTCCCCATGCATTTCTTCCCCTCATCCCCCCCTTACTCCCCTGCCGCCCCTAACCTTCCTTCCCCTTAACCCCCGATAACCCCCCGATAAAACCCTTGCAGGGGACACCTGTGTGGTGGCAGGGGTGTATGGGCCGCGGGGGATGGGCGCGGCGGGAGGGGGGCTGGCGGGGGAGGGGTGGGGGCGGCGCAGGGGGAAAGGAGGACCCGCTTAGAGCCTCGCTGCAGGTCATATGGGCGCCCAGGAATGGCATCGCAGGTGCGTGTGACTGTAGTGAGAGTGACTGTCGTGGTGGTGTGACTCTAGTGAGAGTGACTGTCGCAGTGGAGCGCTATTGCTGGTTAAGCACTAACAAAGGCAGCGGGGCAGGGGGGCACGGAGGACCCGCTGAGAGCCTCCCTGCAGGCCATATGGGCTCCCAGGAACCGAATAGCAGGTACGTGTGACTGTGGTGAGGGTAACTGTACCGGTGGTAATGTGTCCTGTCCAGACGGTGGGCGCTGTGCTGCTGACGTCCTTGCCCCCTGTCCTTTACCATTCCTTCCCCCCCCCTTTCCCCCTTTCCCCCCTTTACCATGCCCTCACCTCCCCTGACGTCCTTGCACCCTGTCATGAAGAGACAAGGCCCTCACCTCCCCTTTACCATTCCCTCCCCCCCTTTCCCCCTTGCTCCCCTCCCACCCCACCCACCAGGCGCACACGAGACGTACAGCGAAGCAGTGGTGCGGCAGACGGTAGACGCAGTGCTGCTGTCGTCCTGGCGCCTTGTCAAACCCCCCTCCTTTTTACCTTTCACCTCCACCTCCTCTCCCCCCCCCCCTCTCCGCTCTCCCAGGCACACACGAGAAGTACAGCGAAGCAGTGGTGCGGCGGACGGTGGATGCGGCGCTGCTGTCTCCGCTGCTGCCCTCTCACTTGTGCGCCGCCAACCTGGGAGTTGCTTTTGACGGCTCTCAAGGGTTCCCCTCCCCCGTTCCCCTCCCCCGTTCCCCTCCCCCGTTCCCCTCCCCCGTTCCCCTCCCCCGTTCCCCTCCCCCGTTCCCCTCCCCCGTTCCCCTCCCCCGTTCCCCTCCCCCGTTCCCCTCCCCCCCCCCCGTTCCCCTCCCCTTCCCCTCCCCCCCCCGTTCGTTCCCTCCCCCGTTCCCCCCTCCCCCGTTCCCCTCCCACCCCCGTTCCCCTCCCCCGTTCCCCTCCCCCGTTCCCTCCCCCGTTCCCCTCCCCCGTTCCCCTCCCCCGTTCCCCTCCCCCGTTCCCCTCCCCCGTTCCCTCCCCCGTTCCCCCCCCCCTCCCCCGTTCCCCTCCCCCGTTCCCCCCCCCCGTTCCCCTCCCCCGTTCCCCTCCCCCCCCCCGTTCCCCTCCCCCGTTCCCTCCCCCGTTCCCCTCCCCCGTTCCCCTCCCCCCGTCCCCTCCCCCGTTCCCCTCCCCCGTCCCTCCCCCTCCCCCGTTCCCCTCCCCCGTTCCCCTCCCCCGTTCCCCTCCCCCGTTCCCCTCCCCCCCCGTTCCCCTCCCCCGTTCCCCTCCCCCGTTCCCCTCCCCCGTTCCCCTCCCCCGTTCCCCTCCCCCCCCGTTCCCCCCTCCCCCGTTCCCCTCCCCCGTTCCCCTCCCCCGTTCCCCTCCCCCCCCCGTTCCCCTCCCCCGTTCCCCTCCCCCGTTCCCCTCCCCCCGTTCCCCCTCCCCCGTTCCCCTCCCCCGTTCCCCTCCCCCGTTCCCCTCCCCCGTTCCCCTCCCCCGTTCCCCTCCCCGTTCCCCTCCCCCGTTCCCCCTCCCCCCCTCCCCTCCCCCGTTCCCCTCCCCCCGTTCCCCTCCCCCGTTCCCTCCCCCGTTCCCCTCCCCCCCCCCTCCCCCCCCCCCGTTCCCCTCCCCCGTTCCCCTCCCCCGTTCCCCCCCCCCCGTTCCCCCCCCCCCGGTCCCCGCCCCCGTCCCCTCCCCCCCGTTCCCCCTCCCCCGTTCCCCTCCCCCGTTCCCCTCCCCTACCACCAGGCGCACAGGAGAAGTACAGCGAGGCAGTGGTGCCTGCTGAGTGCAGTGCTGTGCTGCTGCTGCCGCGCACGAGAATACAGCTGCAGCTGCAGGTGGGTTGAGAGGGGTGCAGTGCGGTGGTGCGTGGACCCGCAGTGGAGAATATGCAATATGGGTGCTGCAGCTGCAGGGAGGTTGATTAAGGCTGCGGGCGGACGCTGCACAACCAGCACACAAGACATGCCACGCCTTTTGAGGCGCCTCAAAAGTCAACCAGCACACAAGACATGCTACACAAGTCATTCTTCCTTCGCTTGCCTTTCCAACCTCCCATCACCGCTTAAAGCCTTGTTTTGTCCGAGCTTTGCTTTGGGCAGGCCTTTTCCTTGTTCCTTTTGAGTCACATTCGAGAATCCTATTAGTCTCCTCAAGAAGGGACCATTTCTTTTTCCAGTTTCTCACAGGCCCTTCCCTTGTGAGTCTCCTTATCCTGATACAGTGTCCGCAACCTTTCCCCCCCACTTCCTATGTGCCCTTGTCCCTTTCTTTGCATCGCATTGCATCGCATGTGTCCCTATGTGGGCGCAGGTGGTGCATGACGACGGCTCGGTGAGTCTGCGTGCTGCTTCGTGTGATGAGTCGATTTTTGAGTCGACTCAAAAGTCAACTAAGGAAGCAAACGCTTCCTTCCCATGCTTCGTAAAAACCCCCCTGCTTGGTTGGGGTAACCTACAAACCATGCCACTATCTACCGTTCCTTTCCTCCAACTGTAAGTGACCCTCAATATCTCTGCAGTCTCAGACTCTATGGCTCAATCGCTAGCGTTTCGACGCTAGATGCTCGTTTTTGGCTAGGACAAAAGCTCGATAAACACTTGTGTGTGCAGGCGAAACATTATATTGGCAGGGAATGATGGTGTAACTTCAATGTGCCTGAGTTGAGTGCAGAGAACAGAGACGGAGAGATCTAGGGGTTCACGGGAAGGGTAGTAGATTGAGGAAATCCGTGGCTAGGCTATGCTGTGGTTCAGTCAATTTTTGGTGTTTTTTTTTTTTTTTTAGATAGTAGAGGGTGAATTGTGGAATGTTAGTTTGGGCGGTATATGAGATCAACCCCTCAATTGCCCACTGAAATCTGGCAAGATTGCTAAGTCAGCTTTCTGTTTACAGCACTCCCCTTTTCCCTTGCTCCTCCCTTTTCTCTATCCTTTCCTCCCCACAACTCTTCCCCCCCTTTCTCCCTTCCCCGCCTCCCCCTCCTCTCCCACCCCTCTTCACACCCCTCCGCACCACCCCACATCACCTCACACCACACCACACCACTCTACACCCCGCCCATCACCAGCTGCTGGCGTGTGCTCTGAATGCTGCCTTTGCTGCTCTCCTCGATGCCGGCTTGCCTCTCGCTTGCCTCCCAGGTGCCACTCCCTCCCCTATCTCCCGTCTCTCCCCTCTCTCCCGTCTCTCCGCTCTCTCCCGTCTCTCCGCTCTCTCCCGTCTCTCCGCTCTCTCCCGTCTCTCCGCTCTCTCCCGTCTCTCCGCTCTCTCCCGTCTCTCCGCTCTCTCCGTCTCTCCGCTCTCTCCCGTCTCTCCGCTCTCTCCCGTCTCTCCGCTCTCTCCCGTCTCTCCGCTCTCTCCCGTCTCTCCGCTCTCTCCCGTCTCTCCGCTCTCTCCCGTCTCTCCGCTCTCTCCCGTCTCTCCGCTCTCTCCCGTCTCTCCGCTCTCTCCCGTCTCTCCGCTCTCTCCCGTCTCTCCGCTCTCTCCCGTCTCTCCGCTCTCTCCCGTCTCTCCGCTCTCTCCCGTCTCTCCGCTCTCTCCCGTCTCTCCGCTCTCTCCCGTCTCTCCGCTCTCTCCCGTCTCTCCGCTCTCTCCCGTCTCTCCGCTCTCTCCCGTCTCTCCGCTCTCTCCCGTCTCTCCGCTCTCTCCCGTCTCTCCGCTCTCTCCCGTCTCTCCGCTCTCTCCCGTCTCTCCGCTCTCTCCCGTCTCTCCGCTCTCTCCCGTCTCTCCGCTCTCTCCCGTCTCTCCGCTCTCTCCCGTCTCTCCGCTCTCTCCCGTCTCTCATCTCTCTCCCCTCTCACCCCTTCCCTCTCCCCTCTCTTCGCTCTCCTACCCCTTTCTCATTGTTTTTTTGTCTTCGATCTGCCTTCTTCTCTCCCCTTGCTTGGTTGAACCCCTCTCCTCTCTCTCCTCTCCCTCCCCTCTCCTCTCTCCTTTCCCATTTCCCCTCTTTCTGTCTCCTTTCCGCACGTTCCCCTCTCTCTTCTCTTCGCTCCACTCCTCTTCCCACGCTCCTCTTTACTCTGTGTGTGCATCGCAGCAGTACCGAAATCCCACCCTTAACGGCTCATTCACATGCGCACACTCCTCCTCCCCTGCCTCCCATGCCCCTATACACACCGTAGCAGTGCTCTTTCCCTCCACCCTCCCCATGCCCCTATACACACAGTAGCAGTGCGTGGCACTGGAATCGCACCCTAACTGCTCATTCACACGCACATGCTCTTTCCCTCCCCCCTCCCCATGCCCCTATACACACAGCGGCAGTGCAACTGGCACTGGACTCGCACCCTGAACCGCCCGTTTACACGCACGCACACGCTTCTTCCTTCTCTCCCCCCTCCTCATGCCCCTATACACACAGCGGCAGTGCAGCTGGCACTGGACTCGCAAGGCCAACTGCTGCTGGACCCAACCAAGCAGGAGCAGCAGGTGAGAGGGCCTCCCCCAGTCCTTATCTCTCATTGACTTTCCTAGGCTTTCCTTAATTTCCTTGTCTTTTCTTGCTTTTCCTTGGTTTTTCTTGGTTTTGGTTTATTTCCCTTGACTTTCCTTGACTTTCCTTGACTTTCCTTGACTCTCCTTGATCCCCCCTCCTCTCTTCCTCCACATCACAACAGACAGCGTCTGCCACCCTCTGCACAGTGTTCGCCAACCGCCCGCTAGCACCGGACGGCACAGTGCTTGCTACAGTGCCCATTGGGCCGGCTGGGGTGGCAACAGCAGGAGCAGGGAGCAGCAGCAGTGGGCAAGAAGCAGTGGATGGGATGATCACGTGTGAAGCCACAGGACGAATCAGAGGTGAGAAGCGTGTGTGGGCATGGAGTATGGGTATGCGCATCTGGGGCAGCATCAGTAGCAGCAGGAGCAGGGAGGGAGCAGCAGTAGCGGGCAAGTGGCAGTAGTAGATGGGATGATCACGTGTGAAGCTACAGGACGGATCAAAGGTAAGGGAGGGACATGCACATTTCGATGCCTGACAACAAGGTACGCACGATGGGTGTCTGGATAGCTGGTGGAGCGAACAGGTCGGTTGTAAAGGAGTGGTTGCGGATGGGATGATCACTTGTGAAGCCACAGGGCGGATCAGGGGTAGTGGTGCGGCATGGGCATGGGTACTACTGATGTCTCAAGACAAGTGGTAGTGGATGGGATGATCACTTGTGAAGCCACAGGGCGGATCAGGGGTAGTGGTGTGGCATGGGCATGGGTACTACTGATGTCTCAAGACAAGTGGTAGTGGATGGGATGATCACTTGTGAAGCCACAGGGCGGATCAGGGGTAGTGGTGCGGCATGGGCATGGGTACTACTGATGTCTCAAGACAAGTGGTAGTGGATGGGATGATCACTTGTGAAGCCACAGGGCGGATCAGGGGTAGTGGTGCGGCATGGGCATGGGTACTACTGATGTCTCAAGACAAGTGGTAGTGGATGGGATGATCACTTGTGAAGCCACAGGGCGGATCAGGGGTAGTGGTGCGGCATGGGCATGGGTACTACTGATGTCTCAAGACAAGTGGTAGTGGATGGGATGATCACTTGTGAAGCCACAGGGCGGATCAGGGGTAGTGGTGCGGCATGGGCATGGGTACTACTGATGTCTCAAGACAAGTGGTAGTGGATGGGATGATCACTTGTGAAGCCACAGGGCGGATCAGGGGTAGTGGTGCGGCATGGGCATGGGTACTACTGATGTCTCAAGACAAGTGGTAGTGGATGGGATGATCACTTGTGAAGCCACAGGGCGGATCAGGGGTAGTGGTGCGGCATGGGCATGGGTACTACTGATGTCTCAAGACAAGTGGTAGTGGATGGGATGATCACTTGTGAAGCCACAGGGCGGATCAGGGGTAGTGGTGCGGCATGGGCATGGGTACTACTGATGTCTCAAGACAAGTGGTAGTGGATGGGATGATCACTTGTGAAGCCACAGGGCGGATCAGGGGTAGTGGTGCGGCATGGGCATGGGTACTACTGATGTCTCAAGACAAGTGGTAGTGGATGGGATGATCACTTGTGAAGCCACAGGGCGGATCAGGGGTAGTGGTGTGGCATGGGCATGGGTACTACTGATGTCTCAAGACAAGTGGTAGTGGATGGGATGATCACTTGTGAAGCCACAGGGCGGATCAGGGGTAGTGGTGTGGCATGGGCATGGGTACTACTGATGTCTCAAGACAAGTGGTAGTGGATGGGATGATCACTTGTGAAGCCACAGGGCGGATCAGGGGTAGTGGTGTGGCATGGGCATGGGTACTACTGATGTCTCAAGACAAGTGGTAGTGGATGGGATGATCACTTGTGAAGCCACAGGGCGGATCAGGGGTAGTGGTGCGGCATGGGCATGGGTACTACTGATGTCTCAAGACAAGTGGTAGTGGATGGGATGATCACTTGTGAAGCCACAGGGCGGATCAGGGGTAGTGGTGTGGCATGGGCATGGGTACTACTGATGTCTCAAGACAAGTGGTAGTGGATGGGATGATCACTTGTGAAGCCACAGGGCGGATCAGGGGTAGTGGTGCGGCATGGGCATGGGTACTACTGATGTCTCAAGACAAGTGGTAGTGGATGGGATGATCACTTGTGAAGCCACAGGGCGGATCAGGGGTAGTGGTGCGGCATGGGCATGGGTACTACTGATGTCTCAAGACAAGTGGTAGTGGATGGGATGATCACTTGTGAAGCCACAGGGCGGATCAGGGGTAGTGGTGTGGCATGGGCATGGGTACTACTGATGTCTCAAGACAAGTGGTAGTGGATGGGATGATCACTTGTGAAGCCACAGGGCGGATCAGGGGTAGTGGTGCGGCATGGGCATGGGTACTACTGATGTCTCAAGACAAGTGGTAGTGGATGGGATGATCACTTGTGAAGCCACAGGGCGGATCAGGGGTAGTGGTGCGGCATGGGCATGGGTACTACTGATGTCTCAAGACAAGTGGTAGTGGATGGGATGATCACTTGTGAAGCCACAGGGCGGATCAGGGGTAGTGGTGTGGCATGGGCATGGGTACTACTGATGTCTCAAGACAAGTGGTAGTGGATGGGATGATCACTTGTGAAGCCACAGGGCGGATCAGGGGTAGTGGTGTGGCATGGGCATGGGTACTACTGATGTCTCAAGACAAGTGGTAGTGGATGGGATGATCACTTGTGAAGCCACAGGGCGGATCAGGGGTAGTGGTGCGGCATGGGCATGGGTACTACTGATGTCTCAAGACAAGTGGTAGTGGATGGGATGATCACTTGTGAAGCCACAGGGCGGATCAGGGGTAGTGGTGTGGCATGGGCATGGGTACTACTGATGTCTCAAGACAAGTGGTAGTGGATGGGATGATCACTTGTGAAGCCACAGGGCGGATCAGGGGTAGTGGTGTGGCATGGGCATGGGTACTACTGATGTCTCAAGACAAGTGGTAGTGGATGGGATGATCACTTGTGAAGCCACAGGGCGGATCAGGGGTAGTGGTGTGGCATGGGCATGGGTACTACTGATGTCTCAAGACAAGTGGTAGTGGATGGGATGATCACTTGTGAAGCCACAGGGCGGATCAGGGGTAGTGGTGCGGCATGGGCATGGGTACTACTGATGTCTCAAGACAAGTGGTAGTGGATGGGATGATCACTTGTGAAGCCACAGGGCGGATCAGGGGTAGTGGTGCGGCATGGGCATGGGTACTACTGATGTCTCAAGACAAGTGGTAGTGGATGGGATGATCACTTGTGAAGCCACAGGGCGGATCAGGGGTAGTGGTGCGGCATGGGCATGGGTACTACTGATGTCTCAAGACAAGTGGTAGTGGATGGGATGATCACTTGTGAAGCCACAGGGCGGATCAGGGGTAGTGGTGTGGCATGGGCATGGGTACTACTGATGTCTCAAGACAAGTGGTAGTGGATGGGATGATCACTTGTGAAGCCACAGGGCGGATCAGGGGTAGTGGTGTGGCATGGGCATGGGTACTACTGATGTCTCAAGACAAGTGGTAGTGGATGGGATGATCACTTGTGAAGCCACAGGGCGGATCAGGGGTAGTGGTGCGGCATGGGCATGGGTACTACTGATGTCTCAAGACAAGTGGTAGTGGATGGGATGATCACTTGTGAAGCCACAGGGCGGATCAGGGGTAGTGGTGTGGCATGGGCATGGGTACTACTGATGTCTCAAGACAAGTGGTAGTGGATGGGATGATCACTTGTGAAGCCACAGGGCGGATCAGGGGTAGTGGTGCGGCATGGGCATGGGTACTACTGATGTCTCAAGACAAGTGGTAGTGGATGGGATGATCACTTGTGAAGCCACAGGGCGGATCAGGGGTAGTGGTGCGGCATGGGCATGGGTACTACTGATGTCTCAAGACAAGTGGTAGTGGATGGGATGATCACTTGTGAAGCCACAGGGCGGATCAGGGGTAGTGGTGTGGCATGGGCATGGGTACTACTGATGTCTCAAGACAAGTGGTAGTGGATGGGATGATCACTTGTGAAGCCACAGGGCGGATCAGGGGTAGTGGTGCGGCATGGGCATGGGTACTACTGATGTCTCAAGACAAGTGGTAGTGGATGGGATGATCACTTGTGAAGCCACAGGGCGGATCAGGGGTAGTGGTGCGGCATGGGCATGGGTACTACTGATGTCTCAAGACAAGTGGTAGTGGATGGGATGATCACTTGTGAAGCCACAGGGCGGATCAGGGGTAGTGGTGTGGCATGGGCATGGGTACTACTGATGTCTCAAGACAAGTGGTAGTGGATGGGATGATCACTTGTGAAGCCACAGGGCGGATCAGGGGTAGTGGTGTGGCATGGGCATGGGTACTACTGATGTCTCAAGACAAGTGGTAGTGGATGGGATGATCACTTGTGAAGCCACAGGGCGGATCAGGGGTAGTGGTGCGGCATGGGCATGGGTACTACTGATGTCTCAAGACAAGTGGTAGTGGATGGGATGATCACTTGTGAAGCCACAGGGCGGATCAGGGGTAGTGGTGTGGCATGGGCATGGGTACTACTGATGTCTCAAGACAAGTGGTAGTGGATGGGATGATCACTTGTGAAGCCACAGGGCGGATCAGGGGTAGTGGTGTGGCATGGGCATGGGTACTACTGATGTCTCAAGACAAGTGGTAGTGGATGGGATGATCACTTGTGAAGCCACAGGGCGGATCAGGGGTAGTGGTGTGGCATGGGCATGGGTACTACTGATGTCTCAAGACAAGTGGTAGTGGATGGGATGATCACTTGTGAAGCCACAGGGCGGATCAGGGGTAGTGGTGCGGCATGGGCATGGGTACTACTGATGTCTCAAGACAAGTGGTAGTGGATGGGATGATCACTTGTGAAGCCACAGGGCGGATCAGGGGTAGTGGTGCGGCATGGGCATGGGTACTACTGATGTCTCAAGACAAGTGGTAGTGGATGGGATGATCACTTGTGAAGCCACAGGGCGGATCAGGGGTAGTGGTGCGGCATGGGCATGGGTACTACTGATGTCTCAAGACAAGTGGTAGTGGATGGGATGATCACTTGTGAAGCCACAGGGCGGATCAGGGGTAGTGGTGCGGCATGGGCATGGGTACTACTGATGTCTCAAGACAAGTGGTAGTGGATGGGATGATCACTTGTGAAGCCACAGGGCGGATCAGGGGTAGTGGTGCGGCATGGGCATGGGTACTACTGATGTCTCAAGACAAGTGGTAGTGGATGGGATGATCACTTGTGAAGCCACAGGGCGGATCAGGGGTAGTGGTGCGGCATGGGCATGGGTACTACTGATGTCTCAAGACAAGTGGTAGT